AATATTTGAATATTTGTTTCCGTTTTGTTTTTTCACTCAATGAACCATCCGTTCGGATTGTTTTTGTTTTTATGTTGCTATCTAAACCTTTTTGTTTTCACGCCGCTAATCCTTATTGAGGGCGGATTTTACTTACGTAAACACAAACAAATGATAAACTTATATAGGATCATATGTCAGAAAATATGCTTATATGTTTAGTTTGTGAAAAACGTGCACTATTAAAGTGCGTGTAACCTGAAAATGTGCCCTTTCAAATGATTACGCGTGTCATATATGTTTTATCTCATATAAATAAACTTATGCAATAGTTTGTTTTTATATTGGACTGTTGGTAAGTTTTATCTACATGAAATATGTTATGGCGCGACCCAGTTTTTGAAGTTGTATCACGTCACTTTGTTTTGATGCGTAGAGTATATTTTGTTTGTAAAAGTTGATTACATGGAGACTTGGTTACACCGTATTGATAAATCGTTTTTGTGGTAAACAAATTGTTTAAAAAATATTTCGAATTTATATCCTATAATTTTGAATCACAATAAATTAAAAACAGATATCAATGTACATTATATGTTATGAAAAGGATAGGCAATACTTCGTCCGATTTTCATGTGTTTGTCTATTGAAGCTATTAAATGCAGGTACATACATAGTTTGCATCCTAGACCTGGCGTGTAAACGGCACCAACTAATATAGACAAAAACCAGTCATATACATATGTGGGTTACAGTTTAAGCAACATTTGCTGAGACTAGCCTTGATCTTCGGATATTTAACATCTAAGTTTTCGGTCTTGTGATTTCAATGAATATTTTCTTTATTTTGTTCTTATATAACCCTACGAATACAGCGCGAGGCACTGTCTGAAAATTATTCTTTTGAAGGTTTTGCGAAAAAAGTACATTTGTAGTTGCACACAGACAAATATTTCTTTCCAAGACAATCGGAAGTTTCGACCTACCAACTGTGACAGATATCTGTCAATAAATGAAGTTGCTAGGAAAAACTGTAGGACACTGAAGGAAGGCGCAACAGAAAACCGAACCATGTGACCAATGAAGGACAACACTGCGACTTTATGATGACTGATAATTTTTTCGGGGAGCATAAATATATATTTTTACAAATACAGTAGGACTACTTGAAAGTTATGTTGAATTCTGCTAAAGTCATTACTAGAGGGAGTGGACAGTAGCTTGCACTTTCCAGTTCTGTCCATGATCAGGCTGAATCAAATCGAGTCGCAATATTTTCAGCTGTGCCGTTATGGTCTTTTTTTCAGGGATTCTATTCCTCTCTATACAGTATTGCCTCAGTGTACGAAAGGCGGTGAGGAATTCAAGAAACAGATTTTGACACTTTATTATTAAAGGTCATCCTTACCCATTGACCTGCTTGAACCGGAAGTGATTAACCTTTGCCATCAGTTTGACCAAGCTCTATATTGTATACCGACTGGTCTTAAATTTTTATCCTGGTACCCCTAAAATTGAAAATGGACAGTTCCAAAAATGGAAGTATGGCGAGTCCATTACAAAAAAAATCAGCAGATTCCGGAATGTATATTTACGCAAGCAACACTAATGTATGTGACGGTTCTGCCATCGGCTTACAAATGCTGATTAACGATTGTCTATTATATAAGTAACCTAGCAATCTTAAGCAAACTACATAAAGGGCAATGAAAAGACAATATATACTAGGTTTTGCGATCATTAACCCATTGCTTTCTAAGAACTGGTTTTAATGTTGATTCTGTTCTATTTCAGCTCTGAAGGCACAAAAGTGGCAACTGGAATAATATAAGCTAAATACAGGTCAACTTACAGCAAAAGGATGCCAAACAGCAATTCTCAGACCTTTCTGAGATAAAAAAAAAAACATTGATAACACCACACTATCTAATGGAATATCCATTGTTTACTGATTGCTATTTCAAATGGCAAGAAATAACCATTTTAAAAGAAAAATAACTTTCATTATTTTATTCCTTTAGAGTCAATGCAATGATAACAAAATAAGATATATTACACATAGTAGCAAATATATCAAGATATAACAACTCAACATGTATTTCAAATGATAATGATCTTATAATTTGTAACTATTATTTACATGACAAAAAATTTCTATAGATCATAATAAATAAAACAAGAACTGTCGGAGGACAGTCACGTTCGACTATTCGAAAAGTTGTCACAACAAGTGTGTTTCATTGAGTATAATAATGCTTACTAATACAAATACATAAAATTGTCTGAAAAGGTACAAAGGCTTGTTATTAAGATGAATATGTTAGGGAGAAATTTATAAATACGCCTAAAATTTAAAAAGACTGCCCCACTCTTTTTATAAACTAAGCGTTCAATAGAAAAATACTAATGGATCTTTACAGAAATTTCATTTGGATCTGTGTGTTATTTATTGTTTATGCAAACTTTATTATCAAATTGAAAGGAATTATGGCATAATGAAAACTTATTTTGATCTTCACCTGTTCACTTACTGTATACCCTTGATGGGCATAATATCACTTTAACCAAAGTTTCTATAGAGTGAGACTAAAAGCACCACACTAAATACGGTATATACCGGACAAGACGCTTGAATGATAAAATGCTTAAGTCTTGTCTTTGAACCCAACGAAATGAACTTTAAAATGTCTTATTCATCTTTTCACACTGATTTATGTATGATAATAAATGAAAAATGTAGGAATCCGCAAAAAAACGATATTTGTTTATTTACTGATCATGATTTCTGCAAGCGTCTAGAGGTACTGCTCCAGTCCTGTATTGAGTTAAATCCGCAATTATATGTTTTGAATAAAAACTATGTCTATGTACCAAACAAAATTAAATTAGGATATAAATTACAAGAGAGCCAAATATCATGTTCATATTGATACCTTTCATAGTTAATGGGTTAAATAAGGAGATAACTTCTAAAAATATCTATTAAAATGTTTGAAAAATGGGCTACATTACTTATGTTTTAAATGACAATAATGACTACAACCAAACTACCATAATATTTGAGCTGCGTCATGACAAAACCAACATAATGCGTTTGCGACCAGCATGGATCCAGACCAGCCTGCACATCCGCGCAGTCTGATCAGGATCCATGCTGTTCGCTTACAAACCCTATTACAAGTAGAGAATCTGATAGCGAACAGCATGGATCCTGATCAGACTGCGCAGATGCGCAGACTGGTCTGGATCCATGCTGGTCGCAAACCCACTTTGTTGGTTTTGTCATGACATGGCTCATTTTTGTTTTCCTCTTGAATCATGTTTCAAGTCATTCATTCCAATTGCCTATGTCATAAAAGTATTTCAAATCAATTATCACAAAAATGAAAGTAAAAATAATAATACAATATGGACATTAATTCTAAAGGTATCATCAAAATATCTTAAACAGTAAGAATTAAGGATATAAATTTATCACATAAACTAAAGCGCAAGAGTGTAATAAAGCCATTTACTAAAATTGATATTACACTAATGTAATAACACTTTTAACGTAACATTATTAATGCTATATAAAAATATGGTGTAAAATTGCACTTATTTTAACTTTACACTATAGGCATCTCGATGAAAATTGGCTCTCTAACATTTCTTATTTTGAATATGTGATAATTTGAATATTATATTCATGCAGATTCAATACTAAATTTATCAAACTTGTTGAATAAAACAATATTATCCTTGCTAAAGGCTTGTATAATATGATTTTATTCAACTCGTTCAATAAACATAGTATTAACCTACACTCATTCAATATCCTCTTTGATCTATACAATACATTTGAATATAAATGAGAATCTATTCACATAATTACATGAAAAAAAATCAATTTTATCAATTTTAATATCAAATATTGATAGGTTTTCAGTCCATACTATTACACCCATAAACACTACGTAAATAACCGAGGTATATTGAGTCAAAAATTACGAGTTGTTTCCCTTATCTTTGAGTAAAATTAATATCTCTTACGCTAAAACAATACAAATTAAGCCGTTTTTAAACTGCTAGTTTGTTGTGATTTAATGTCTGATTTTAAAAATTCATTACATCAATGGAAAGCTTTGGTTCTTAGTTTTGTCACAGTATGTACTTTAACACTAAAGTATTAAAACCTACCATATGACAGACCATTTTACATATGATTTATACAGTGAGATACGCAACCGGTTATCTTTACTTGAAAAACTACTTAGAAGAATAGCGTGTGGTCTGCTAGTTAGGAAACTGTCCATCAGTGTATTGACATTGATTAGATTGTGAATCAAGTACTCTACAGTCACTTAACTTTGATCCATGCACTACTTTTACTTAATTTTGAGCCATGTTAATATTTATCTTGTCATTTTGCCATGCTAAACTTTAACTAGTCATAAATACACCCTCATATTTCACTTAACTTGGATCTATCCTCAACTTGAATGTCACTATAATCCATTCTTAACATTTAACATGGATTCATACTCAATTGTCACTTGAAACCATCATCAATTGTCGATTATCAGTTCACTTGGGCACAGAGATCCCTGCCATTCACTCAATTTTTTATCACAGATGAACTTGATAGCATAGCATGTGGCAGGCAATTGTTCCTTTAACATGGTTCTTTTGAACCGTGGTCTCTTCTTCTCCACATTTAGAACTTCAAGTGTTTAGCTAAGTGTTACATATACAATTGTTGTCAGATACCAGCATGTTATTTATCTATCAAGGTTCCTTTAGGTCTCATCTTCTTGGCCTCCTCCTCAGCCTGTGATAAAAATAGAACAAAAAAATTAGATTCTTTTATTGTCAGCTAATAAATTTTAGGAAAGGTTATGGTAAAATTCAATTAAATTTTAATTCGTACCTACATGCACAAGGTAAAAGTCTATTTTAGTTTTAGTTTAGTTTAAAAATTATTGATTTAAAGATACATTATGCTCCAGAAACAATTGAATCATTCCTTTCTTAGAAAGGGCAAATATGAGTCTTACGAAGTTTAAATAATGGTTTTAGATATGAAAGATGCTTATTACCTGTTGAAAAAAGTGCTCATTACAATAGGGCACCAAAATGAAAAAAAAAAAACATTTTGAGAAATGAATATAAAAGCAAAAATTAAAGCATATCTGGGACATAATGGGCCTTTTAGCTCAATTGTGAAGAAAATTTATAGGGTATTTAAACCAATTTTGTGTCCCATTTCCTGGAACTAGCTATTGCTGGTGTCATATGATGAGACATGGTCATGAAGCAAGTCATTCACGAGGTAGACACCTTAAAATGCTAAGAAACCCCTCCCTCCACATTTACACATTTTTGTTACTCCACAAACCCAAACTTTTTGTTTCCACATACAAATTCTCATTTTTTTCCCCTCTTTCTATACTGAATATGGGGAAATTATAGATTTTTGAAAAAAAATATCATAAATAAATCTGTGCAAGTGTTAAGATTATGTACCTGTTCCATCAACTTTCGTTTACTCATTCCCTTTCTCAACATCTGTTTCTCAATGACTTTGGCATTGGCAGCGTATGAATCTGCAATCTCTTTCTGCAAAATTATTCAATACAAAATATATGATACATATGAATAAAACAGAAAATTTATTTGGGGTTTAGAGTCATATCAAGACTGTTCAGCAGATATGGCAACTTTTTCAGCTTTATTGCCCAGGTAGAGGAAGACATAAGATGCCCGTTCATGGTGCATTATTTCAGAAGCAAACCAGCACCTTGGGTCCGACTACCAACCTTCCAAAAGCAGGCTTCCAAAAAATTTCAGGAAATGGCAAAGTATATAGAGGATATTTGTTTAGTTTAGTGTAAGATCGGAATATATTTCACCGAGTGAGTACCAAAAGGTATATTTCACGAGTGGCGCAGCCACGAGTGAAATATGAACTTTTGGTGTTCACAAGGTGAAATATATTTCAATCTTACACTAAACTAAACAAATTTTCTTTTTATTACATGCAAAGAAACATTTTAAAAAGACATTAAACCTAATACTGAATGAAAAGCGCGCCAAATAATAATACAACGTGACGTCATTTGCAACGTCACGTCATTAAGTTGGTACCCAGTACTGTGCACGCTGGTATTTTACTGAAACAACGTAAGGGGCTTAAATTCAAAACAGTGAAATTATCAAAGTGGTAATTTCACTGTTTTAAACAGTGAAATTACTAGTTTTATAACACTGATATATTTCTATAAACCACCGAAAAGCATGTAATAAAATATTTTCTTTGGGTTTAAAGTCACATCAGCATTGCTATTGTCATATGGTGACTTTTTTCAGCTTTATTGCCCAGGTAAAGAAAGACATTAAATTCCTCTTCATATTTTTTAGACACAACCAGCACCTTGGGCCGGAACACCAACCTTCTTAAAACTGGCTGCCAAAACAGACATACCAAGTATACAGTTAAATGTCAGGTTGGCATTTATATGTGCAATAAATTGTTATACATGTATTATAGGTTGCTTACTCCACCAACTAAGTCATGCAATTACCAATAAAACGTTATCAGTTATTGTACAATACTCAATAATCAACATACTCCACTTAGGGATCAGAAATACCACATCAATTCTAAGTGGTACTGGGATATTCTAATGTGCTACTTTTAATTATCTGATATCAATTTTTGATCGCACATAATTTCATATGTATGATTTTAGAATTTGTATCACACTGTAAATGTGCAAAGATATGTCCAATATCAGCTCAAACTCAAACAAAGCAAAATGTATGCCATATAAGACTTATTTTACTCAGTTATGTATTTTTTGTATGTAAATTCTTCTGGTTACAATATGACAAAACTTCTTACAACTGAAGAATATATGTACTAAAATTCAGTCCCCTTTCTTGGAAATTTATACTGAAACAAGAGCCCAGTTTGAGCCGGGTGATGCTCCCCGAATAGGTTTTGGACACAGGAAAGTCCACCTCTTGTAGATTCAGAGTTATGTCCGTGGAAAAAGTTCAAAGTGCAATAATTCCAAAATTAGGCAAGGAAGAGTTACTGTTCTTTGCACTGCACTTCTAATCAATGTGATCTATCAACCTACAAAGTTTCTTGTTCATATCTCTTATGATTTCCGAGTTATGTCCTGGACAACTTCAAAATGTAAAAATAAACAAAGGGCAATAACTCCAGAATTAGGCAATGCAAAGTTATGATTCTTGTGCATGCACATCTACCCATTGAGATATATCTACCTACAAAGTTTCATGTTGGTTTATACAAATTTATTTTAGTTCTATTGTGTTGGAAGCTATAAGCTTATTGAAACACTCTCGAATCTGTTCCTGGAACCAACCAGTACTAAGCAATGAATGTAAAGTTTCTTGCTCAAGGAAACAACGGCTTGCCTCTGACAGGGTTTGAACCCACGCGGTAAGCAATCCTTAGATTACTAGTCCGACGCGTTAACCACTCGGCCACTCAGCCACTGTTTCATGTTGATATCTCTTATAGTTTTACAGCTATGTCCTGGACAAGATTTTTCTAAAAGGGGAAATAATTCAAAAATGAGGCTTAACAGAGTTATAGTTCTTTTGCACTGCACTTCTACTCAATGAGATCTATCTACCTACAATGTTTCATTTTGATATCTCTTATAGTTTTAGAGTTATGTTCCGGACAAAGTTCAAAGTGTTAAAATTAACAAAGGGCAATAACTCCAAAATTAGGACAAAAAGAGTTATTGATCTTATGCACTGCACATCTACCCATTGAGATCTATTCACCTACAAAGTTTCATGTTGATATCTCTTATAGTTTTAGAGTTATATCCCTGACAAGAGTTTTCTATCAGGGGAGATAATTCAAAAACCGGGCAAAATAGAGTTATGGTTCTTTGACACTGCACTCCCCCTCAATGCCCTCTAACACTGCATGAAGTTTAAACAAATTATCTCCAAGGGTTTTCAAGTTATGCTCCGGACAAGACAACGGACGGACAGACAGACAAGGCGCCGATTATATGCTCCCACCAAATTTTTCGGGGAGCATAAAAATAGCATAAATGTTACCATATTTAGAGAAAGTTTTGGCTCAAGTTTTCGCTCAAATATAAACAGAGACTACTTACCGCCTCAAGTTCCTCTTCTTCATCTTCCATAGTTGACACGGTAACAGAACTAAACTTGCCCATATTCTTTGTATGTTTTGTCAAGGTGACCTGTAAAAATACATAGAATATTTAATAATTTTACATACACTGTAGCAAGAATTTGTAAAACCAACCTACCCTGCCAATGAATTGAAGCTGTGAACATATAGAGTTACTTTAACTCTTAAAACTGAAGTTGATTAGCATTTGCTTTCAGTATAGAGCTGAGCAAACCTGCATATCTGTTTGGTTTAGTTTTAAGGCTCACTAACACAATTTTGGTAATTTGATGCCTACACAGGAAAGATGATTGTGGCTAACCTCGGATATCACAAACTTAAAGGAGCACTAGGGGTCAAAACCACCTTACCTGCTGGAGCTAAGAAATGCATAGACTCAAGTAATTCTAACCCATTTAGTCACCTTTTATGATCATGCAGGGATAAACGGTGATGTATATCTGTGCAGTCTGACTTTCATGCTTAATTTCTATGTTTTAATATAGAGATCCCTTAAAATTTGAATGGACTATTACAAATTCAAAGCAGGGCAAATCCATTATATGTTTATACAGATCAAAGGTAAATCAGGTATTATATGTACACCATGTTTACCTTCTTGGGTTTGGCAATCTGGCTGTATACATCTTTTTTCACCCCTTCTAACTTCATAGCACCATCTATTATAAACATGACAGTACTTCTACCCTGGTGGTGATATGCTATCCACAGCCCACATCTGTTAAGAACATGTGTACATTGTAAATATTGTATCAATTCTGGGGGTCACTTGTTCAATCCTAAAGAGAGGTGTCATATCTCCATGACAACTGATCTCGAACATTGAGTCTAATGGTCATTTGTCTCTCGCAGCTGACTCATAAATCGTGTGGAATTAGTAGTCAATTATTTGTGAAGGAATTGGTAATTACTAGTTACTTATCCACTAAAGCTGATATGATTGATCGACCCGCAAGTTATGACCAGAAACATAATTATGTCAATATAGGCATAACAAACAGAAACATAAACTTTGTATCAAGGCCTAGAAAAAAATTCATTTGAAAAATGGTATAGCCAATGCAATAAAGTAAGTAAACAAATAGCTTTCAGTTTGTGTGCGTGTTTTTTGTTTGTTGTTTGTATTTCATTTGCTGTTGTTTTCTTTTTGATTGGATTTGGAGTCACAACAACACATTTATGATGAACTTACAAATTTACAGCGGCACCAGTGCCAACAGAAGAATTTTCCCATGACATTACTATACACTCTAATGATACAATTATAGCTCTCGGGACAATCAGATTAAAATAATATATTAGCAAATGATTTGAAATAGCCTGTGATTTTTTTTTCTTTATTCATTCATTATATCATATATGCATAGAACCTTCTTTTTACAATACATGTAACTTGTGTGCAATGCTATAATGCAGAAACATTTTAAAATTGATACAAATTCCTTGCAAATCATAAACAAATTCAAAACTAACCGTTTGCACTTCTGTCTATACTGTTTTTCAATTCCAGCTGGTCTGAAAAATAGTGTCAAATTAATTTAAAGCAATTTCTCCTCTGATATTAGCTAAAAAAGCAATAACAACAAAACAACATCAATAACAAGTCATTAGCAATTGGTTGTTCATAAGCAAAATGTAAGTAACTACTACTAATGACTTGTCATATACAGAGCCTAAGTGATTCTTGTTGGGAATATTAAATAACAAAATAAACTGTAACCATCATCAGGGCAGTCTCACTAAATTTTGAAATTCTTTTGGCTATTTCATCTTTAAATTGGATGTCAGCATCCCCAAATTTACAATGATGTCAAGAATTCCAACTGAAATACAAAGCAGGACCACTCTATTTTTACAATGTTATAATTATAAAGATTATACAAAGTAAGCAAGTTAATGTTAAATGTGACAACTTAATATATACCTTTGGAGATACACAATTTCATCAGGATCACAGGTCATTTTGTAAGCATGTTTGGCACCATCTATCACACGTGCACCATCTCGTGGACGTAATGGTAACTTTTCGATCGGACAATCTGAAGTATTGAGATGACAAGAATGTAATATATAGTATTGCAAGGAATGGCAGGAATCTAGCACTGCTAAATTATCTAGTTACTATGCATGAAACTGACTTGTGAATTAGGAACAGGGAAAAAATAGTCTGTTATTACTCTGTCAAAAAGCTAGGGAAAATGCACTCAAATGCTTGCAAGCAATAATTGTTTCAGTTAACTGCTTATTGTGTGAAGGTTGTTTATCAAGATATATACCATTTTCAAAAGCTTTGCTGTTGGGTGAACCCTTTAAAATGTGTATATCCAGTAACACGGGAATGTGTAAATAACTCATAAGTAAGTTTTTAGGGATTTGAGCAATGAAACAAGTAAAATGTGTTCAATAAACAAATCAAATTTATTTACGGTAAACCAAATTCAAAAAAATGAATGGGCGCATAAACAGATGTGATATTTCAATCAGCATTACAAATTTTTCCAGGAATATGTTTACTTTTTGTGAAAATGTCTACCTGGGCAACTTTTGTGTTTTGTCAATATCAGTAAGTAAGTAAAATACACATTTAAAATTTATTTTTTTCATAGGAAGTGACTAGCCATATGTGAGTCGCTTTACACACTTTGTACATCATTTTTTAATGGTAAGAAATTTGCAATAATTAACAAAATATGAATGTATCATTTTTAAAAAAATATTTTTTCAGATGCCATAAATTCCAGGGAATTACAGTCAACCCGGCCCTTAAGTTAACACACTCATTAGTAGCAAATATAATTAATCATATCATTATTGTTGATAATTAAATGTTTAATTACGAACTATTTAACATTGCGAATTGTATATGTACTTCGGCTATTGATTTAAGATTACAGGGGCGTGCATGTAAGATTATTATTTATGCTCCTTCATAAAGGTTTTATTTTGACCAGTATGAATTTAAATTCTCTCTATAATTAATCTTACTTAAAAACTGTCAATGCAGTTGAAAATCTTCAGTGCCTGGGATAGGTAATACTCATTTTTTGAGTATACAACAATTTCATAAATATGGTAATTTGAAGGTTCGAAAAGTAATTGAAGAAATTAACTTGTACCATAATTTTGCTAATATTGGAAAGGATCTGTATTCAAACATTAATAATTTATCGTCTAGTACCTATTTAAACTAGTTACACTGATAACTATCTATAATGTTTTGTTTTGTTTTATTTCACTGCTATCGATCGAAAGAACTGTCAGCAACTGCCCTATTGAAGATTGTGTCTTCCATGTATAGACCCACACTAGAAGAAGACGACTAGTGAATTGGTGTCTGTATGTATGAACATTGTAGGGGTGCAGTGTTTTTTTTCTTTATATAACTACTACCCTAAAACGGTACTGTTCCCAATAGAAAATAGACATTAAAATTCCCAATTTCCAATGTTTAAATTCCCAAAATGGCTGTTCAAAATTTCCACAAGGCCAAGAAATTTATCTGAAATCATTTAAATCCAACATATTCATATAAATCACCACTTCATAGTTCTACCTTGAAGTGGAAGCTGTTAGCTATCTTTATTCATGATGATTAATCATATTTGTAGCTGAAAAATGCATTAAAAAATATTCCCAATAGAAGTCAAAATAACGCATTTTTTCCCAATCAGTCTGGTACCAGCACTATACCCAAAGTAGAGAAAAAAAAACGCTGGGGTGTGTGACATTGTAGAACTATGCATTGACCATTGTATAACTATGCATTGAACATTGTAAATAAGTAAACCATGCATGTTTTGCTTGCTTGTTATTATTGATAGTTTTTATATAAAATAAATAATAAAAGATATCATCGTTAAACTTTTGTTGTTGTTTTTGTTGTTAAGTGTTTTTATTATATACTTACAAATGAAATATTGAGAAATATTGATGAAATAAAATGCGTATTTTCATTTTCCGTATTTTCACTGTAAAAATTTATTTTTCACTGCAGTGAAACATATTTTCCGTATTTTCACTGGTGTCTTGCCGGACTACTTTTTTTAAAATTCTGCCAGTACACAAAATTTAAGGGAAAGTCTTTCAAATTTTAATGTCAAAAAAGAGAAAAATGTATATAATAAACAGAAAATTCAAGTTTTGTCTATAAATACATGATTTATTTTCATCTTGTGGCATGAAAATTACCATATTTCACTCGTGGCTACCGCCACTCATGAAATATTTATTTTCATTCCACTCGATGAAAATAAATCATGTATTTATAGACAAAACTTGAATATCCTCTATATATTTTAAAGCAAAATAAATAATAAAAAAATTGGACCGGGTTGACCAGACATAACATTGGTTTGGGGCCGGGTTGACCAATTTAGGGCCGGGTTGACTTGGGGCCGGGTTGACTTGTACCGGTAGTCAGACTATTCTCTCTCTTACCAGTTCCTCCCCTGACGTTTCCTCCCTGACGGTTCTCACCCTATTTTGGGGGAGAACTGGCTGCATATTTGCAAATTAGAAGACAGTTCCTCCCCATTGTTATTCTTATAATTACATTATTATTAAAGTATTTAGATGATAAATAAATGGGTAAGTTTATTATGAATTGATATAAATTAGAAAAAATATTTTATTGAAGTGTTTAGATGTTAGATAAATGGGTAAGTTTATTATAAATAGTAATAAATTAGAGAGAAAAATACTTAATGAAGTATTCTGATGTTTAATTCAAGTTTCAATTTTGTTAGCATCATCAGCAACAATAAATCGGTAAGTTTATTATCAAATAATAATATAAATTACAGAAAAAAATATTTTATTGAAGTATTTAGATGTTTAATAAATTTGTAACTTTATTATCAATTGATATAAATTGAATTAGACAAACTTTTTTTAACATAGAATAATAATTGATCAATGATGATATTAGTTAATTATTCTGATTTTTTAGTTAGATGTAATGTATACTTTTTAATGTGTTTAGTCATTGAAAATAATTAATGAATAATTTACTTGATTAGGATAATCATAAGATATATATATTTTTTTAATAAATAAAAATAAAATTTTTAAAAAGCAAAAAGCAAAAAATGATTAATAAAAATTCTAATTGCTAAACTTTTGTATATAATGAAAAAAGTTCAATACACACATTTATTATATACTTATGAATGAAATATTGAGAAATATTGATGAAATAAAATGCGTATTTTCATTTTCCATATTTTCACTGTAAAAATTTATTTTTCACTGCAGTGAAACATATTTTCCGTATTTTCACTGGTGTCTTGCGGGACTACTTTCTTTTAAATTCTACCAGTACACAAAATTTAAGGGGAAGTTTTTCAAATTTTATTGCAAAAAAGAGAAAAATGTACATAATAAACAGAAAATTCAAGTTTTTTCTATAAATACATGATTTATTTTCATCTTGTGGCATGAAAATTACCATATTTCACTCGTGGCTACGCCACTCATGAAATATTTATTTTCATACCACTCGATGAAAATAAATCATGTATTTATAGAAAAAACTTAAATATCCTCTATGTATGCATTAAGTTTGCTGCCAGTGATAATTGAGGTGTTTATTAATTCCTTGGTGTTGATTAGATTAAAATAGCTGTGAAAAGGTGTTGATGAATAAGTATTATATTAGTTATTTTGTATTATATATTGTTTCAAGTTAATGACCACATGTTTTTAAATCAATTTCGTAAAAAAGTAAATGTGGAATGTGTTTGCATACCAGGTGTTGTTTGTATTTATTTTCTAGAACATATTTGTTTCCACCTTATTCACTATTTAACAAATAAATGAACATCACAAGCTAGACCTTAACATAATTACAGGTGTATATCAATCACTGTCCAATGATCTATATCTCTCACAATAAATGTGTTAATAGGATTAAAATACTGAAAAATGGTGTTAAATTTACAGGTGTTGATAGGATTAAAATACTGAAAAACACTTTTCAGCTGATAAACATAAAACATAAAATGCAGTTAATATCAAACACATTCTTTTAATAATCTTCATTAAGAAATATTATTAGATTAAGTCAAAACTAAAATGATAATATGTAACTTACAAAAATAAAATTGGGGGAGAACTGTCTGCATATTTCAAATTTGGGAGAGAACCGTCAGGGGAGGAAACGGTTAGGGAGATAACCGTCAGGGAGAGGAACTGGTAAGGGAGAGAATAGTCTGTCATTCACTTGTACCGATTCCAGGATATAGCCTACTTTACCTTACACATTTGTCAAACTTGAAGTGTAATAAAAATACAAGAAGGAAGCAGATAAAATGTGATCTTTTTAAGAGTTAATTTGTTAAACATTTGTAGCATTGCTTTGGTGCATCATTCACAAATGCGGAGTAACCTTGTAAAAATTGTAAAAGTGGGGCGAATCGTCAGTGGGACGAATGGTTTATAACTATTCATTTTTACCTATAATTAAGCACATTTGGCCACACAGACAATAATAAACATTGAGAGGCTTTTCTCCTTGGTATTCCTCTTCATCTTTGGTGTCCGTACATACAAGAGACTTTGAAACAACCTTTGGCATTTCGTTTATTTCATTTAGACGTCGTAAGTGTTGTTGTTGTTGTTGTTGTTGTTTACAAAATGCACATTTCCGGTATGAGATAAATCCCGTATCAACAAGGTACGGGTTGTTTTGAATCAGGAAAAATTCTAAAAAATCCTGTTGGGGTTTGATTTAAACATGACTTACAATGAAATTAAAGCTGTGATTTAAATGTAAGAATAAAAGCCTAGAATTACAGTCAAATCGGAAACGAGACACCTCAGCCCCACTCCAATTTTGAAGACAATCACCCATTGTAATTTTTAGTCTATTTAGAGTAAATATTTCAACAACAAATAAATCTTTTATTTGCTAATTTTCTTTATCATTAGTAATTTTGATAAAATATTTAACTCCGGGCTATATGTATCTAAGACAAAAGTTCACAAACTTTAAATGACTGATATGAAATACATGTAATTTATTTTAATCAATCAAACTTTCATTGCAATTTTACAACATGAGAATATTCCCGCATTAAATAATAGAGTAGGTGTGAAACTGGCAGGCATCTCTATAGATTCAAGTCTCAAGTCCAAACCCTAAAAAAACAAAAACATGTAGCTTGACCAACCGTTTTACTCAAAGGGACCCGGCACAGTGTTGGGATAGTGTAAAAAATAATTCTAGAAAAAAATTATACTTTATATATAATATATATATACAATATATTTTTTTCTAAATTACTTTCTTACACTATCCCAACACTGTGCTGGGTCCCTGTGGTTTTACTTCAGCTTCAAAGTGGAGAAATTGCCTCAATGGTCATTTGAGTAAGATTGGGGCTAAAAGCACATGTCTTTGTAATTGTGGAACAGTAGAAACATTTAAACCTTTTAGAGGACTGTACTATGTATGAAGCATCAAATAAAAAACCTTAAAAAGAAAATACTTTAGTGTTCTTGAGAAAGAATTGTTGCTTGCAGCTGGGACAAAAAAAAATACCAATTCAAAGACTATATATAGCCAAGAGAGTTGTCAAACATTGCAAATGAATTTGTCGAATCAAACTCTCTTTTTAAATCTCTGATTTTTCTTTTCATTTATTGTAACGCTACTAAATGTATGAGAGTCTAATACCGAAATGGAAAAACCAGAGTTTTTATCTGTACTGTACATTATATATACCGGAACGACAACACGGCCTTTATCAATGCTTTGAACTTGTTAAAAAAATTGGTTATTTGTTAAAAAATGGATCGATTTCTCATTAAAAATCCTACTGCAAATGATTCTAGGCTTCAAAAAGAAAAAGCTAGCGGATCAAGAATGAAACAAGCAACGATAACTTCTTTAAAGGTAAAATAAATAATTTTCGCGAAAGTTTGAATTTCGGATAACTGAATTCGGATATCTAATTTAAAATTAATGCATGTTTTTTAGCAGGGGTTTTATAATCCAAATACTTCCTGATTTATTTATTTATTGTTGTTGTTGCAATATCATAAATCTAAGTTACATAAACATAAGTATACATAATATAATATAAAATAAAGGTTTAAGTTAACAAATAAAATATCATTTCATAAAATTAATATTTAAGGATTCATTTGGGTAAAGGGTCAACTCGGCCCTATATCAACTCGGCACGGAGCAACTCGGCACAGGTCAACTCGGCCCTCTATTAAAAACATATATTAGGATATAGATTGTTTATTAATAAAAAATTTTAGGAGAAAATTACTATAAAGTTTAGAAATATGATCACTTGAACAAACAGAAATTGAAAAAGTTGGCAGTGTACCTGTACGTATTGTTTGAAATTATCTTTGTTAAGAAGAGATATCAAGACAATATATGTTAAATATTGATCAATAAATAGAGTTTTTAGATTGAATTTGTTCTTTAATATGACCAATGCTTTTTTAAGGGTATAGATGGATACCGAAAATAAGCTATTTTCGCGAAAATAAGATCGCGGCTACGAAAATAAGATTTATTTTTTAAATAGTGCATTTATCTGTTGAAATAATTATGTAAAATATATATTTATGCATTCATTGAATGATTTTACAGCAAATTAAAATTTCAGAACAAAAAAATATTTAAAAATGTGAAGTTTGAGCCGAAAATACTATGGTACGAAAATAGCTCAAATTGCCGTGTAAAGCGAAAATAAGATCGGGTCTACGAAAATAAGATTTATTTTTTGATATAATGTATTAAAAACGTATTTTTTGTTTCTTAATAATTGATTTGTATGAATGAAATAATAAATTTCAGAACTAAAACTATATTTTAAAAAAGTGAAGTTTGAGCCGAAAATACTATCGTATGAAAATAGCTTGAATTGCCGTGTAAATCGAAAATACGATCGGGTCTACGAAAATAAGATTTATTTTTGATAAAATGTATTGAAAACGTATTTTTGCTGATATTAAATGATTTGTTTGAATGAAATAATAAAGAATAAAATGTTTTGTAATGAAATATTACACGTTTGTGCGGCAAATATGGCAAATATTCCAAATTTAGTATAGTAAGAACGCATGAACATATAACCAAGATGGCATCTACGAAAATATATATAAGATTTACATGGTTCATAACTTATACTAAAATAGTATTAACTTTACTTTTAGTGATTTTGCAAATAAGTTTTAAGAATGAAATATTCTCTTATAAGACTTATGTTGTCTCTTTAAATAAAGTCTTTATTATAAGAAATGTTTGTGGTGAAAAAGTATCAAAATAGAAAAAAAAAGAACTATTGCAAAAACAACATGAAACAACGACTACGAAAATAAGATCTAGATCTATATAAGAATATGTACCGTACGAAAATAAAATCATAACAGTACTCTACGAAAACAAAATCTGTAAAGAAATAAAAGCTGTATGAAAATAATGTTCATACGAAAAAAGGTATATACCAAAATAAGATCTCGCTGTAAATAGTTAATACCTGTATGAAAATGTTAATTATTTATGAAAGTACTACATGTACGAAAATAAGATCTGTAAACAGTTCAAAGTCAAAACCTGTATGAATTGATATTCGTACAAAAAGTATTGAGAATATGATCTGTATGGAAATACTATATGTACGAAAATAAGATCCTATTGAAAATAAAACTATACGAAAATAAGATCTGTATGAAAATATTGTCTGTATTCGACTAAGATTTTTACAAATGTAAGATATGTGAAAATGAAAGTTGCATGAAAATAATATCCTTACGAGAATAAGATACATATGAAAATAATATACATGTATGTAAAAAAATATACCTGTATGAAAATACTATATATACGAAAATAAGATCCTATAGAAAATGTAAGAAAATTATACGCACGAATATAAGATCTATATGAAAATAAGATCTGTATGAAATAATGTCTGTTTTTTACTAAGATTTTTACGAAAATAAGATCTGTGAAAATAAAAGCTGTATGAAAATAATATCCTTGTGAAAATAAGATTGATACGAAAATAAGATCTGTGAAAATAAAAGCTGTATGAAAATAATATTCGTGTGAAAATAAGATTTATACGAAAATAATTAAGATCTGTACGAGAATAATGTCTGTATAGCGGTAAGATTTAAACGAAAATAATATTTGTATGATAATGATATATTTATCAGAATGATATGAAAAACGACTCTATGAAAATAATGTCTTTATAAAATAAGATCTTTAACGAAAATAAGATCTGTGTAAAAATATATCTTTTTATAACAAAATATGTACAGAACAGAACAGAACATAATCTTTATTTGAGAGGCACAGATTACAAGATGACATTTTGTAATTACATGTGTACAAATATATATATCAATATTAAATGGGTATCATAATTTAAGTTTCATGTGGGGAAAGTGGATATTATCAACATACAAATTTCATAGGTAAATATTATAAGCTTTTAACACAAGTGCTAAAATATATATATATGTCTTTGCAAATTTTTACAATTTAATCTCAAGTTATCTAGAAATCAGGGAAAAATTAACACACTCGCACGCACAAACAGAAATAATATATTTGTTACGCACATACATAAACACACACGCGCGCGCACGCACACACGCACGCACGCACACACACCTATACATACAGAAGTACTATTTGAAATTTACAGCAATAGGAAAACAGTTAGAACAAAAAATACAGCATAAAAAGAGTTTGCTATCATGGTGCGAAGTGAAATAATTTTGCCGTGGGAAAATTACTACTACAACTTTTACTATCCATTTCGTTCGAGCACGAGAATCGTGATTTTCATTCATAGCTAGTTTTTAAGGCGTGGTTTAAAAATTACAATTACATTTACGACATGCGCTTATGAAAAGCGAAAAATAATATATATTTGGATGAAAGATATTTAGTATTAGGTTACCAATTATATAAATAATTTAAAGGAATGACCTAAATGGATTTCCCGATGTAATCGAATTTGATTGGTCATTTATTCACGCGTTCATTAAATCAATGTTTATTTCACTTGACCTGGATGATTACACAAAATAGAGCCGGAAGTGTGCTTAATTTCGTTCGGATGGGATTTTATCAGTGGAATTTAATGTACTTGTTGAATCGTAAGAAGTGCGCGTAAAAAATAAGATATCTATATGGAACGCCAAGACTGTCTTATGCTATCAATGTTTTTGCTATCTTGTGAAATGATGATATTATTTTGTCATTTAAGCATATAAACATGGGCAATTTACATCATAACTTGTCTAAAGACAATGCTGACTTGTTCAAACAGCATGTTAACTTGTCAAATAATCATTATGACATGTGCAGACAACATGTTAACTTGTCAAAGTATAATGATGACTTGTGCAAACGACATGTTAACTTGTCAAAATATCATGATGACTTGTGCAAACGACATGTAAACTTGTCAAGATTTCATGATGACATGTGCAAACCGCATGTTAACTTGTCGAATTATCGTGATGGTATGCTCATAATACCTTAACAAGTTAACATGTGTTTTGTACAAGTCATTACGATACTTTGACAAATTAACATATTGTCTGCACAAGTCATCATGATACATTGACAAGTTAACATGGCATTTGCACAAGTCACCATGATACATTGACAAGTTAGAATGTAGTTTGCACAAGTCATCACGATACCTTGACAAGTTAACATGCTGTTCGCACATGTCATCATGAAATTTTGACAAGTTAACATGTTGCTTTCACAAATCATCATGATACTTGGACAAGTTAGCATGTTGCTTGCACATGTTATCACGATGATTTGACAAGTTAACATACTGCTTGCACATGTCATCATGAAAATTTGACAAGTTAGCATGGCATTTGGACAAGTCATCATTATACTTGGACAAGTTAACATGTCGTTTGCACAAGTCATCATGATACTTGGACAAGTTAACATGCTGTTTACACATGTCATCATTGAATTTTGACATGTTAGCATGGTATTTGCACAAGTCAGCATGATACTTTGACAAGTTAACAGTGCGTTTTGACATGTCAGCATGATACAAGATAACATGTCATTTGCACAAATCATCACAATTCTTTGACAAGTTCACATGTTGTCTTCACAAGTCATCATGGTTATTTGACATGTTAACATGCTGTTTGCACAAGTCATCATTATACTTTGACAAGTTAACATGCTGTTTGCACATGTCATCACGATAGTTCGACAAGTTAACATGTCCTATTCACAAGTCATCATTATACTTTGACAAGTTAACATGGCGTTTGCACAAGTCATCATGACATTTTGACAAGTTAACGTGCTGTTTGCACATGTCATCACAATAATTTGACAAGTTCACATGACGTTTGCACAAGTCATCATTACATTTTGACAAGTTACCATGTCATTTGCACAAGTCATTATTATACTTTGACAAGTTCACATGTTGTTTGCACAAGTCATCACGATACTTTGACAAGATAGCATGTTGTCTGCACATGTCATCATAATAGTTTGACAAGTTAACATGCTGTTTGTACAAATCAGCATGTTCATTTGACAAGACATGATGTAAATTGCACATGTTAACATGCTCAAACGACAAAATAATATCATCGTTTCACAAGATAACAAAAACATTGATTACATAAGACAGTCACGGCGTTCCATATATCTATATGAAAATTTGATATGATTGGTGACTATGATAAATCGCCAATAAACACCTTTAATGATGGGCTTTAATAAGTGTGTGTCAATTACGATAAGTGCGAAAATCCAATAATCCAATCATCGTATAAACGCATTGATTGCTGCCGACAGTCATGTGCACGTGTCATACGTTGTATTATTTTTTTCCTTCTCTCAAATTTAAATATCTTGTTTATGCATTATCTAATTAAAGCACTTAATTAAAGCAATAAAAGTATATACTTTTTTTACTGAATATAGATATTATTTTCATATTAGAATCTACACGTACTTTCAATTATCTTTTATATTGGTAAAGAGCATTTCCATATTGATATTTTATTTTCATATAGATATCTTATTGTTTACAGATTTTGATCTCTTTTTCGTATCATTCTGAAACAGATATTATTTATGTTCATACTAATACATTTGTATTATTTTCGTATAGATCTTATTTTCGTAAGGATATTATGTTCATACTAATACATTTGTATTATTTTCGTATAGATCTTATTTTCGTAAGGATATTATTTTCATGCAAATTTCATATTCACAGATCTTATAAAAAGATTTGTAAAAATCTTAGTCGAAAACATAATTTTCATACAGATTTTATTTTTGCAGAGATCTTATGTTCGTATACGAGTAGATCTTATTTTCGTGCAGATATATTAATTAATGCAGTAATTGTTTTTACAGATCTTATTTTCGTACATATATAGTATTTTTTATACAGGTGTTATTTTTTAACAAAGCTCATTTTCGTATATATATCTTATTTTGGCATAGATCATATTTTCAATTAGATCTTATTTTCGTACAAATATCAATTCATATATACGGATTTTAATCGTTTACAGATTTATTTTCGTATAGATCATCAATTGGGTCTTATTTTCGTACATGTAGTATTTTCATACATATATTATTTTCATTCAGGTATTATTTACTAACAGGTCTTATTTTCGTATGTACATAATTTTCATACTTACGGATCTTATTTTCGTAGAGTACTGTACAGTATAGATTTTATTTTCGTACATATTCTATATGCAGTAGATCTTATTCTTGTAGTCGTTGTTTCTGGTTATTTTCGCACTAGCTAATTCTTGCTTTTATTTTGATACTTTTTCACCACTACCTTTTTATTGTCTTATAAGAGAAGATTTAATTCAATTCTTACAATCTTATTTGCAAGTAATACAATTTTATAAGAGTTATGATCGCCATCTTGGGTTATTTTTTCGCATGCCTTCTTTCTATACTATTTGGGAAATTACCATATATGCCTCACAAACGTCTAATATTTCATTACAAAATACTTCATTCTTTATTATTTCATTCATACAAATCATTTAATAACAACAAAAATACGTTTTCAATACATTTTATCAAAATAAATCTTATTTTCGTAGACCCGATCTTATTTTCGCTTTAAGCTATTTTGGTACGATAGTATTTTCGGCTCAAATTTCACTTTTTTAAATATTTTTTTGGTTCTAAAATTTTAATTTGCTGTAAAATCATTCAATGAATGGATAAATATATATTTTACATAATTATTTCAACAGATAAATGCACTATTTAAAAAATAAATCTTATTTTCGTAGCCACGATCTTATTTTCGCGAAAATAGCTTATTTTCGGTATCCATCTATACCGCTTTTTTAACAAAATTTTTTACAAAAAAATCTGGAGTAGCAAAACATGCGTATAAATTGTAAATTCTTTCTTTCTCTACAAATTCACATACAAATTGGTACTTTCATCAATAAAACTTTTCAATATCCTTGAGTAGAGGTCTGTTAGTGTGAAAATGTTAAACCATGAAAGTTATGATGAAAACATATCAAAATATGTGATAAAAGTAGATTCTAATCATTATCAGTAATATATAATTATGGGCCGAGTTGACCCGTGCCAAGTTGGAATAGGGCCGAGCTGACTCAAGGGCCTAGTACGTTTTAGGGCCGAGCTGACCCTGATTCTTAATTTGATTGATAAAAACCCATTAGTAATTGTAAAATTTTACACTTAAAAGGATGATAATTTTTTGCTGAATGCTTTAAATGGAAAAGATTTTGGCTTTTCCTGAATTTTGATTTACTAGTATTTCAAGTACTTTGATACTGGGTATTGCAGGGAGTAGTTGTGGTTGATGACATTTTACACCATAAATCACGGCTCCAGCTTGCTACTTCTTCCAAAGAAGAGAAACTCCATAGCCTTTCCGAGCTTCTCAAGAAGATTCCACCACGTCATATAATGATGAGTACAAAAATAGGTGAGTTAACTAAAAGCCAGTTCTGGCTTCCATAACATTAAATGTCCCTTTTATTTTGACATTGTGCAACAGCAATACTATAAAACTTGTTTGGTGAAGACTCTTTAGATAATTAAAAGCATAAGATGTGGTTGGCAAATTTTTATATATTGCTCTCATGTAAAGAACATGTTACAGCCAATGCAGCTTTATGGTGTATGCCTCTAAATCCAGGGACTGCAAGGGGATTGTGGGTTCGAGACTCACTTCGGTCATGACCATGTTCATAAACAATTTTGAGACCAGTTGTGGCAGTACTGGTTAAATTCAGAAAAGTTTTGTTAACAAAATATACTGTAGGAAAATGTGGTCAACACATCAACTCTTGTGAATGTCTTTCTCAAAATGGACAAGTAAATCAGACAGTGCATGGTATGATTCACATATAAATAAAACTTCATTTCGAGACATGTTTGGGCCCATATTCTTGTCAGTAACAAAGTTTTCCAAAAATGTTTACCCAGTCACACAGTTATGAAAGGAAAAATTGCTAAAGAAATCGTGAACACAGCTATATAACTTGACAGAGGCATGACCTTTTGTTACCGTGAAAAATGTTAGTTGGCATACATGTCATGATTAAACAAAATCTAAAGGTAGCATTGACAGATTTGATAGAACTGTATTATCGTTTTAATTTCTTCACATAATAATGACTATATATGAACAAGTATTATTTAGCAATATACAGTGTCACTGTGTTACATTTGGTCCGAACTCAAATTACGAAAGGAAATGTTAGACTCAAGGACACTGTTAATATTTTACTTAAACAATAAATGCATACATAATATTGATAATGCAAAGATTATGTCATATATTTTATAGCAGAGTAAAAAATTACTTAAAATGTATAATGCTAATGCCACATGAAATTTCAATTTTCTCTTGCATAAGCATGTTGTTTATATTATTATATTATATGTTGGTATGGGTTGATGGCATCTATCAAGATTCAAATTAAACATTTGAGTTTGGTTTGAGTTTATCTTGTAGAAATGGGGGAGATAATATTAATTTTTATGCAAGAAATATTAAAGAGAAATTTGTTTCTTTGTAGGAAAGAAAACAAATTGATACAATATTCAACTTTGTAGGAAATGTTTAAACAGAATACATTTTATTTACAGAAATATGCTTCTTTGTAGGAATTGTTAAAGGGAAATTGATACAATGTTGAAAAAGAATATGTCAGTGATTTTTCTCACTTAATTGGGATTTTGGGGAAACTATTGCTAAAATTGTTAAATTGGGAAGTAAAAAAGCAGTTTTAAGTTCAGAATTTTGGGAAGATGGCATGATTTTAAAGAAAACTTCATTTGGGAAGAGGCCTTTTTATTGAAGTCTGTTATATATGCAGGAAAATCATGTGTACATGAGTCCTTTGTTGTAGGTAATGTTATTAAGAAGTTACAAAATAATGAAGATGAAGATATTAGGAAAGCTGCTAAAAAGGTGTATGTGAAATGGAGGACACATTTTGTAGAGCATATGGAGAGACCCATGATTGAAGTAAAATGTGATCTAAAGACAGAAAAGTTGAGGGCATCAGGCACGAAATTACTGACAGAAGCTTTATGTGTTCAAGTAAGTTTGAGTGAAATGAAAAATCATATTGATATTAACCTTCAGCATGCTAATTGTGTCTATTCCTGGCATACTCATTTTAGATCGAAAGATCAAGGGTCAAGGTCATAATGTCCTTTGTTTACTTGGTCGATTAAGTTTTTGCTTATGGTCAATATATTCAGTTTTGACTTTTAAACTTGATATGTGGATGTATTTTGATGAGTTCTGCCTGCCACACCCCTTTTTTATAAAAAAGTCAAGGTCTATGTAACCTTAAATTCAAATAATTTCTTTATTTCAAAACTGGAATTGCTGGAATATCAGGAATACACATGTACAAATGTACATTGATATACATGTTTTAAATGAGGTAGCTTGTACAGTGGAAACTATCATTTGAATATGTTTTATTTACTGTTTTCATGGTACATGCATGCTTGTTTCAGCCCTCAAAAATACAACATACTAAAAGAAAATATATATATGTAGTTGCTTTATAATTTCTCACTGACATCTGAAAAATTGAATTCAGGATTCTCTCTTCTGACAAAATAGTGAAATAATATCGCAAGACATGAACTGATGAAGAAATTGGTTTGATTTTCTAAATATTAAAACCATATGAAATCAAATGTTGAATATATATCAATAATATATCAATATCTCGATATTCAATAGCAGTCCTAATATTAAAAATATACTATGCTCATCTTTGAGCAGAAATATATTGAAATCTATGAAATTCTTACTAAATATTTCTAATTTGAATAAAAGGAATGTATAAACTATGTATGAGAAGCTGCATTCTCTATTACAGGTCAAATAAAGCTGATCATTTCTTTAAAAAACTGCCAGTTTTTTAATGACACTATATTTTCATATTGTGTGTGGAGTTTAAAACTTAACATATGAAGTCAAAACATGTTTATTTTATATTTATACAGAGACTGTGTAGCAAAATTATCAATATTTTCAAATATCAAATTTGAACATAATATATCTTTAACCAATCTCATTAAAATCAGACCATTGTTTTCACTCATATACTTTTTGCTACCTAGCTAAGGGTAGTGGAGGGACAGTTAAGATATGATTTTAATAAGATTCATCTCTTTAATCAGAGTAAAATAAATGTTTGTGTTTTAATTTTTCAGGCCTCAGATAAACTTCCCGAGGCCATAGAGAGGGAGACTTTTCAACTTCATAAAAGACTGATAAATAACAGTTACAGAAGAACTATAAGACATCTAGTGTTCATGTTAAAGAACCAGGAAGATTTAAGAACAAAAGTTAAATCAGGGGAGATCACTGTGACAGACTTTGTAAAAGATAATAAGAAAAGCTGATGAAGACAGATTTGGAGTGGTGTTTTGATTTTGAGAAATTTGTAATTTATTACTTTTTCGTTTAATTCATTTATGGTTAAACTTGGTTATAATCATAGGTAGCTTTCAAAATTTTAGCAGGAGTTTTGATAGTTTTTAACGAATTTAATCAAGATAATTAAGTTTCATGTATCAGTGATTTCAGATCAAGTTTATTTTTAGATATTATAAAGTCTTTAACTTGCGAGAGAAATGAGAGTTAGAAAACAGTATTATATTTGTGAATGTTGGACAATGAACGTGACTGGAATGTTTTAGAACTTGTCATCTTTTATATATGAAAAATATTGAAGTATTACGCCAACAGCAGAACAAGGTTTTAACATAATATTATGTACATGTAAATCTATAAAAAAAAATTGACAAAAACACCATCAAATTCAACTGAAGAAAATACATATCTCAATTATCCATAGGGGTGTCACGGTTAGAAGAAATGCTAACCGTTGAAATGGCGACCTCAAATAACGGTTTTAAATGTTAAACGGACGGTACTAATAAAATCCTTAGATTTTCATTTTGAACTTTGTTCTATATGACGAGATATTTTTATCGTATTTTATAGTACTCGTAATAATTACTATACATATCCAAATATTGAGTAACAATTTTCAGTTAGGGTCGTACCGTACTCCAGCAGGTCAGAAAAAATATATTGTTGAGTACAATTAAAATACAAACAAATTGTCATATCTTGCTATCTAAAAAAAACACAGGTAATATTTAGAATCAATTTAAAACTATTTTGCCTCTTTGTCAAAAACATGTACTAAATTTGGTTACTGGTTTATTAATTTTTTAACTGTTTTTAGCTAAAAACTGACCATATCCGTTTTAATGTTACACCCCTATTATTTTGTCAAGATTGGCGGTAGACAAGACCATTTATGATATTTAGTGAAGAGTTTAAAATACATGTACAAATACAGATGAGGAAATGTGCAATTAATGTGAACAATTCTATTCCAGTTTTGATTTTGAGGTATGCTTATACACATACCTGAAAGATCCAGTACATAACAAGAGAAATGATGGTTAAATTTACTGTATATATTTCTGTACATAAATAATCTACAGTTAATTTTGATGTCACAGTTCATAAAATATTTAAATATTTTTAGTAATTGACATGCATGTTAATAAGCCATTTCGTGACAAAATAAATTTTCTTTCTTTCCATACAACTGATCGGCATTCATCAGTGTTTTTAGACTTTATTGTAAATTGTATTTTGAAAATTTGTGATTGAATTATATTTTATACAACCATTTTATTTTTAAATAAATTGTTTTATCAATTACTATTTTTATTATATTTTACTATTCATTCTATTTCATAATTTCATAAAAAATAGGATGTATTCTGTGCAACCATGGTACTAGTCCTTCACAGTATTCAAATCTACAGACATGCATACGAGATATTATTTAATTTATATAAGCCACCAAAGAAAACCCATATTGACGACTCACTCCAAAAGGTTGTTACCACTTTCATTTTTTGGAGTACAGTGTAATTGAATTTACTCCATTTCATGTGAAACAACCGATTCTTTAACTTGCAAGGTGCAAAGTTTTATTACATGGGACCTCGGTTTTTAGAATATCATTCAAAAGACTTGTGGCCATGTACATAAGCTGACAAAACTAAAATCACTTGCCGTTAAAACACTTTGTGTTCAAATTTCGTCGGAAACATTTGATTCAGTCATGTAAGGAAGCTAAACAGCTAGCTTAGGGAAATGTTGATGGTTTTACTCGGGTGACTGACTTAAGCCTGAAATAATGAACGGAGCAGCACCCAAGATCTTCCTCCCAACAGTAACACTGGAAAGTCGCCATATGACCTTTAATACAGTGTTGGTGTTCTTTAAATCCAACCAAAATTGGGACTTCTTAGTAATTCAATTACAACAGCAAAGGAATTAAACTTACATTAACTCCTGTTATTCTTAATCATAGTAAAACTAGAACTATCACTAAATGTGATTAATACCCCCACAAGACTGCTTTGGAAATGAGGATGTTACTAGTAACAGAATACCTTGTAAAATAATTGAAATATAGAGCTATGGTTGTGGGCAATTAAAGATAGTTGTGGTTCTTGTATGTTGCATTTCCTTTTAATGTGGTTGGCCATTGATGAAGTTTAATTGAATTACTCTGTAATAAGTTCAGAAAGACAAAGAAAAGGAACAAAGGGAAAAAACTCTATAAATACTGAAGATAGAGTTATAGTTCTTGTGCACTGCACTTCCTCTTATTGTGCTTGGCCATTGTATGAAGTTGTTTTGAATTCCAACCAGTACGTTTTAAGTTATGCTCCGGACAAGGAAAAGTATCAAAGGGCAGTAACTCTGTATTTTGTCAAAATGGAGTTATGGCTCTTGTGCACTGCACTTCCTTTTAATGTCCTTGACAAGTGCATGAAGTTATATTGAATTCCAACCATTAGTCTTCAAGTTATGTTCTGGACAAAAAAGCAATGGAAAAGTAACAAAGGGCAATAACTCTGTAATAAGTCAAGATGGAGTTATGGTTCTTGTGCACTGCACTTCCCCTTATTGTGCTTGACCATTGTAAGAAGTCGTTTTGAATTCCAACCAGTAGTTTTCAAGTCATGCTCTGGACAAGGAAAATTAACAAAGGGCAGTAACTCTGTAATTAGTCAAGATGGAGTTATGGTTCTTGTGCACTGCACTTCCTCTCAATGTGCTTGACCATTGTATGAAGTTATAATGAATTTCAACAATTAGTCTTCAAGTTATGGTCCAGACAAAAGAAAGCAATGGAAAAGTAACAAAGGGCAATAACTCTGTAATTAGTCAAGATGGAGTTATGGTTCTTGTGCACTGCACTTTCCCTTATTGTGATTGACAATTGTATGAAGTTGTTTTGAATTCCAACCAGTAGTTTTCAAGTCATGCTCTGGACAAGGAAAATTAACAAAGGGCAGTAACTCTGTAATAAGTCAAGTTATGTAACTTGTGCACTGCACTTCCTCTCAATGTGCTTGACCATTGTATGAAGTTAAAATGAATTCCAACAATTAGTCTTCAAGTTATGGTCCGGACAAAAGAAAGCAATGGAAAAGTAACAAAGGGCAATAACTCTGTAATTACTTTAGATAGAGTTATGATTCTTGTGCACTGCACTTCCCCTTATTGTGTTTGACAATTGTATGAAGTTGTTTTGAATTCCAACCAGTAGTTTTCAAGTTATGCTCTGACAAGGAAAAGTAACAAAGGGCAATAACTCTGTAATAAATCAAGATGGAGTTATGGTTCTTGTGCACTGCACTTCCTCTCAATGTGCTTGACCATTGTATGTAGTTATATTGAATTCCAACTATTAGTCTTTAAGTTATGGTCCGGACAAAAAAAAAGTAATGGAAAAGTAACAAAGGGCAATAACTCTGTAATTACTTTAGATAGAGTTATGGTTCTTGTGCACTGCACTTCCCCTTATTGTGTTTGACAATTGTATGAAGTTGTTTTGAATTCCAACCAGTAGTTTTCAAGTTATGCCCCGAACAAGGAAAAGTAACAAAAGGCAATAACTCTGTAATAAGTCAAGATAGAGTTATGTTTTTTGTGCACTGCACTTCCTCTCTATGTGCTTGACCATTGTATGTAGTTATATTGAATTCCAACCATTAGTCTTCAAGTTATGCTCCGGACAAGGTAAATGCAACGGACAAAAAAAAAAGCAATGTAAAAGCAACAAAGGGCAATCACTCTGTAATTACTTTAGATAGAGTCATGGTTCTTGTGCACTGCACTTCCCCTTATTGTATTTGACAATTGTATGAAGTTGTTTTGAATTCCAACCAGTAGTTTTCAAGTTATGCCCCGGACAAGGAAAAGTAACAAAGGGCAATAACTCTGTAATTAGTCAAGATAGAGTTATGGTTCTTGTGCACTGCACTTCCTCTCAATGTGCTTGACCATTGTGTGTAGTTATATTGAATTCCAACCATTAGTCTTCAAGTTATGCTCCGGACAAGGAAAATGCAACGGACATCTGGACCGACCGACCACCGGGTGACTCCTATATACCCCCCCAAACTTCGTTTTTGGGGGTATAATGATATTACCACATGACCACTTACCAACTTTCTTTTTATTTCCTCCACATTATTTTAACAGCTTAAATTTCGATCTAATCGGCAGCCATCAATGTTCTATATTTAGCATTCTTACCAATAATAATAATTTTAACACTTTAGATCTCATTAAAAACCAGCTATGTTTCTTTATTACCAATAATAATAATCTTAACACTTTCGATCCAATTAAAAACTAGCTTTGTTTCTATATTAAGCAAACTTGCTTACATTTAAGACAACAATTTTAAGACAGCAGTATGCAGGATGTGTAACTTAATAAGTGACACGAATTCCAGTTTTCTTAAATTTGGCGGGTCAAAAATTACAATGAATTTATTATTATAACGCATTTTTATTTCAACATCATATCAGGAAAATAATACATTATATAACGCATTTTTATTTCAACATCATATCAGGAAAATGGTAAATTTTTCAATAAAAGATTAATGTATTTATGAACCGGATAACATCTACATGAGACAAAAGCACTATATATTATGCTTACAAATTCTGGTTATTAAAAATTCTGGTTATTAAAAAGTTAAAAATACTCAGAGAGAGAAAGTGAACTCAAAAACAAGTCTTAAAAACCCGTGACAAAAAATACTTTTTGTCCCAGGTAAAACTATGCCTATCCAAGCAAATCCGACCTTAACATCCTTGTAACATGACTGGTGTGTTATATAAATAATAACAGATTTCAAGTACTGATAATTATATTTCGGGAATCCAAAATACCGCAAAATTGTACTTATTTACTCCCCCGTAGCAATCCTGCTTAAAAACATCTTCTATCCTCGCTTTTTAAAGCAGAATGCTTCCAGAAGAGTTAGCTAATTCGTCAAAATATCACAAGAATATTAGGAAATAAATGAATTTTCACAAATAAGGCAAACTTGGAATGTATTATGCAAATCGTGACAAATATTATTATTTTTTTATTACCAAAATTCTACCCCAAAAGTAACAGAGTTAGATAAAAAAGAAAAAGAATGTGCATATCTTTACAATTTCTAAGTAATTTCATTACATAGCAATTAGCTTAGGCTAGGTTAAATCATTTAATTTGTACATATCTCATCATTTGTGTTTTATTCATTACAACAATTTTAAAATTTTCACAAAAATTATCGCAAATCTTGTGCCATTATGCTTTGATAATTTTTATGTATTTTTTTTTCAGAAGATAAAAAGACAGATTCCTCCCATCCCCCCCCCCAAATTATTTCAAATAATTTTAAAAACTACTAAGAACACACACTATTTCTTGTCTTTGTTTTCGACCTGTGTGAATAACAATCCTGGAATTTGTCCTTTTCCTATAGTTGTTTTACAACCTTTTACGGTCATGAAATGAAAATTGACGCCATCTGCTGTAACATCACTTTTCCCGCCATAACCCATCTTGGTTGGTGGTCCCTTCATTTCTACTAACACTTTGTATTGTTTTCCAGGCTTCAACGGCACTGGTGATGATAACATGACGTCATACATATGCTGTGTCCGTGTTGTGCTTAATGTCAGAAAATTTGACGCCAGTTGAACAAAGTCCTTCTCTGACCATAACCAGAGTTCTATTCTGACATCATATTCTGCTGACTCTTCAAGCGTGCCATACATTGATGCACCATGTAGCAGAATATGTTCTGAACAGCAAAATTTTATCGAGTCACTCTCATCAGACTTTAAACTTTGAAATCCCTCCATAGAAATCAAGTTGTACCTGTAAAATAATAAATCTCATCTAATTACCAATTTGTTATCAATCATGATAAATAAAATCATTACCCTGCTAAATATCTAAAATAGACTTGTCCATCATTGAATTTGGACACATCCATTGGTTTTTTTGTAGGAAATTTCAAATTATATACTGACTGAACAGTGAACAGTATAGAACATGGTCATATAACTAATAGCTAGACAGTAAATAAACCCCTAAAAGCTGTGTTAAGATTAAGATAAAGAGTTAAGTACCAAACACATGTAAATCATAAAGGGTATTTCAAACACATTCTGTCTTCTTTAGTTTCAAATTTATAATTGTGTCAAATACTCTGAAGTTTCTTTTACCCTTATCCTGCAGAAACTGGAAGTGATTAGCCTTTGTCTAGAGTATAGAACAGTCTGACCAAGCTCAATACAGCTGGCTGGTTAACTTTAGTAATTTATCTCCATATCCTCAAAACGTCCTAAAAGCAATTCCAACAGAGCTTTCCAAAAGGACCATAAGTCTGTCCCAGAATCCTTTTGAAAGAGTTATTAACCTTGTACATTGATCTATTATGCTCTCAAATAAGTGTGTGAAGTTTCAACCCATTCACTTCAGTGATTTTGGAGATACGAACTTGCATGCAAAAAATTAACCAAAATGTGACTGCAACACAACACCTGGGTGAGTACAAAAGCTCTCCCTAATTCTTCAAATTAAGTCTATATAAAAATGGGAGCTAGAAAAGTACATTTAAGAAATTGAGATGGTTAACGGACACAAAAGTACCTCACTACACTGCTTAGTGAAAATCCACGTCGTCTGTTTGTACAGAATTTCCAGTTTGACGGCTGCGCTCGACCATTGAAGTATTGGTATATAGCTATAACTTCTTGCATGGTCAGTAATTCTCGTGTAGAAACAGCGTTGGTAAAATAAACTGGGTCCATTAGTGGATATCTCACATAGAATAATGTTTGTCCGAGCACAGTTCGTAAATTTTCGTCCGACGTCTGAAAAATATCAAAATAATTCTAAATGACACCACCGTTCACAAAAATCTCATCTCATAGGTAAATTTTAATAATATAGGTTGAAATGGACAAATGCGAGCACTGAACATTGAAAGTCATTTCTCAACTTTGTTAAATGATATAGTGGGAGAAAAAGAAGACAGTAATATACAATAACTAAATTTTTTCTTGATGACTGTTAAATTTCATGTCATTTCAACATAGAAAGGTCATGTCTCAACTTTCTAGCTTGTACTGGTGATGGTCGATATCAAGAATTCCTCTTCATAGATAGTCGGCAGGTTACTTTTGTATGTTTCTCACATGAATATTTTTTTTTTCGGGGAGGTGTGGTGGGGGGGATGGGGTTAAGTCACACCAACACACTATAGGTCATATGGCAACTTTCCAGCTTTACTCATGGAGGAAAACCTTAGGTGCCCTTCCATGCATTATTTCAGGCACAATTGGGCACCTGAAAAGAACCACTGTCGTTCTGTAAGCTAGCTGGATAACTGAAAGAATCCTAAGTCCCTGTCAAGAGGATTTGAATTTAAACCTTATAGTGGTGATGGGTGAATGACCTAAAGCAAGCGGCCTGAAACACACAGCCATGGGTGTCTCCATATTTGCCTCAAGATCAATTATCTTTACCTGTAAATTTCTTCGCTTGCATTCTTTATCAGCCCAGCTCAGTGCAGCTTCATAAACTAGACGTTCCTTTACAACAAGTTCATCAACTGAAATTAAAATCAATTCCTTCCTACCTTTAGAATCCTGCAATATAGGCTTGATCTGTTCTAAAAACACAATTCTTTAACTGGTTAAGAATGGGATGTGATTTTAAGATATGACCACAATGACCTTTCACAATAAGTAATTGGTATTGACAAAGGCCATTTCGTAAGCTAACAAGCCCCTTTGAAGCAAAGGTGCTAGTGGCATTGATTTAACCTTGTCATTTATGTAATAAAATATCAATATACTAAAAAAAATAAAAAGATTTTTTTTTTTTTTTCTTTTTAGAATATTGATATTTTATTGCATAAATAACAAGGTTAAACACATTTTAGGTCAAATCAATGCCACTAGCACCTTTACTTTGAAGTGGTGATGTTAATGGATTATCAGATATAGATTATTCATAATAAGAAAAATTTGAGCTCTTTTTTTATTCTGATAATAATATTATATAATAATATTATATTGACAAGACAAAAATAGCAAAAACTCAAAATTTAATTTAACAAATATCTACAACATGATGGAAATTAACTGTATTCCACTGTAACCTTATATAACCCTTGTATCCCTGTATCCCTTGTCATAAGGGTGTGAAAAAGAATTGTGGTTTTGTGTCATTTACTTACTTACTTTATTTTATAGGCAGGGGATTTCCATAAAGAGAATCACACAGTTACTTCCCTTCTACAACTCTTGCCTAAAGGCGGATTATGTAAGTATAACTAAAAACCAGATGAACTAAGTTACATAATTCAATACTCTTATTTTGTTTATTTTGTTAAGTTATAAGATCAAGCTAGGCTATGTAAATATTTAACAATCTGTCACAGTCCATTGATTTTCTATAGTCTTATGACATGGTTAGGTAAAGCATCGAAAAATAAAAGTCACTAATTTTGTAAAGCCATATGATATGGCCTAGATACATGTAGGTTGAGTACATGTACATCAATAACCTATCACAGTTCAGTGATTTCATAAGGTCACCTGACATGCCTTAAAAAGGCTATCAGTGACAATATCTTATGTTGCCCTAGGTCGTATTGAGAAATATTTAATCTTTAGAAGTCATAGTAACAAGCAAAATGGGGAAAACTCTGAGGTAACATGGTAATGTGCTGATCTAGAGGTTGCAGGTTTGATTCCCAGCACCACCACTAATATTACTAATTGTCACCTTAGTGCAATAACTGATTAATTCCTATTGAATTTAGAAAAACTTATTACTTTACTGTACTAAGGTGACATAATGAGATCTTAAAAAAAAAGAGGTTCCATATATGGGACCTCTACATTGTGCATGTAAAAAAACCAGGGTCACACCAGAAACGAGGCAACTGCTGTATCTGTGCATTATCCAGAAAACAACAACTAACTCTTAAAGGCATCACAGATGTATGCAACCAAAACCATGTTTGGGGGTATTGCTTTCCTTTGGAGCAAATAACTATCAAATTACAAACCACAAACAAATTGTGAGTTTGACCTAATATTATTAACATCAAATCAAACAAAAATGTTCACATTTAGATTTTCTCTGAAAAGAATTATTTGATAAACTAAACATAAATGGTTTACCTTTAACAATATTTTCCACACAGCTAGGACATAGACTTCTGAATGCATCAGATTTTAGAACGTCCTCCGCATGCTCGTGTATATAGTTCACACATTTTGTTTCCAGGTTCTTCCCATCATATAAGTGCACCTGAAAAACATCTTTAGTATATGCTGGCTGTCTTGGCTCTATACTTGTGGCAAAGGCTTATCACATTTGTTTCTGATTAAACTTTAATACATGTAAACTAAAACGTTGTAAGATCATATTGCAGTAAGTTATTATTATGATCCATAAGATAATGCTCTCAACTATTCTCAGTGTTTGACAGTAAGAAAAGGGGCGTAACTCTGTAAAAATGTGCCCATCACCTTAGATAATCACAGGCAACACAAAATATGTGTGAAGTTTCAACCCATTCCCTTCAGTAGTTTTGGAAATACAGACTTGCACAGAAAAACTTAACCAAAGTGTCACGGCAATGGAGACATTGGTTCAGGATGGGTATAACAGCTTTCACTTTTTTTCGAATCATTGAGCTTAAAATATAATACGCTTTTAATACAAACCTGTTCTAGAATGTTACAGACATTTTGAACATTTATAGAAGATTCTAGAAATGCCAGACATTTATCTACAAGTCCTTTTACAGCATATTTCTTCGCAGCATACAACAATTGTTTCACATTATTCCCATCAATGGTAGCTTGCTCACAATACAGGAACCTGAAAGCAAATTATACAAGATTTATAACCAACAAAACTGTGACATTTGGGCATGGCCATTACAGTCTCATTACTCTAGATAATAATTATTCAATTCTGTATCCAACATCAAATAATTTGTTACAGCGGTCAGCCTCATAAGCTCAACAGGGTGGCGTTGGATTAGTACTCTAGTGGGCGCAGGTTTGATACTTGGGCAAGGCTAAATTTTTCCATGACAATTGATCATGGACATAATTGATTCTTATTCTAGTCAATTCTCTCTTTACTGCTGTTTCTGAAATCACTTGAATTAAGTATTTGGTCACTTGTGATGAAATCTGAAATTACTGGTTAATTATCAAGGAAAGCTGATAAGATGGACTAATCACCAAGGTTTGACCAAAAAAAGCGATAAAATCTTAAAACAATATATACATTTACAAAGTCCTTAATTACACTGTTTTATCAAACACTATAAATACTATTTTTATGGCGTGCAATTTACATTCTCACTGTCATGACTTTCTAGTATTACTGCTACAAAAAGACCTCTGATGCCAATTCTGTGCCAGGATGCCAATTCTGTGCCAGGGCCTGTTGAAGCTAATTTAGGAAAAGGCCCCCGGTTTAAATTGGGAAAAATTCTAAGTGACTATTTAATTTGAGACATTTTGAAAAGTTGACAGTCTAACTTATATACGACTTTTATAATGCGAGAACATACCAAAGTTTCCAGACCACAAAATGTTGAAATAAAATGTATACAGTTTTTCCTTTAATTAAAATCAAGAATTTATAAATCTTAACCTACACTACTTACCCAATTCAAACAGCATAGGTTGGAAGTGATAAACAATGCATCTTTAATGGTAGCAAGACCAAAATTAAAAAGAAAAAAACTCAACTTGCATTTATAAAGTTTGAAATGTCTCAGGATCTATGTAAAACATAGGTATAGAGGACAATAATGATGATGACAATGCAGAAATGACTTTTTCTTTGAAACTGACAAGCTAATAAAAGAAAATCCACTTACATTAACAAAGTTTTAAACGTCTCAGGATCTATATCAGACACAGGGATAGTATCACTGTTGCTGTCACCGGATATTGAACCACCAAATATTGACTGGAAAACCGAACTTCTGCTCACCAGCATGTACTTATGAGCTTTAATCGGCTCTTTTTTCTGCCCGAGTAAAAATGTGACATCGCAGTTAATTTCATTTTGCAGCATAAACTTGTTACAATCCATGACACTACGTCCAGCCTGCCAGTCTTCGATGCTCTCTAGGATTTCTGCCATTCTGTAAAATCCAATTTGCAATTGCTTAAACTGATTACTATTGTACACTGTACAGTCAGATATTTTCTCAAGGCCAAAATTTCATGAAATCAACATTTTGTACTTATTGCTGAGCTTTACTGTAAAAAAAAAATAAAATTGCAATGTATATTATAATTCTTTATTACTGTAAAGACTTAAGTCAGATATTTTCACTAGGCCAAAGTTTCATGAAATCAACACTTCAGATGAATTGATGGTGTTAAATATTCTTAAACTTCTATTTTTAGTTATGTCACATTTGAATGATACTGAGCAGACATTTAGTTTCATGCATATCTTTCAATTTGCAAACTAAGCAAAATTTGATCGCTCTCCAAAATTTCTGATTTTAAATTATCACACCTCTTCCTGAAGATCATTTATCCAGAATGGGATTTTTTTTTTTTACCCTCAAATTCTTATAACACATGAAGTACATTTTGTTATTTGCAAAATATTTTTTGTAGCCGCAATTCTTTCAACCAGTCATTTTGCTATCTTAAAGCATTTTTTTAGGCCTGGGCGGACACCCTGAGATAGAACCAATCATAAGCATAATCACCTGTTTAACTTGTATTTTTCATTTGATAGAAAGTCAGGGCAAACGAAACACCATTAAGTTAAACTAAACAAAAGTTGATCTGAGTTTGATTTTAAAAAAATTGTTTTTATCTGAGACTGGTTTCTTACCTTATACTGTCATAGTGGTAGACAGCATCAAGACATATATAAATTATTTGATACTTATAGATACTGTAAAACTTCAACATCCATCTAAAACAAATTAAAAATCCTGTATGTTGTAATTCAGGATGTAACAACACTTAAGTGAAATTTTATATAATGTATATAATTATTCTTCTAAAACAATTTCTAAACATTCAAGAATATGTTAAATATGTACTGCAAATGTTTATTTACACTATAAGTAAGTAATCATTAAAATGTATGCATTCATTTCTTATTGAAAAATTTTTCTTAGACTTTATGGAAAATAGATTTCTAATTACCTCCCTTTATTTACATAAAATGTTAATTTAGTAATATCTTTACAAATGCTTTTTTTTCAAATCTTTATATGAGCATCAGATTTATGGTATAAAATCATAAAAAAATCAGTTACAGTTTAAAAGGATAAAAACAGGGCAGGTGTGTCTACTGGTCGGGGACCATCAACCGGACACTTTATGAACATTTTTCCGTACATATTTTATAATTTTAAACCTAGAGATAAAAAAAATTGACACAGTTCAGCTAGGTTCTTCTCCTAACTAACAAACTAGTTTGTTTATTTCTGATTGTATTAACACTTATATCTGAGGCTCGACAAGTAGGGTATCAAAATTACCTAAATTGTCTACACTACAGTACCATGTGTCCGGACAGATATGTACATGACGTGATTTAATTCAACCGGACACTTTTTGAACATTTTTCCGTACAGATTTCATGATTTTAAACCTAGAGATAAAAAAATTTGACACAGTTCAGCTAGGTTCTTCTCCTAACTAACAAACTAGTTTGTTTATTTCTGATTGTATTAACACTTATATCTGAGGCTTGACAAGTAGGGTATCAAAATTACCTAAATTGTCCACACTACAGTACCATGTGTCCGGACAGATATGTACATGACGTGATTTAATTCAGATAAAAGCCTGGGTGTTTTGGTTTTTGACTTTTAACATGATACACAATATTTCAGCAACAAATGCTGAAGTTTTGGATATTCTATTGTTTACTCAGCAAATGATTATAGCTGGTAAATGAGGTCAGGCATTGTTTTCTTGACCCCCATATTTCAACGTCAACATTCTTGAAATAGACATTAAAATGTTACCATTTACGGAGGTTGAAATAAATTTAATTACTTAATTTTAGAAGAAACATGCATTTATTGTTGATAAAAAAGTGACTGACAACCACTGAACTAAGAAAATACTATATTAAGCATTTTTGGGGCCGTCCGGGTTTGGTAGTTGTCCGGTTTTGGTGGTCCCCTACCAGTAGGGTGAGACAAATTCAATCTAGCTAACAGTCTTACTGAACATTGGAGCAGGCATGTCGCATGGTGCACAGGAGCTTGCAATTCTATCAATAATCACTCTAAAGTCTGATTTAAAAAAAAATCCATACCTATTAAAAATAATATATATATTTTTTATAAATAGTTTTTAAATCGGACTTTAGAGCGATTTTTGATAGAATTTCAAGCTCCTGTGCATGGTGACAAGGTCTGGGAGTAAAGCATTCCAGAGTAAATTGTCCCATGGAAATAAAAATATTTGTAACAGTCAATACACGTTTGATTTTGTCTGAAAGCATGAATTCGACAAAATAAAGTGGGGAGAAGTGTAGAGATTACAGGTATAGGCCAGCGATACTTCACAATTCCCAAAAATGCCGTGCCGGTGGACCAATTTCATTTTAACTGTTTAACAGCTTTAATTCTGGTGTAGGTGAATAAGCAGCTAGTGATCTAAATTAATGGCATCTTTTAACCGACAGATTAATGAAAATCAAAAATTTCTTAAATTCAAATGCATATCACACAGTCTTATATATCTAATAAATTTCTAATGTTACCATTAAAGTATAGCAAATCGTGATTTATTACCGATAACAAACCAGGATGTTTGACTACAAATGGCGACCTTTTATAAAGGGGAGGTAATTAAATGTGTAATTTTTTGTTGTTGTTACTCTATTCGTGCTGTATACACGTGCTTTGTTTTTCAAGTCTTAGAACAATTATTTTGTACAGAAAATAAGTCTTTATCAAATTTCGTTTAAAATTAATCAATCTATCACACTTTTATATGAATAGAAAGATATTTTCGGTGTTGTTGTTGTTGTTTTTTGCACTGTCACAGTGATTTCCCTTGATTGCGGACGATCCATTTGTAAATGAAAACAACACAGGTGTTTCGCAGGTGAATATATTTTTTTATCATAACATGTTATTTTATAAAAAACATATATAGTTAAACAATGCCGTAATATTTTTCTCTCTGTGTAAAAAACAATATTTTTAAGCTCGCTTTATGTTAATTAACAAAAATACGTACGTGTGGTGCGCTTAATTAAGGAAAAGAGTCAACTCGGCCCTGTACCAACTCGGCACGGGTCAACTCGGCACGGGTCAACTCGGCCCACTTTACAAAAATATATATTACGTATTAACTTTGCTTTGCATGTTGTTAAGGTAAATGAATGATAAGAAATATCTTATTATTATATAATTATACATTGTACTTCTGCTGAAATAAAGTATATTTAGAAAAAAAATGTTATTTATTTGTCTTGCAGATTCGATAAAATTAATATAGATCTAATAAAAATGTGTTTCCTTAGATGCATTTTGTTTGTAAAGTAATATTATTATCGCTAGTTTGGGGCGATTAAATGTCCGATTTTAAAATTTATCACATCAATTAAAAGCTGGTGATCTTAGCTTCCTCTTGGTATATATTTCAACACATTCTTTGACACTGAAGGTATCTAAATTTACGGTCAAACCTACCACAAGTCAGAAATACAGTGAGATACGCAATCAGTTATCTTTACTCGCAATTCTACTGATAAGAAAAGCCTGTCTGCTGCTAGTTCGGAAACTGTCAATCTGTGTATTATAAATAATTACCATAATTACGATAAATAGTGATAACACAAACCTAGATATTAATTATTGAAAAGTGGGCCGAGTTGACCCGGGCCGAGTTGGAATAGGGCCGAGTTGACTCGGGGGCCGAGTCCGTTTTAGGGCCGAGCTGACCCGGATTCCTTAATTAATATCTGTTATAAGTAACTGGGCAGTGCATTTCGCATGTGTGTGCATATGCTGCATTACTTATTGAAATGCAATAGATCATTTCAATTAAAACATTTTGCATTGTTTGTTTTTAAAATAACTGAGGAGGTTTTGCAGAGGAAAGATAAATAAAGGTCTTAGAATATTTTATCAATCATAGGAATTTACTGACGATAGTTGGGGTCTTTTTTAATCTAAACTGTTCCATATGTAAGCTGGGTAGTCAGACTATTCTCTCCCTTACCATTTCCTCCCCCTGAGGAACTGGAAAGGGAGAGAATAGTCTGTCATTCTGTAAGCTGTGTACACCAGTTGTAATTCCTAGCTTCCCTAGACAATAGCACAGACATATTTTTGGATTATCAAACTTTTTGTAAAGGCTCCACCCTGAGAGACAAATGGATGGTAAAGTTGATCACTAAATTATACATGTGAACTCTCCCACTTTTAGCGGGAGACTCCCACTTTCTGCAGCCATATTTTCAAAGATTAGAGATTATAGAAATCTCCCAAATTTTGTTGTCAGAACTTCCGTCTTTGTTTATTGCAAATTCTAAAATATCCTTCTTTTTTAAGAAAAATCTCCTACTTTATCATCAAATAAAGGTCATATGTATGCTAAATGTCCTGCCATTGTGAGTTTGACATGTTTTTTGCAGAGTTGGTGCCAAAGCTATGATTGCAAGGACCCGGCAAAAAGTTAATATTTGGGTAAAATCTATTATTCTCAACTTCAAGCAGCATGCCTCCAGATTGTTGCTATTAAATTTTCATGAAAATTTTGAAAATGTATTTTAAAGTTAAATTTTATTAAATGGACATAGAAAGTAATTTACATATTGCAAACAGCACTTACAGTCCATGTAAATTACCAAAAAGAGGTCAAAACATGTAAATAGCCCTTGCTGCAAAGTCAGTCAATAATCGCACACAACATGTCAACTATTTCTTAAATCTTTAATTTTACTTTAGTACATTAATTTTGGATTCTCTTGTTTGGCTCATGATAAGGCATGCACAGGAGTGGCAAAATCAATTGTCCGTATTGCCGGAGTTGTCCCACAGCCTGTACGGACAAGTGGAGTTTTCAAGAATTTACTATATAAATATCATATGGACAAGCCAATTGCTTTAGATAAAAATAGACAAGTAAGTCAAAATAGATTTTGCTGGCCCTGAGCATGAAGCTTTAAATATTCTACATTTGCTTTTAGTTTGGAATTTCACAAGTGATCAGGAATAAAAATTCTTGCATTATATTTTCAATTTAGATAAAGCAGTCAACAGTTGCTACAATCAAACTAACTTTTATCTCAGGTAACCGATCTGTCATTGATAAATAAATAGCATGAATAACTGTTTACCTGCTGTTTTAAGGAGAATATAATACATATACAATGTACATAAACTTGGTATTACTGAAACAGTTATGAGGTGAACAGTTATTATACTTGAGAATTTTATTTAATCTTTATACTTTGCTGAATTTATTTAATTAAATTGTTTTATTCAAATACATTTTAGATATTTTAGGAATATCATTTATAAGAGTATTAAATAGGAATAGTACTGGATACGAAAACGTCATGTACAGAATGGCCGTGAGCTATACTGGTGGTGTAGACAGGTCATCGTAGCTTGATTTCCAACTAATGTTTAAAGTTATAGAAATATTAAATGATTTCTGTTTTAATGAGGAATGATTTTAAAGCTGCATGCCTCCTGCAGTCTGATGAGCCAAACTCATTTCAGGAGATTTGAAGTTTCAATTTTTATTTATTACTCAGGGCCTCAGTTGTAAAGTCTTGAAACGGTGTTGTGTGTGTTTATTTATGCTTGCCACCTGAATGAACCATATATGGGCGATCATTTATTTTATGTGAATATCATTTTCATTGACAGAAATTCAAAGAGTTGTTTAAATGTGTCAAAAATACAATAAAAGCCATTACTAAACAATACAGATAGGTGCAAAAAATAGTTTGTATTATTCAGTGTTTTTTTCATGTAACAAACTGTTGTGACTTCACTGACTTGACATTTGAAGAGAAATGCTTAAGATGTTCCATTCATAAGTAGTTTATTATAGAAGAGAACCAGTTATATGAGGTTATGAAAAAATGTAAACTTTTTAACCCCCACCCCCGTCCTCACCTTCTTTTTCTGAGCCTTTCTTTCAAACTGCAAGTCCCTGTAATGCCAGCTGGTATAGAGGTACATGTGGGTCATCCATTGCACAAAACCTCCGACTCACTAGTATTGAGGCGTTAAACCCACCTTTATCAAGTTGTGCTTTTCTTGTGTCAATTTGAGTGACAAGCTTTTCAATTTTAGGTCATTTTTCACAATCAGAATGATTATTCTGGAAAAAATGGAGTGAGCAAATTATCTGAAATTTGAGCACTAGTTATTGGTCTTGACCTTCATAATAATGGAACATTAATCTTGATAAAAAATATTTCCAGCCCGTTCATGTAAAAAAAAAACTCATTCCATATAAATAAAGTGTTCATATTAAAAGGATTATAAAGGCCGAAAATACATTGTGAAGTTAGACTTAAAAAAAACTTAATTTATTAGAGTGCAGTAGAGTTTGCAAACTTAAATAATGTTAAGATACCGGTATATAAGTAGTTTAATACTTTTAAATGTTATAAATTTAACAAATATTTAATGAAATGAATGAGAAATAAAAATAATGAATATTAATTAAATAAATACCTATTTATTAAACCCAGACAAATGAATTAAATTAAGTAATAATATGTTTAATTAGATAAAAAAAATACCTTTTATCTAAAATTAAAGGTCTTCATTCCGTTCATGCTTGAAAACATAAACACTATTATTTAATTTTGAATTAAAAAAATATATAATGACAATAATTTTATCCTTCCAATATTTTACTGAATAGCACAAAAATGTATCATAAATAAAAAATCAAAATGGTAATAACAAATTTAATGTGGGTATTTTTATGAACTTTCCTTTTAAATTTCAGAAATTTATGGGTTTTTTTGGTGTGTTTTTTATGCAAAAGTTTTATTTATTAAGGAAAACTAAACAATATAAACAAAAGTCATATTAAAGTTAGTATCATATATCTGCGTGCAATTTTTCATATTTCGAAACTTTTATTTGAAAAAACAAATAAGGGATAGCATTTTTTTTTATTTCTATAAAATTACTTTTAAGTACTGCATTTCTTTTTATGGATAATTTAGACCATGAAAAAAAATGCAGTATCATACAAATATTCTATAATTATTTCTATAAAGATGAAAGAGGTGTGAAAAATTACTCAGCTTTGACTAAGACATGTTCACCCTTGCAATTCAAAACAAAATAATCAATACAAAATTGACGATCAATTGTTCTATATAATTTACATATTTGACACCTCTACTCAGACCAATTGAAAAATATTATACATGCCAGGGCAATTTAAACACTATTCACCTAGGCAACTATTCAAACAAAATTGGCCTGACAACAAAGGGTTTATCACTAAAGAAAGAGCGTTTTTACTGTGTTTTTCACAGGTTTTATTGTTGGGTAATTCTCAAGTTAGTCAACTATGTATTTGAACAATGAGTTGGAATGAGTATGAAAAGAGAATGTGCCTTCAGGCCGCTTTGCTTTAGATTTTGTACTAATATCCATTGTTTGCTGATCTTTCACCAGATTGTGGCCAGAGATTTAGAGTGGACAGTGGTCAAGTTTATACACAGCTATACAAACACGATGACTTGGACAATATACAGGTGAGTTTTTATGTTATTTTTCAATTAATTTTATGAGTTAGTAAAGTGATTTTCAAGATTTTATGTTTCTCTATTTATAATAAGGTTATGTGAATTTTATAAACATTTTGAACTGTGACATTCGCAGAGTTGTGACATTTCTCAAGAAGGAAAGGTTTTAAAAAAATAATACTTTCAACAACAAGGTTTTAACAGGTGAGTTGGTTTAATAAATAAGTTTTTAATAGAGGTTTTTTTATAGAAATGAATATTTATATTTACTATACTGAATGTTAAGGTCATTGATATTACTTTTATGGGTTGTATTTGGATTCAATAAGGAATTAATACATAAATAATAAGATATTACATAATGATAATAAATTCATTTTAATTATTTATTTTTTTTTTGGGGGGGGGGGTTTTTTCATTATCTAATTATAGTTTAAATTTCATGGTATAACTTATAACATATAATAATACAAAACTATTAAAACATAGTGATGTATTATTTTAAATTTTAATCAATAATATTTAGTTTTGACAACTCAGAAAATAAATTTAGTTAAAAAAATCACAAATAGTTTTAATTAAAGCAAATAGAAATCAGTTAAGTATCATTTAATGAGTAGATATTTTTTCAAGACAACAACAACAACAATTATAAGTGAAAAGTTAAAATAATTAATATGAATTAATTAAATAATTGTGATTTCGGTGCACAGCATTACGTCGAAAGACATTTGATTTGTGATTTATAAGTAGCATATAAAAAGAAATCTTTAACTTTAGGAATGATGTGACAAAGTTATTTTGATTTATCTATATAATTATGGCAAGGATATATCATTTATTCCTGTTAGTAACCTTTTTTTAGCTTTTTAAATAGGGTTGATATGCCGACTGTGTAAATGTGAACTGGTGAATGGTAATTCTGACAAAAACATAAAAAAAAATTAAACCATGTTTAAGCCTGCAGTCTGATTAGTTCACATTGTACCCTGGTGGCCACTAAATTTAAGGGGGTTTATATAAAAAGGTCAGTTTTGTATCATATTTAATAGGATACAAGTCAATTTTTACATATAAAGCATGCTACTAAAGAGTAACCCTTTGTCTGAAAAATTGACAGAACATTTTAATAATCAACCTTGGCATGCTGTCTGATCATGGTCTGCACTGCTTGCTAATAATTCCGTCAGCACTGATTAGAAATTTTCCCCAAAATATTAACGAATGGTTTAGCCCATATTGGAAGATGGACATTAGTCTGTTTTCTTATGGTTAAATAAAAATCAAAATATTTAAACACACATAAAGGGTAGGGATTTACACAGATTAATTTTAAAACCATTTAAATATTTTGCATGTCCTTATTTAAGGGGTTAGGGGTCACATGCTATTTGTTAATCCTCTTAGACAAGGGGATTTCCTTTTCATCTTACCTTATTGTGGCCACATCTTGACACAATTGTGTGGAAGTTGTTCACTTACGATTCAAAATAAACAAGCTTACTGGTGGAAATATACTTTAATTTAATTTCACCTTTTTGTCAATTAACCTCTTTTCCCAGTCATTTGTAACCTAACAATTAAAAAAAATCACAATTCATTTATATGTTATAAAATACAAGTATGAAAAATAGAGTTAAATCGAGCACCAATTAAATAATTTCATGTCTCGATCTGAAAATATTTTTATACCTCATTCGAACAATAATCACTCGTTATAATAATACTTCAAGGGCAGAAAATAATGGTATAACTTTGTATTGAACCATGCTCATTGACATAACTGGAGAGATTATTTTTTCACCCTCTACCTAATTACTGCGATAGTAATACCACCGAAAGGCTTAAAATTATATTCAAGGCTTTTTCAAATTGAATAGTACTTTATAATGATACTACATTCAATGACAAAGGCTCACGGCCTAGAGGCATTATAATACAATAGCTATGCAGGTAAATGAGTATAATAGAATTCATGGATGGCTGCACACTAAGCCCCCTCACAGGTGAGTTGTTTTTGACTATTAAGGAATTGAAATTGCCCATACACAGGTATCGGAAAAATGTTTAAAGTTTAAACTTTTTGAGTCTATACACCACTATGAGTATAGTATAACAATGAAATTCAAGACAGACATGGTATTAGTGTCTATTTATAGAATTAAGAACATTTTCAATAGTCTGTCGGGTCGTATATACAGCAATTTTTCTTTGTTGGTATAAAGTTATTGACTGCGTTACCATAGCACGGGTGAGTATTGTTTAGTTTATGGTAGGCTTTTATAGATTTATTAGGTTTTTCTTGTATACTTAATATGGTTATGTTTGTACTTAGTAGAGGGTTTTGGGGTTAACACTTTTAAAGTGCTTTTATAATATGTATAAGGAAAATATAGGATTATTGGTATACTAAATATATACTTCTTTAGCGGATCAGGTGAGTATATAATTATTATGACATTGTGCATGTATATATTGTATATATAACTATTTGTACTCTTTAAGAGGAGATAATTCTTGTCTGCCTCATGCCTAATTATGGTTTTAATTAATGATGGGTATTTTGTCACAACTCACGAGCAATGGATTATATTTTTCTATATATGACACACGTCAGGGATAATTGAAATGATACAGGTATTATGACTTGGTATTTATTTGAAATAGAGTATTATTTAAGGTATGTCATTATTATGTAAAGAGATAGAGAAAATGTTCTGGATATTGATTTAACTGAGGTAGGTATATGAGAATATTATATAGGTAGTAGGGTTTTTATGAATATTTAAATTTTTGAGAAGGAAGTTGACACAGAATTAAGACTTTAAGTACTTCACTTATGGCAAAAAGAAAGTGCATTCCTAAATTTATTTATTTTTGCTCAGTGATCAATTTAATAGGTAAAACCTCAGTGATTTAATTACATTATTTTGATTTAAGATCAATGAAAAATTTCCTAGAGATGTGTCTGTATATTTAATAAATTTAGTTATAGTAATATCGAATTACATTATTTCGGTCAAGCAATGAAAATGACTTTAAAACATGTACATGAAATGTCCTAGCACAGAACAGAACATGTTTTGTTTTAGGTTTTTTTGTGTTAAAGGTACATTTGTATTTGTGTAATATTACATCTTGTCTGTCTTTCCATCTGTCTGCAATGCAAAGGTGAATTTTAAAGAGACCTTGCAGAACAAGTGTTATTTGGAAATTCTCTTTCTTGGAAAAAATACATGTTTTCTTCAAAGTTAATCAAACTAAAAAATTCATTTGAGAAATCAATGTCCAAATAAGAAACACTCTGTTAGTGTTTTGGAATTAAAAGAAAAATACAGAAGTAAAAAAGTCAAAGAAAAATCTTTTTTAAAATTATTTAATCCATGAATTTGATTTTTTTTTTATCCAATTAAGGTGTTGCGAATCAAAAGAAAATAGTTTAATGAAAAATATTCCTATATGTGGAACTTAAGGAAATTACATAAGTTTGGTAACCTTAACTTTATTAGGTCTAGGAGACGAAATATTTTGATTGCTGCTTAGGTTCATCATGTTGCTCAACAGAAGTTAAATTTATTGCGACGTCTTACTTTGAAATAAAAATTTAAATTGTTTGTTGTTACAAGAGGTTAATTGGCCTACACATTTATGAAGATTTATATATTGGTATATGAAATTGAAACATATCAAAGTGAAACAGACCAGGGATAGAGATTTTCATGGAAGAACAGTACCCTTTTATGATTCGGTGCCATTTATGATTAATTAATGCCATTTTTGGAAGATATGATGTCATTTTTTGACGATTTGATGCCATTTTTGGGTGATTCCATCTTGGTGATTAATGATGCAAAAAGTATAGAATACAGCACAAGAAAATTATAATGAAAAGTATGTTTGTTTTGAATAAATATTAAACATATCAGTACTTCAAATCAAGATATCACCTGCACTTTGATGTGTCTCAGTATGGAAATATTTTTTTAATTCACAAGTGAGATGTAATACATTTATTATTATATCATGATTGTTCACTAAGAAGAAATAATTTAGTATCAATAACTTATGATTATTGTTGAATTGTTTTCTTTGAAACATAGACACAGTCTATTTTAACCAATGTAAAATATTTTTACCCAGTCTACCTGTATTTTAACTATTTTAGAATTTCTCTGAATTAGAAGACCCAGTCTATTTTTAAAAATGGAGAATTTCATTGAAAAACAGTTCCAGTCTGTTTTACCAGTCTACTTTGACCAATAAGTATATAGTTCAAAATGTAGACTTGTATTCTTTTCTGAATATAAAACTCATTTTATATCAGGGAAAAATATTAAGTCGATAACATAGCATGTACCTGCATGTAATTTGTATAATTGTAGTCATCATACAGATAACAACTCATCTATTGCAAAGCCATTTAAAATGCCTTGTGTAATTGTTCATGAACCCATTAAAGAAGAAAAGAGCATTGAATATATTTTCAGTATGTGCAATCTTCCATATTTGCATGATTATTATTCTCCCGATGCGAGGGTATAAAATACCCGATGTTACCGAAATCTTATACTCACTGTAAAAATGCAGTGTACACACATTTATATAGACGTGCAATCTAGATATGACAATGTTAGATATTTTGGTAATCGGATATCGCCAATGGTTTTTCTGTGTACTTGGTATTAATTGAGTATTTTCTTACATTTGATATATGTCTATTCACGGTGCAAGCTATTATTTCCTGTGTAAATTGAAATGATAGTTAAAGACCCATCATGAATTACCTTAGTTTTTCCTTTAATTATAGTTATTATTATTAAAAAAGAGTTAAAGACCCATTATGAATTACCTCTAGTTTTTCCTTTTATTAGTTATTATTAAAAAAGATTTAAAGACCCATTATGAATTATCTCTAGTTATTTCTTTTATTATAATGATTATTATTAAAGAAGAGTAAAAGACCCATCAAGAAATACATTTATTTCTATGAACTTTAAACCATATTGAAATAATATTTATTTATAGGCCTATCACAAATTTTCTGTGTTAGGGTAAATTTAAGTGATGAGAGGTGGAAACTTGTAGCTTCTTCTGTGTGTAAAATCTACTTTTAGAAACATACCAAAATACTAGAACGTCCAGAGCACTTACTTGATAAAAAAAAATGTATTTTGTGTATAACCATTTCTATTTTTTACATTTTAATCATTATTTTTTTGTGATTTATTAGCTCACCTGTCACAAAGTGACAGGGTGAGCTTTTGTGATCGCTTTTCGTCCGGCGTCCGTCCGTCCGGCGTCCGTCCGTCCGTCGTCCGTCCGTAAACTTTTGCTTTAAATGACATCTCCTCATAAACCACTGAGCTAATTTCATCCAAACTTCACAGGAATGTTCCTTTGGTGGTCACCTTTAAAAATTGTTCAAAGAATTTAATTCCATGTAGAACTCTGGTTGCCATGGCAACCGAAAGAAAAATCTTTAAATATCTTCTTTTAAACAACCCCAAGAGCTAGAGCTTAGATATTTGGCATGAAACATCTTCTAGTAAGCGTCTACCAAGTTTGTTCAAATAAAAGCCCTGGGGTCAAAATTGGCCCCGCCCAAGGGGGTCATTGATTTTCCCTATATGCATATAGTAAAAACTTAAAAAATCTTCTTTTAAAGAACCATAAGAGCTAGAGCTTAGATATTTGGCATGAAACATCTTCTAGTGAGTGTCTACCAAGTTTGTTCAAATAAAAGCCCTGGGGTCAAAATTGGCCCCGCCCCGGGGGGTCATTGATTTTCCCTATATGCATATAGTAAAAACTTAAAAAATCTTCTTTTAAAGAACCGTAAGAGCTAGAGCTTAGATATTAAGCATGAAACATCTTCTAGTAAATGTCTACCAAGTTTGTTCAAATAAAAGCCCTACGGTCAAAATTGGCCCCGCCCCAGGGGGTCATTGATTTTCCCAATATGCATATAGTAAAAACTTAAAAAATCTTCTTTTAAATAACCCAAAGAGCTAGAGCTAAGATATTAAGCATGAAACATCTTCTAGTGAGTGTCTACCAAGTTTGTTCAAATTAAAGCCCTGTGGTCAAAATTGGCCCCACCCCGGGGGGTCATTGATTTTCCCTATATGCATATAGTAAAAACTTAAAAAATCTTCTTTTAAAGAACCCAAAGAGCTAGAGCTTAGATATTTGGCATGAAACATCTTCTAGTGAATGTCTACCAAGTTTGTTCAAATAAAAGCCCTTGGGTCAAAATTGACCCCGCCCCAGGGGGTCATAGATTTTCCCTATATGTATATAGTAAAAACTTAAAAAATCTTCTTTTAAAGAACCCAAAGAGCTAGAGCTAAGATATTTAGCATGAAACATCTTCTAATAAGTGTTTACCAAGTTTGTTCAAATAAAAGCCCTGGGGTCAAAATTGGCCCCGCCCCAGGGGGTCATTGATTTTCCCTATATGCATATAGTAAAAACTTAAAAAATCTTCTTTTAAAGAACCCAAAGAGCTAGAGCTAAGATATAAAGCATGAAACATCTTCTAGTGAGTGTCTACCAAGTTTGTTCAAATTAAAGCTCTGTGGTCAAAATTGGCCCCACCCCGGGGGGTCATTGATTTTCCCTAAAAGCCCCGAGGTCAAAATTGGCCCCGCCCCAGGGGGTCATAGATTTTCCCTATATGCATATAGTAAAAACTTAAAAAATCTAAACTCAAAGAGCTAGAGCTAAGATATTTAGCATGAAACATGTTCTAATTGGTGTCTACCAAGTATGTTCAAATAAAAGCCCTGGGGTCAAAACTGGCCCCGCCCGGGTGGGGGGGGTCATTGATTTTCCTTATATGTGTATAGCAAAAACTTAAAAAATCTTCTTTGAAAAAACCCAAATAGCTAGAGTTTAGATATTAAGCATGAAACATCTTTAAGTAAATATCTACAAAGTTTGTTCAAATAAAAGCCCTGGGGTCAAAACTGGCCCTGCCCCAGGGGTGTCATTGTTTTTAACTATATGTGTATAGTAAAAACTTTAAAAATCTTCTTTTAAAAAACCCAATGAGCTAGAAATTAGAGTTTAGCATGAAACTTCTTCTTATGGGTGTCTACTAAGTCTGTTCAAATAAACAAATAAAAGCCCTTGGGTAAAAATTGGCCCGGGGGTTTGGGGGGGGCCTATATACAGGTGAGCGACCTCAGGGCCATCATGGCCCTCTTGTTTTTAAAATAGGTACTGACTCATGTCAACAGTGCAGATCATGATCAGACAGCGTGGATCAGCTCATTGATCATTTAATGGCTGTATTTTTCCTTTTTATAGATTTATTACCATGGTATATTTGATTAATTAAAACAGCAGCTTTTATTTGTTCCTGCAAATGATTGGTGTACCAGTACATTAAAAAAAGCAAATATTTTATATTTTCATTATACTTTTTGGGCTGCACTTTGGCCCAGATGAACTTTAACATACTTGTAGTTTATTTCATAAAATATGTTTAATTTTTGTCTTTTTCAGGATGTAGATGGCCCATTATTGTGTCTTTTGTCAGAGAAGTTACATAACATTTAGAAAATTAAGAGAACATCCTTGCAAATTCAGTGGCACTGGTTCCCCAAACACAATTGTTCATCTGACACGGATAAAGAAAATTGGGTCAAAATTCCTTTCAAATTGGTGAGTTTTAAACACTTGTCCCTCAATTATTTAATAATTATAATTTTGAAATTGAAATTTCATTTAAAACTAATGCTTAATGTATGAATAAAATAAATTTAATCAAGTTTAACAAGTTTAATCAATACATATTATTAATACACAAGGTATGAAGATATCATTATAGCTGATAATCTCCTGAAAATTATAATATAATATCTTAAATAAATTTACAGGGAAACAGTGCAACAAGTCTTAACACTACCCTAACAAGCATGGAAGAGGAAAACTATGCCGGAATCCAGTCTGAGTTTGAATACACTGTGGAGCTTGATAACACAAGTTCTGATATCGAAAATTCTGACAGTCCCTTGTACACAAAGATGGTTCATGGGAAAGAAAATAGTGATAGTAAGGATGGAGTAGAAATTGAAGAAGATTGCCCAAGTGGTAGAACTGATGTCGTAGATAAATCTGATTATGTCTATGTCTTGGAACCAGACAGTATTAAGCCTGATAATCTAAAAGAATCAACCACTGATGAAAGTGAGAAAGAAAGTGACAAAGAACCTGAAACTTGTTCCATTCAGATCAAAAATGAATTTCTTGGTGCAATAGATCTGACTGGATCAAACAAGAGAAAACGAAAGTCGAATATAGATAGTGCCTTATCACATATTCTAAAAACAAAAACCGTTAATGGTCAAAATGAAACAGCATTAGAAGAATCTCATTCAGAAGAAACACATGCAAATAAAGTACAAATTCTTGAAAAGAATGTTAGAGATATCAACCAGAATGGATTACCAATGAATGCTGTGTACAAAACACCAAATAACATTGGAATTAAATCTGAACTTTGTATAACACCGAAAGCAGCTGCACCAACTTTGAGTACACCAAATACCAGCTCTGGAAGGAAAAACAGGAGAAAAAGATCTGTTCCAGTCAGATGTGAAAGGAGTGAGGAGGTTATTGATGACATTAAGGAAATAATGGAAGAGTATGGAGCTCAGCCTGATGTTGAAATGAAAACTGAAAAACCAACACTGGCAGAAAGAGCAAGTGACATTGCTCCTCTAGATCTTACTCCAAAATCATTTGGAAATTCTGAAATCTCTGCAGTTCCTAAGGATGCTATATCACCTATGGATCTTACTGCATCTTCAAAAAATAAAGCTGTCAAAAAGGGTATTAACACTGAACCAAAGCCTGAAAATGCTCAGCCAGTGGATCTCTCAAAACCGTCTCCAAGTTCCACACCAAATAATGAATTGAAAAATGGATTTACAAATGGTGGTCTGCTTCCACAAATGATGCCAAACACTCAGATCGATCCTCTCCAAATGCGTCAGTTATTTGAAACAGTATATAAGATGCAAGCACAATTTCCTAATCAAAATCTTGTTCAAGCTCAACTAATGCAGTTTCATGCACTTATGCAAAATGCTATGTTACATGGTGGGTTAATGCAAGGGAATGGAGTGAAAAAGGAACATATAAAAAATGACAAAAATGACAATATCATTAAGACAGAACCTGGATTAACCAATAATATGATGACCAATGAACTTCAGTTTAATTTAGAACTGATGCACAAGAATGGCCTTATACAAAACAATTTTGCTCCCACCTTCAATGGTGCTGTTCCTGGTTCACCATTTACAATGAATCAAACAAATCATTTCAAGAGCAGATCAGCTAAGAAAAAGAGCAAAGATTTGTCTCCCTTGATTAATGAATCAAGTCTTGATTCAGTTCAACTTGAATCAAGCACACCCCTTGTGGGATTGGATGTAAAGCAAGGTCCAGAACAAGTTCTTGATACTTTATCCAAATTTTTTCCAGTTGTTCCTGCAGAGAGCTTACCAAAAACCCAGCTTGGGGATGACAGTAACAGTGTTCGATTTTTTGTGAAAGATAATGAACAAATACGAGTGATAGTTGACAGTCTGCTGCAAGTAGGTGTGCTTGATTTTGATGAGCAACAAATTCATGGAACTGAACCAGTCTACAAATATATATGCAGGGTTTGCTGTCAAACTTTTTTTCACGTTGAACATCTCACCAAACATATCAAAAAAAGCCACATCGTTAAAAAATACCAGTGCAGTGAGTGTGACAGGTATGAAAATAAACTTTGTATTTCATTAAAAGAAACACACCTTTAGATTCCATCTAGTTTGGATGAAAATTTTGAAAACTGTATTTGTAATTTTGAACTGGTTAGTAATTTATTAAAGCATTAGGCTTCTCGAGTTATTCATTCATAGTATTATTATAAGAATTTTTTTAATGGAATGATAGTTAGAATCTTAGATTTATGTCCTGTTTTTTTCAGATCGTTCCATGATGCGGGGAATTACAGACAGCATATGCGGGTTCACGACGAGACAGATATACCGTACGAGTGCCCAGAATGTAAACGAAGATTCCGTCACAAATGTACACTTAAAGTACACATGAGAATTCACACTGGAGAGAAACCATTCAAGTGTGAAATTTGTGATGTAAGTATAATGTGGTACTCTTTGCAAAAGATTTTTTTGGGTCTCAATGACAGAATGGTCGAATTCAAATCTGTTTGTTGTTTAGGAACATTTGAATCATTCAGATGAGAACGCTATCCAGCTAGTTTGCAAAAGGTTGGAGTTTCTACTCTAGGGTCTGCTTTTGTCCGAAATAATGCAGAAAAGGGCACCTGAGGTCTTCATCATAAAAGGTTGAAAGGTGCCATTATGATCATTACAGTGCCAGTATGACTTAAAATCCAACAAAAACAGTTTTTACACTAAATTACATGTGCCACAAGGTCCATGGCTAATGCAATAAAAGAAATGAATGTTTTGTTTGAAGTTTCATTGATTTTAATCTTTTATATAAAATCTCACAACACTTTTCTCTTTTAAGCAGCAATTTGTCTTTTAATTAATCAGCAATTTGTCTCAAGATTCCTGCTGTTTTCCATGAAAATTTTAAGATGTATTAAAATATTGTCAGGTGAACAATGAAAGTTATTTATACATAGCAAACATTGTGCAGCATTTATGATATTTTTCATTGTTTCTTTCCAGGCAACATTCAAAATTTCATCAGGCCTTCAAACACACATGAGAAAACATACTGGTGAGACACCATACGCATGTGAATTCTGTGACCTGCGGTTTAAATGTCAGAGCAACCTTAAGCAGCATCTATTCCAACACACCCAGGTACGACCCTTTCCGTGCGATATTTGCGGGAAGACATACAGTCGTAAATCTATCAGAGATGCGCACTTGCTAACACATACCAAAGATAGCATAAAGAATGAGCATGTGAAAAAGTGGATAGACAGTATGCCGGCTCAAGCTCTTTCTGTTGGCGGGAATGAGTAAATTAATATTTCGAGAAAAAAGTACATTTAGTATTACTTGAAAAGCAAAAGCTGTGAGAATTATTGTAGAAATTTTGTTTTTATAATTATTATCATGATTTTGTAGTCATGGTAAAACATTGGAATATACTTTCATGTTGGTTGTGTACATTCTGACATTCCTGACAAAAAAATATTTAAGAACATTTTGTACCAGCTGAAACCCTTTTGCATTTTTGTCTTCTTCTTGTTTTTTTTTTGTTTTTTTTTTAAAGTAGATTATTTATTAAATATTTAGCAAGCTTTGTGGAAAAATACTCAATTTTGAAATGTTTGTCACTATGTCTTATTTTACATAAGGAGAATAACTGTAATTTATGATGATTCTTTTTTTTATATATTTTTATTTTTTATACGCTTAGAGTAATGATGATATTTTCTTTTTAAATTGACCCTAAAATTATTTATTTAAAAAAATGTAAAGGCTGACTTTGAGGCATATCAATAACGTATTTGATTTTTAGTCAAATATTATATTTACATATCAAAATTCTTAATATTCAAGACATTCCATAAATAATAGCTTTTTTATATTCATTGAAGTTACACCACTCTATTAATAGTAACTAATCATTCTATAAATAGTAACATTTAAGCTCACTCTTCAGTTTCTAAAAATAGATGTTTCACAACTCTGTAAATAGTAATACAAGCATATCCGAAGATAATTGGTACAAAATTTCGGACACAATTTTCATTATTTCATTCCATTGACTGTGATAGTAAAGTAAAAGTATTCATAATTATTATAAGTAATTCCATTTCATTGTTTTTTTATTTAATACTAGTATTTTATTTACTCTTCACCTGCTGGAACTAAAAGTTATTGGTCTAAATTGCCAACAATAATAGAGCCAGGCCAGTCTGCACTACCGCACGGTCTGACCAGGGCAGCTTGATTTTTTGTATTTCGATCCTGAAATCCCTTACATATTGAATGGAATGTTCCTGTTTCACAGCTGGGCAAGTCCATTTAACAAATTCAGCAGGTTGTGGGTTGAAATTTAATTTTGGAAATCCTGTCTTGTGTGACAATCATGTTAATACTCAATATCATTTGTTGTTGATGTTGTTTTTTGACAATCCCAATGTTACAAATGTTGTGTTTATTTTTTTTGCAATACATTTCGAAGATATCATTTTAATTATGTACATGTATAATCAAAAACCATTTGTTAATAATATTAATTTTCTATTATTTGTTAAACATGTTTGTAGTTTTTTATCATTTTAAAAGATTTTTTGAACGAACATGTTACTTAGAACTGTTAAGGGGCCTAGTTTTATAGGTCCTACTGTAGTGTATCTATATTTCTCTAGTGTTAAATTTTAAAGGGACTCTGCTGGGGTTTTTTTTGACATATTTGTTTTGAAATTATTTTTTCAAGATTAATGTACCTTTTGATGTAGATCTAGATTAATAACTTGTGTGCAAAATTTCAGATCATTTGCTCACTCTGTTTTTCCAGAATAATTATTGTAATTGTGAAAAATGACCAAAGAATTTAGAGTGTATTTTTTGCACTAATTGAACTAAGACTAGGACAAAAAATAAGATTTTCAATTTATTTCTGAGTATATTTCTTAACTATTTTTTTGTGTATCTTCCTGTTTTAAGTGTCCCAGCAGTTTTGTTAGAAATTCAAATTTTATTTATTAGGCTTTAAGACCTCAGTGGAGTTCCTTATATAACTTAAATTCATGGAAATGTAAAGTAACAATAAACGAAAGGTAACTTAGTGCAGGTTTATATACAGTTAAAGAAAGGAATTTATGAACATTTTGTGAGGGAATTAATCAAAATCTATTATTTAAATCAAATGTATTTTTTGAAACTTTTTTTTTTAATTTATACATGGCATGAACAAAATACTCAAGAAGTCAGACTAAAATTACAGTCATTTACAATGTCACATATTTAATAGCAATTTTAACTGTATAATTATGATATTAATATTATCTTTTTACACAGCTGCCGGCAATTTATGAACTGATTTACATTTTTCCTTGAACAAAAAGTTTTTTGCTGTATATTTGTTGTTAACAAGATTTTTGATGGATTTATGACCATGTTTAAATGGTTGTTTACAATATAACCCTCACCTATCAGTTTGTGTTATATAAACTTAATACCATTTAAAATGGGCCATATAACCTGTCAAAAATTTTTATAACATAATATTCAGTGAGTAAGCCATTTAAATACTTTGTAGGTTGTGAAAATTTAAACTAAGTATTAAGAAAAAAAACACAACATAATGTTATTCAAATGAGATTTAATAAATGTTGTTATTTATGTATATTTCATCATCAATTTGTTCAATACACAATCATTGTATTCCTTCATTGATTATTTCACTGATTAATCATTTGAATTTTTCAATGATTAATCAGTGTACAATCACTTTGAATATTTCAATGATTCTTTCAATGATAAATCAGTTGATTCTTTCACTGATTAATCATTTGAATTTTTCAATGATTAATCAGTGTACAATCATTTTGATTTTTTCAATTATTCTTTCAATGATTAATCAGTTGAAGTTTTCAGTGTACTATCATTTTTATTCTTTCAATGATTAATCATTTGATTCTTTCACTGATTTATCATTTGATTCTTTCATTAATTTCTTTTAATGATTGATCAGTTGCAATTTTCAGTGTATAATCATTTTGATTCTTTCAATTTATTAATGGAAATGAGACTTTATAACAAAAGAAAAGAACCAAAGGAGATTTGAAAGTGGTAAATTTTTTTAACCTGACAAATCACATTTTGTATATCCTATTCCATACCAGTATTCATAACATTTCAATCATTATTAAGCATTTATATTTACTTTACATTAATGTGTAATATAATTATGTGAAAATATTGTATATATTATATATTAAAGTTGATATTTTTTACTAAAATTTTACATAGATATTAATCAAAACACGGTTGTACAATATAATGAACTTGTTGACATTTTGTTAATGGCTTTGTTACTTAATGTTTGTAGATGTGAATATAGAATGTAGGGTAGAACTAACATGAAAAATGTAGCTTACATTTTCTGATCTCTGACATATATTATTATTGGCCAGGTTGACATTGGCCTGTTTTGGAATTAAAATGGAATGCATATTGGCCCTGTTGATATTGGCCTCTTTAGGAATTTATATTGTCCCTGTTATTTAGCCTTTTAGGAATTTAAATGGAATTCATATATTGGCCTTGTGGACATTGTGGGCTCGCCCAATTCAGGAATTTACATCGTCCATTTTCATAAATTTACATGGATTTCATATAACCCTGTTGATATTGGCCTCCTTGAACCAAAATTGAATACATATGTATTAATTATACTGGTCCCATTGATATTGGCCTCAAGGAATTTGAATGGAATATAATATATGTACCAGTTTATATTGGACTTATTGATAATTGTCTTTTCTGGGAATATGCATTGGCATAATTAATACTCTATATATGTAATTAATGCAGATTTTTCTTTTATATTTCTCTTTGAAAACAAGTTATTTCTTTCTTATAACTAAGACATGAAAATTGCATCATAAATTTTAATGTTTTTTTTATTTATATAATCAAGAAGGATTGTTAATTGTACAAAATAAATTTAAATATACCAATTATTACCTCCCCTGGTCAATATATTGAGGGTCATTTCTAATATATTGTATGCCTAAGATAAGATAGAAAAAATCTCTCATAATTCTATCATCTTCATGAAAACTGACTTTTTTCTTTAATATATTGGTGCTGTAATAGTATATTCATTCATATGTATAAAAGAATTTGACAATTTATCTGGACCTGCTTTTTTTCCATATTTTGTTAATTATATTATATAGAATATTGACCCCCAAAATGGCTGCCACTGTTGGCAAGGGAGGTAAATATTGTAGATATTGGGAACTAACTTTATAACCTATACTTACAGAGCAAACCCAAATTATATTTTATTATATTTTAATTTATTCAGATTACATGGAATCTATTTTTAGAATTTTCCAATGACAATTTAGGTAAAAATAGTTTGTTGTTACTCAACCATGACTTTATACCAGATGTTTTCCTACTTATTTGTATATTTCTATATATTTTCTAAGATCTGACAATCTGTAACCAATCAAAATTATTGTTACTTATACATTTTTTTGTGTGTTTACAAATTTTAAACTGACCAATCAAAACATTCCTTACATATTTTATGTATATTTTGTTTTGCAATTATCCAATGAAATTGCATTTATTTTTATTGTACATATCATGTTATTACATGCTCACTTACATTGTAAATAGTTTCTTTTTTTCTATAATAAACTTAACAGGTTTACAATTTCTTTCGAAATCCATACTCAAAAGACTGTTATTATAGTTATTTTTTAGAAAATGCATAATATATATATAAATCTTTATCACTTGTTGTTTTTATTGTGTCCAGAGAGTTGTAGATTACTTGTATAAGGATCTTACATTGACTGCAGGTACAGACCGCAATATCTAGCTTGAGGTAACTGTTTACGGCGGTAACGAGGCTCTGCAGAGTTTCCGCTCAACAGTTTACCCTGAGTGCAATATTCATGACTGTATTGAGCCAATACTACTGACAGCCGGTGCTTGGTTCTTTTTCTTGCATATGACATATTAATCATAATTCAGAAAGAAATCAAGAAAATTGATATTTTCATTTTGCACTTTTTGTGTCGCCTTGAAAAGGTGACATATAGGGGTTACTTTTGTCAGCAGCGTCTGTGTTGGCGTCGTTGTCCGCGTCCCTTAAGCTTGTCCGGAGCATAACTCAGTCACTATAAGTCTGATTGACTTCAAACTTGGTATGCATGCTTCTTTCAATAACCCGAAGTGCAGTGCACAAGGACCAGTACTCTGCAGTTCTTAATTTTTGAGTTATTGCCCTTTGTTAATTTTCATACTTTTTGTCCAGGCCATTTCTCCTTAACTATGAAAGCGATGGACTTGAAACTTCAATAGGATAATAAGTCTCATTAAGAAGTGCATTGCACAAAAACCAGTACTCTGCACATCTTATTTTTTGAGTTATTGCCCTTTGTTAATTTTCATACTTTATTTTTGTCCGGGCCATTTCTCCTAATGTATAAAAAGCCATGGACTTGAAACTTCATATGATGATAGGTCTCATTAAGAAGAAGTGCAGTGCACAAGAACTGGTACTCTGCATTTCTTATTTTTTTGAGTTATTGCCCTTTGTTTATTTTCATACTTTAATTTTTGTCCGGGCCATTTCTCCTTAAGTATAAAAGCTATGGACTTGAAACTTCATAGGATGGTAGATCTCATTAAGAAGAAGAAGTGCAGTGCACCAGAATCGGTACTCTGCATTTCTTAAATTTTGAGTGATGGCCCTTTGTTAATTTTCATACTTAATTTTTGTCCAGGCCATTTCTCCGAAAGTATAAAAGTTATGAACTTGAAACTTCATAGGATGATAGATCTCATTAAGAAAAAGTGCAGTGCATAAGAACTGATACTCTGCATTTCTTATTTTTGAGTTATTGCCCTTTGTTGATTTTCTTACTTTATTTTTGTCCTGGTCATTTCTCCTCAAGTATGAAAGCTATGGACTTGAAACATCATAGAATGATAGATCTTATTGATAAGAAGTGCAGTGCACTTATTTTTTTAGTTATTGCCCTTTGTTATTTTTCATATTTCATTTTTGTCCTGGCCATTTCTCCTTAACTACATTGTTCACAAGGCGACACATCCGACTCGCGGAGTTCTAGTTTCTTGTAGTAGTGTATGAATTTACAACTTCATTCATAATGCCAAAATGACATCATTCTAAGAAGGCAATTTTTTCATGACATAATTTAAAGCATGCGACTTGTCTAACATGACGGGTGTAGGACAGGTTTTTCTAGAACCGGCATAAACAGCAGATAATCTTGTCTGATATGCAAGAAAACAAGCTGTTTTTACAGGACACAACATGTTTGTATGAACAGAACATACATTTTACTAGGAATGAAAATGAATTATATACAAGAAATAAAGAGTATATATAGATATATTGGTGTATCGCTGATATTTGTTATCCAACATCGATGCATCGTCAATATGCTTTGCTAAAAATCAATGACAGCTCTAGGTACATCAGATTATTATACCTCATGTTTACAAACTTTTTACTATATAACCTTATGTGACATCACATGGTGTTATTTCAATCTATCATCCTATAAATGAATATCACCTGGTCAATCATTTTTTGCAATATTCCTCAGGGGCATGTAATCTATATAGACTTAAGAAAATGCAATGTTCTAGTTCTCTCCCCTGTTAATAATCAATCCTGAGTAAAAATGCAGTGGTGAAAAATTTCACATTAAAATGTTGATTCTGTAAAAAGCACTTGTCTCTCAGGGTAAGTGTTTATAAGCAGCCCTTGAACTGAAATAATAACCTCGACTCTACCTAAGAGTGAAATTTACACCAACACCAACCCTAAACAGGGCTTCCATTAAGTTAAAAAATTTGGAAGTCAGAGAGACAACAAAATGACTGACACTGGAAGTCACATCATATTAGTAAAGAAGAAAAAGGAGTATGTTTTGGAAGTCACAAGTGAAAAGCACCAAATAAATGACTCCAAAACTTCCACTAATGGAAGCCCTGCCAAGAACTTAATATAATGAAGCCACTTTACAAGTTACAAGCAGTGAAGTTAATTGTTTAATGTATGATTTGAATATTAAGAACTAGGTTGGAATTCAAACCCTCAAGTTTTCAGTACAATAAAGCAGACACTTGCACTACCATTATGTCACCACAGTGGTCCAGAGCTTTATTTATTTTAGAATTTTAAAGTTTTAATGTCTTTGACTTCAAAACACAAAAGACACAACTGGTTATAATTATTCAAATTTATTTCATGAAATGTACCAAATTGTAGCACATTCAGCTGATATTTCTATCAGTCCCTGCACAGTTAAATCAATAACAGGCAATCTTATACTGTCATTCATTATAATGGCCTTAACATCAAAAAACGAGAATTTTATCATCTAAGAAATATTTCATTTTGGTGCATTTACCCAAATTTCTTCAAACATTACATATGGTTCCGAAAAGGTGATGTACACACATTGTTCCATAAACAATCACTGCCAAGTTATGCAAAAGTATCATGCAATTTGTCATTTTGTAGTGATAAACTGATAAGTCTGTTCTGAGATCACAATTGAAACCTGTTTGGTATACAATGCTGAAGTATTTACCAGTACCTAATTACACAATGCATTGGTACAAATTTTTCCGTCAAATGGAGTTCTGGTTTTTATACTCCTGAAAACACCCTTTTTCTATATGAAACAAAATCAAAATAATGCTAGATATAGATTTTTCAGGCTTTCTGACATTTTTTCAACTTGCACACAGGTCAAGGCATGGTGCTGTGTTTTTGCTCTTTTCATTGTAATAAATGTCACCTGCCTTACATGTTATAAAAGGTGGTAAACATTGTAAGTATATTCATACGCTCAATATTGTGAATTGTATGTATTATTGTTATTCAAAATACATGTAAATGTCTATAATTCTTTTATTTCCAGTTGAACTTTGTTCGCTCATATGGCCCATGAAAATTAATTTCAAGAGATATGTATTTTTGTTAGAAATTACTTTTTTATTCCATAAAGTTTTTCAATACTAGCCAATGATGACCCTATATCTGCCACACTGTCGTCAGTTTCTTCTGTTTTAGAGTTTCTTATTTTTTCAAACAACTCATTGATATCCTCTTTTTCTTTTTTACTTAAAAAATCCAGTGTTAACTTGAAACGGTTTGTTTCTGCCAGTTTTTCAAGAATTTTCAACACTTCACAAACATCCTGGTCTTTTAATTCACAATTTAAACAATGTGCAAACTCCCCGAGTAAACCAAACCCTATTTCTGGTTTGAATATTTTACCGAGTCTTTCTCCGCCAAGTTCAAGCAGGTAGGAATATTGCTGAGAAGTTTCTTTGTTGAGTTTCCTCCATTCTCGTATAAAGGTCTGTCCTGATGTAGGGTACACTGTTTCCTAGAAAAAGAAGAAAAGAATGCTTATGGAAAAACATTTTATCACAACAATAATCGTCATCATAAAAATTAAACCTGATGAAAAAACGTGTCAAAGCACCACCATGTCGCCACTTCATTGTACTTAAGTTTTTATTAAAGTGGCATTATATCCATCTAAGTTTAAATGGTGGTAGAACAGGTAAAAGTAAAAATAACTTTACATTTTGCTATAATTGTGATAAACTTTATATTTGACTATGCAAAATTAGTAAATAATCCACATGACCCACAGACATTTCTATAAATATCGTTCACAATGTATTTGAAGAGTTCTGTTTTTTTAAGAATGGGACAGTCTTTTTAAAATTTAGGTAGTTTTTATATTCAATTCTAAACGTTTTTAATTATCAAGCATTGTTAATCAACATTATAACTGACAATATTTTAAAATATATCAAAATCTGAACATAAAGTCACTTTAAAATTATCTTGGTAATCCAATCTACAGGACCATTTTAACTCCTTGAAAAATATTTCTCAATTTCTGAAATGACATGGACACCACATTGTCACTTACTACTTTTGTCCAAAAAATTACATTTGTAAGGGACCAATTAAATGATGATATATTATAATTCATAAGCATAAAATGATATCAATGGAAACAACTCTAGCACAGTACTTTTTATGCATTTATCACAGTAACAGAACATCTTATACATCTATATAAAGGCTTATTGTCTCTTTATCAGTAATACTGAGGTTTTTTTTTTGTAGCTTCATTATTTAAGTAATAGAAAGAGCACTGAAACACGAGGCTATCTGATTTGTACGAGGGGGCGTAGCCCCCTGAGTATAAATCAGATTGCCGAGTGTTTTGGTGTTCTTTCTCTTTTGTATCATAGTCAAACATAAAACACGTTCCCTGTTGTCACAATTTTAAACCCCGGAAAAAAGTAACCAATGACCGAGCATCTGAATATGATATTTCTGCCGCTTTCCCTTTCTCTGCCGTCACAATATGTAAACCCCAGTGTAGTATCATCGTACATGATGAACTTGAGCTGACCTATGTATAATGCTTGTTTGCGCATGCTCCGTATTTTCTAGTAAATCTAAGATCACATGTTAAGGGTTCACAGAATAAATTTATATCTTGTGCTGAACACTCGTCGTGTTTTACTTTACTTCATTGTATAAACGCACTTGATTTAATATCTATTAATTATTGTTCATGAATAAACGAACATTACAACATGGTGTCAGAGTAAAAACGTTTAATAAATAACCTGGACATACGATAAAAAAAAATTGGAATATTTATCTAAACAAAATAAAGTTACACAATTACATTAATATTTGAAAACAAAATGGAATTATCTGGATTGTCAGTGCCCCAAATGGACTGGGAATCTTCGAATTTACCTGAAGCTTATAATAAATTCGAACGTCACGCAAAACTAATGTTTACAGGACCTTTGAAGAAAAAGTCTGAAGAAGAACAAGTTTCTGACTTTCTATTATGGATTGGTGATAAAGGGCGGGATATCCACTGCACGTGGAAAGATATTTCTGAAGACGATGCCAAAAAGATCGACACGTTCTACAGAAAATTCAGAACTTATGTGCAACCTAAGCTCAATCCAATATTTGCTAGATATAAATTCTACAACCAAACACAGGGAGAAGAAACCATCGATTCGTTCTTGACAAAATTACAAATCTGTGCACGAGACTGCAGTTTTGCAAACGCAGACGAAATGATACGGGACCGTATTGTATTTGGCACAAATTCTTCTAAGGTTCGAGAAAAGCTAATCAACGAAGGTGCAGAATTGACCTTAGATAAAGCTGTACAAATCGCTCAAAATATGGAATATTCCAAACAGCAATTGAGTTCAATGGCATCTGCGGCGGACAAGGACGTTCACCACGTGGCGAGACCTAGAAAACGTTTAATCCGAAGGCGGGAAAAGCCACAAGACAGGGACGAGAAAATGACCTGTTCTAGATGCGGGACAACACATCAAGAGGGCAAAACGTGTCCAGCAAAGGGGAAAACGTGCAGGAAATGTGGCAAACTGAATCATTTCCAGAAAATATGTAAATCACGTAATACTGTGAACAATATAAATTGTGAGTCGGACTTATCGAGTGACGATCAGGATTTTTATGTATGCATGGTAAATGATTTCATTACTTCTCGACCTGATTGCGCAATGGTTCAACTCCAAATTGGCCGAAAGTCCGCCCCTGTAAATTTCAAAATAGATACAGGTTCTCAATGTAACTTGATACCTCAGGAAATGCTCAAGAAACTAGATTTCAAAGGCCCCTTGCTACCCTCTGATGATAGGTTATCTTCCTACACTAAAGACCCTATCCCAGTTTATGGAAGGTCAACTTTCCCTGTAAGTTCAAGGATAAGGAAATCATTGCATGTTTTCATGTAGTAGGCAGTAAATCTCCAGCATTATTAAGCTTACAGACTTCAATAGATCTGAGATTGATAAAACTGACCTATGCTATAGAAAAACAACCGGTCACGTTAGATAAACAAAAAATCTTGACTGATTACAATGACGTATTTAAAGGCATTGGTTTATTCCCAGGTACATGCAGTTTACATTTAAAACCAAAAGCTATACCTGTAATTTAACCACCCAGGCGTGTACCTGTAGCTTTACAGGACAGTTTAAAAAATGAGTTGAAGTCTATGGAGGATAAAGGAATTATCCAAAAGGTTACTAGACCGACTGACTGGGTCAATTCATTAGTCTGTGTGGAAAAACCCAGCACTGGAAAGCTGAGGGTGTGCTTAGATCCTAAAGCACTAAATGACAATATCATGAGACCACACTACCCTATAAGGACTATAGAAGACGTGACAAACCAATTGACAGGTGCTAAGTACTTCAGTGTATTAGACGCAACGAAAGGTTATTGGTCGATAAAATTGACGGACGAATCCTCATATTTGACGACATTTAATAGTCCCTTCGGTAGATACAGATATTTGCGGCTTCCTATGGGTATCAAAAGTTCCCAAGACATATTTTGTCAAAAAATCGACGAATTCTTCGAGGACGTGACGGGCGTGACGTCAATAGTAGACGATCTTCTTGTGTACGGAAGGACTATCGAAGAGCACGATGCAAACCTGACACATGTTTTGGACCGAGCACGTGAAAAGGGTATTAGGTTTAACCCAGACAAATGTGTTATCGGCTCTCAGGAAGTTAAATACTTTGGTCACGTACTGACAGCTGACGGTCTTAAGCCCGATCCTGAAAAATCAGGGCAATTGTAGAAATGAAAGCCCCAGAAAATAAGTCAGAGTTAGAAACTATTCTTGGCATGATCACGTATCTGTCAAAATTTGATTCAAAATTGGCAGAAATGGTAAGCCCTATGCGTGACTTGTTGAAAAAAGACATTGAGTTTATATGGGACAGTGCGCAAATTGACGCCTTTGAAAAGGTTAAAGTCACAATTACTAAGGCACCAGTCTTGGCATACTATGACCCGAAAAAGCCTGTCACATTGCAAGTCGACTCGAGTGCACGTGGTTTAGGTTGCACGTGTTTACAGGACGGCAAGCCCATTGCATTTGCATCAAAGACATTGACCCCTACAGAGAGAGGTTATGCTCAAATAGAAAAAGAGACATTAGCTATACTTCATGGTCTTCAACGTTTCAAGCAATACTGTTACGCAAGACATACTAAAGTTGAATCTGATTGCAAACCTGTAGTTTCAGTTATGAAAAAAGAAATATGTCGGGCCACCCCCAGACTTCAACGTCTCTTATTACAGATTCAACAGTTCGACATAGAGGTCGTACATGTTAGCGGGAAAAGCATTCCCGTAGCGGATACATTATCCCGTCATTTTGTCAAGGACACGTATCCAGAATTGTCTGACGGACTTGACGTGCATGTGCACACGGTTATTAATAGTTTACCGGTTAGCGACGGAAAATTACAAGACCTCAGACTTTCCACACAGCAAGACAGTCAGTTTCAGACACTGAAACAAACAATTATTGACGGCTGGCCTGAATCTAGGCATGAGTGCCCGAATTCCATATTAGAATTTTGGAATCATCGGGATGAACTCTCGACTGTAAATGACATAATTTTCCGTGGTCAAACATTGGTCATTCCAAGTTCATTGCGAAATGAAATGATTAACGCTGTTCATATAGGTCATATGGGAGTGACTAAAACGCTGAACAGGGCCAAGGATATTATGTTCTGGCCAGGCATGGTCAAACAGGTCACAGACCACGTGTTAGCATGCCCTTTATGCCTAACACACAGAGCATCAAATGTGAAGGAACCATTAAATCCCCACATTGTGCCCCAAAGACCCTGGCAACATATTGCCGCCGACTTATTCACGCTTGACGGACGTGATTACCTTATAACTGCGGACGTCTACAGTAATTACTTCGAAGTCGATGCATTGCCAGAAACAAAAAGTAAAACTGTTATTAGAAAATTAACAATGCATATGTCTCGCTATGGTCAAGTAGAAACATTGAAAAGCGATAACGGGCCACAGTTTAGCTCAGAAGAATTTCAAAAATTTGCTTCTGATTGGAATTTTAAACATGTAACATCTTCACCTGGATATAGTCAATCCAATGGTTTCATAGAAAAAATGGTCTCAATAGCCAAAAAATCAATGAAAAAATGCCAGGAGACCAAAACAGACCCATATTTAGCATTTCTGGAATATCGTAACACACCTTTAAACTGCGGATATTCTCCCGCTAAACTGTTAATGGGCAGACGGTTAAAATCCATTTTGCCTTCAACTAATGAGCAATTGAAACCATCTTTCATTAACCACAAATCTGTAAGAAAATCTCTGCAAGAAAACAAGGTTACGCAAAAGAACTATTACGATAAAAGTTCGAGGTCACTTCCCCCGCTAAACAAAGATGACTCTTGCAGGGTGCAATTTTGGAAAACTTGGAAACCAGCCATAGTTCTAAAAAAAGAAAGGGAGAGATCATACAAAGTGCAAACTGAAGATGGCGCTATTTACCGCCGTAATCGCCGCTTCATAAACAAAACGCGGGAAAAGTTCCCTATCAATACAGAGTCCTTCCCTAATATCCTCCACCAAGGTCAAGATCCTCATGATATAATCTCAAACAAAGCACCTTCAAATGAAACAGGTATTTCCCAGAATATTCAAAATCCTATTAGCCATGAAACAAGGTCAGGCACAGGTTATCAGACGCGCAGTGGTCGAGTAGTAAAACCTAATAAACGTTACAATACCGATGAATGGAGCACTGTTAATTAATCATCCGGAATTGATAGACAGTATAATGTAAAAAAAAAAAGAGAGAGAGAGAGAACAGAAATAAAATAATAGTAATAATAATAATAAAAAAAAACTTTGTGACTTTAAGACTATTTAAATTGTTCTCTTCAGTATGTATATGCATTTTTAATCATCATAATTGTTTATTATCATATACAATTTTATTAACATGTGTTGCTTATTTTTTCTTTTAAAAACAGGGAGATGTAGTATCATCGTACATGATGAACTTGAGCTGACCTATGTATAATGCTTGTTTGCGCATGCTCCGTATTTTCTAGTAAATCTAAGATCACATGTTAAGGGTTCACAGAATAAATTTATATCTTGTGCTGAACACTCGTCGTGTTTTACTTTACTTCATTGTATAAACGCACTTGATTTAATATCTATTAATTATTGTTCATGAATAAACGAACATTACAACACCCAGCAAAAATGAGCCAATCAACGGGCTTGATGTGGAGTGCGGGTAACTGATACCCGCACTCCAGTTATCGCACTGTGCATGTATATGTATACGATTTAACTCTGACACTTTTTCAACAGAAAGGTCCCCAAACTATGATACAACAATTATTAAGTCACTAACTCCAAAAAATTAACAATCAGAACCATTATTTTATTACAACTTTCTCTAAAAACAACTTTTAAAGAACATTATGAAAACGTCTTTGAAAGCTTTAACGAATATTGTGCCAGCTATGCATTTATCTCTTTAAGACAGAATTTCTTATGATAAGAATTGATTTTTTTATCGATTAAATTTTCTTTGACATTGTGATATATTAAAATTCCAATTTGTTTCTCAGATGCACTTGCTGTCCTTGTAGGAGCAGAATGACAGTTCCTTATTAAATATGAACAAAAGAACAATAATCTAAAATATAGATGTATAAATGAATTTTTAAACATGTGGAAAAAGGTGGTTGAAATGACTGTTAAACAGCAAAATACAAATGAAAAAGTTGATCTTATCATTAAAGTAAATGTTTGATTATAAATTTGTGTCAGAATGCTGCAAATCTTATCACATTTTAATTCAGAATTCATTACAAATCACTTTGTAAAGATGTCCATTGACACCAACTATAACCATTTGAGACGATACGATAATTAAGACCATTCCACTATTAAGACCATTTTTCACCAGAACCACAAGCGGTCTCATTAGTGGGGTTCTACTGTAAATTAATTTTGAAATAATGTGAAGAAAATCAGCTGCAAATGATTACAGCCAAACCTTAGGAATATCTGCATGATCTGGCTTATTTGCTGTATCTTCTTTCTTTGATGCATGTACATTCCAGGGCTGGGTAAACTTCATATCTGTTAAACGGTCATCTTTCTCCAGAGGTTTCAGATGGGATGCCAAAACAATGTCTCTGAAATAAGTTTGAAAGTAATTAAATGTCAGTTAAGATACAATAATATTGAATTTGAAGAAGTTTTTGGCAAATTTACCTAATTTGAGGGAAACTGTTCAAACAAATATAATAATTTTGTATCAGAGTTAAGGATCACTTCCATTTATTGAAAAAATTGTTATCGCAAAGGTAAAAGTTGTACAAAAAGAGATTGACAAAATAAAAATAGAAAGTAAAAAGACAATGTAGACCCTAACACACTGATCTGTAAGCTGGAAAAAAGAAAGCAGTTACATTGTATTATATCGCCCCTTACTTAACGAGTGTTGGTGACTGGATATTTTTTACAGTATGCAAAATACATGTATGCCCATTACAGACTGATCAACTTTATTACAGACTGATCCACTTTATTACAGACTGATCCACTTTATTACAGACCGATCCATTTTAAAAGTTAATTTTTTTACCTAAATTCATCATAAGTTGCAACTTTTTGATGCACAGCCCTAAATTTAGCATCGTTTTCCCGCCAATATCTGGCGTCTGCTACAACTGCTTCATCCAACTCCTTCTCAAGCTTGCCAAAGTCAATCACCTTGTCATCATCGTGCGAAACCTTCTTTGGTTTTGATTCTTTTTCTTCCATTACTGACATCTGACAAAGAAATAGAAAATAACACTGACTGAACTTACATTTCTTGTTAAATACATGTACTGATGATGTAGTTAAAGACAAAGTATATTAAACTATTCAGTTTTTCAAATTTCAGTTTGATTTCTAAGTAAATATTGTTACTAAAAAAAGAGTACTGGTTTCGTAGCGGTTTCTAGACAGGAATAGCAGCTTTCTGGCTGTATATCATTTTCGTCCCGGTACGGTATATTTTTACAGACAAGGCATCTATGTTACTTTATCAAATCTAGCCGAGAGATGTTTGTTTTCTAGGCAACACAGTAGTACAAAGGTTTATATATATTGAAGATTTGCCTGTTCTTTAAAGTTACCTTAGAGAACTTGCTACATTAAAAGTTCCAAAATTTGAAAAAAATAATAAAAAAATACACATTTGGGATCAATTTATAAGATAAGTTCAAATGCTCATTCACAATAATTTTGTATTTTATTTTTAGGATAATTGGATCAAAAACCAACACAAATTAAGTATCAAAACATGTTTCGCTTTATTAAGCTTCCTCAGTTGATACATATATAACAAGAGCTGTCACAGGAGACAGCCAAGCTCGACTAATAAAATACTGGACGCAGTAAGGAGGACAAAACTATGAAAGAAAAATCAATTATGTATAATAATGTATTAAGTTATATTAAAAAAATAACATTTGTTAACATAAATTCCAAGATCAAGGGGAAATAATTCTAGAAATAGTCACGCTAGAGTTATGAACCTTGTCACACAACATGTGTGTTATGATAAGAAATATATATTTGAAGTTTGAAGTAGATACTTTAAAAAGTAAATAAGTTATAATATTTCTTAAAGAAAATCCTAAGCAGGGTTCTCACTAGGACTTTAAAACATGGAGTCCATGGACTCCCAACCCTGAAAAAGTTGGAGTCCAAAAGCGCGTCGCAATTAATGTTTACAGATTAGTAATTCAATGTTCACAATAGTGCTGATATTTTGAATCTTCTTGGGACTCCAAAGTTTATAGTTATTCAAAAGAAACTCTGAAATACATAGTATAATTATTGTTTTGTTGTTAATATTGAATTAAAATATTGTTGAAATATTTATTATGAAATTATTTCATTATAATGCATCAACACAGGGAAATCGTTTTTTTTCTCACTTTTATACCAAATCAAATTTTATTCTGGTTAAATAAGTCCACTCTAAAGACAAAAAGTTTATATTTGTGAAAAAAAAAACGTAAATGTGTACAGTATAGGCAGCGTTTAGCGGAATGAATAGGAAAATCGTGTACAGCTTCACACAGTGTGTAAGAGATTCATCCGATCGACAATTATTTTAGCAAATATCTTCAAAAGGGGGCAAATTGAAGATCGATATTTAAAGATTTAATGTTGATTAAATAATAAAGGAACAATTCATTCGCATGTTTGGCTTGGAAACAGAGAATTTTTGCGAAATTTTAGGGTTTCTGGCGAAAGTGAAATCGCCGATGCTCGGATCAATTTTCGGATAGAATCTAAATATCAAAGAAAAGCGTATGTGTATTTTTGTTTGTTGTCCTGGCATTTCGGCACAATATATTAAATTCTTAATACTCTTATATAAAGTTTTTGCAAGAATGAAACTAAAGCAAAATTGTGCCTAGAAAATGCCGAAAATATTCGACAATCATTCAAAATTACACTCATTTGTAATTTGAGAAAACAATCTTTACAGTAAACTTGCGGCGTAAATAGTCGATAATTTTATCCTTTTGTCGGTAAAATTTGCTAATTTCCAATCAACTGTTGATCAAAGATATAAAATTATCACCTCGTGTTATATTATCTGGTAATTAAATGTACTGTACAGCGCATGTATACATTGGTCTGATCACTATTGCGTGATAATGATCGGAAGCGTTATCGCTGATTGGCTAATCGCTTCACGGGTCGATGTGCATACATGTAGGACCGCCTACCTATAGACTGACACGCGCTGACGCATTTTGTGTATTTGTGGTTGTAAACAATCGGTAATGTTTATGCGTCCCCAGGCAAAATTAAGCGTACGTGGAATCCTTGCTCTGAAATATTTGCGTCCATCTGTAATAAACATGCGTACCGGGACGCCGAAATAAGCGTCCCCGAGAACCCTGCTAAGTTCAAAGAGAGATAAATCTGTAAATATTGATTCAAGAGTTATGAACATTGTCACATAAAATGTAATTGATGATAAGAAATAAGTATTTGAAGTTTGAGGTAGATACCTTTAAAACTAAAAAAAGTTATACCGTATAAGTGGTTTTTTCTGCGGTGACTTTATTTCTGCGTTTTCTGCGGTCAGTTTCAGCACCGCACAAATAAAAACCGCAGAATGTTTCTCCACATTTTGTTTTTTTAACGATATGTGTCCCGCATAATGACCTGTTTCCTCTAAAGTAATAACGACTAACGGATTATAACAGTTAGCGGGTCATCGAATTATATATAATTGCTTTCGGCTAAGTATGTAATATGTGCTTGTAAGGATGTATTTGTTGTTCATATGCAAATTTATGAACAAAGAAATTTAAACATCATAGTGTTTGCCTGTACGCTAGAGGTTTGTTTACCACTAAATCATTAAAACCATTTAAGCCCTTTACTGCTAAATAATCGTCGTATACATTAATTGTTGTCCGATTTACGATAAACTTCTATCTGTTTTATTAAATTAAAGATACTACCGGGGTATATTTTTCACACGTCATTTCACGCTGATCAAAAGATGCAAACTGTCTATTATTGTACATTATATTTGCTTGCAAACAAACAATATAATTGTTTGTAATTACCATATAGTTTTGCGGTGACAACGGTAAACAAAATTTTAATGCGAATGTGTACATGCAAATAAAATAGGTAAAGTAATGTGACTTAGACTGATAGGATCAGCCGCAGAATTTAAATCACGTTTTGTCCAAAGATTGTGCCGCAGAAATAAAGTCCGCAGACATAAAAACATGCCAAAATTTGGAAAAACCGCAGAATTTGGAGCCCGCAGAAAAAACCACTTATACGGTAGTAAAAAATAACATTTTTCTAGTAAAAAAATCTCAGTTGATGGGGAGATAATTCTTGCAATTTTGGTGCTAGAGTTATGAACCTTGTCACATAAGATATGGATGATGATAAGGTACATATATTTGAAGTATGAAGTTGATCCCTTTTGAAATAAATAAGTTACAGTAAAAAATAGTATTTTTTAAGGAAAATTCTAAGTTCAAGGGGAGATAAATCTGAAAATATTGGTGCTAGAGTTATGAACCTTGTCACATAAGATGGGGATGATGATAAGGTACATATATTTGAAGTATGAGGGTGATCCCTTAAGAAATAAATAAGTTACAGTAAAAAATAGTATTTTTAAGGTAAATTCTAAGTTCAAGGGGAGATAAATCTAAAAATATTGGTGCTAGAGTTATGAACCATGTCACATAAGATGTGGTTGATGATAAGGAACATATATTTGAAGTTTGAAGTTGATACCTTAAGAAATGACAAAGTTATAGTGAAAAATATTTTGCTGCACCAAAACTTTAATCTGAAAAATGGACGCGGACGTGGACGCCGACGCCGGGGCGAGTAGGACAGCTCTCCATATACTTCGTATAGTCGAGCTAAAAATGACGTAAACGTACAAAACAAACGTCTACGTTAATAGACGTTACATTTGGCGCGTAAAAGGAACGTGATAATATTACAATAAGTATTACAATAAAACATGTGCATATGTATGTATAAACGTAATTTTTTTTAAAAAAAACATAGCATATATAATTTTCGAAAAGAATTACATAAAATAACTGGATCAAAAGATACATATATTTTCATAGAGAAACTAGGCTAGTAAATAATTACAACAAGTATGGAAACAACAGTTACTTATGTGAAAGTTTAGAATTCGAAAAAAATGTGCTTTAATCACATGTTGAAAATTGTAAAAAAGGGAGATAATAATTTAGAAACATCGTTTTCAATCAGTATATTTTATAAAGCTATCAAATAAAATGAAAATGATCCATCTATTATCTATTCAAAATATGGTATTATGCTCAAAATCAATTTATGTTATATGAAATAATGTTATATGAAATAATGAAAAAGCATATGAATACATTACGAATATTATAATGTAGTATATAAATGTAACCACAGGTGCTAGTGGCATTGATTTGACCTAAAATGTGTTTGACCTTGTTATTTATAAAATAAAATATCAATATATTTAAAAAAAAATTAAAAAAAAAATTTTTTTTTCACTGTTATATTATTATAGACAAGGTATGCAACATTCAGGCACTAAGTCCTATGTGCCCGTATTTTAAGAAAAATTCTACATGTATAAGGTAATTCCTAAATCGGAAGTGTTCTCCCGCAACACGTGCTTGGTTCCCTGTTCCGCTCTTTGTCAATGTATGTGAAACGGAAGCCGGAGAATACTTCCGGTGGGAATTACCTTCTAAAAATATCGTCTACATGTAGGATATTTCTTTAAATACAGGCTCATAGGACTAAGTTCGACTCGTGGAGGATAAAACCATTTAAAAGTATGTAAAATCCAGTTGTTTGCATGTGAGTTCGACCCGTTTGATCTCTTTGTTGATGTATTTCAAGCGTAAATACCAGCTTACAATGTACATGTCATGACGGTCTCATCTTTCGGACCTGGGTGATTTCTTACTTTCGGGCTTTAAAACATTAACTAGCGGTTAATTGGGGATCTGTAAATAGTAAATTGTAATAGAAAAATAAATTGTGCACTGATTCCATGCAAAAATCCGACGATATTACCGCCCGGTGAAAAATTTTAACACAGATAACCGGCATACCCATAATTTTCGTACCTGAATGTTGCATACCTTGTCTATAATAATATAACTTTTTTTTTTTTTAATATATTGATATTTTATTGTATAAATAACAAGGTCAAACACATTTTAGGTCAAATCAATGCCACTAGCACCTGTGAATGTAACAATCAAAATTATGCGTGAATAAAGGGAGGTAATAAAATATCATCTTATGTATTTTATTTTTATAATTGTAGGTTAAGCAAAATTACACGGGTTTTTGGTATGTCGCTGCAGATGTGTTTATACCTGACTGTTTTAGTTCACTGATTCTCAGGAATTGTCAATTGACGGGAAGACACGAATCCATGAGAATTAGTCATAAGTTTGGATATACCCCACCCACTCACACAACTGTGGCGTCCTTATCAACGGAAAATATAACCACCTAAATGCCAATTTAATCAATCTGACAATAACAACAATAAAAATATTTCACAAATTACCTTGTTATATATTAAATGAAGTCACTTAAATATATTAAAATAGTCAAATACTGGATAAATCAAGTTATTTTGCAAACTTGCTCGGTATCCGCAAGTCAGAACAAATCCGAAGCAAAGTCGCTAAAATCAATCAGTTCCGTTCCATCCCGTTTTAAGACAATCTGTACAAACTCCTACGCAGTAGTCCCCCTTTGCTTAGCTGACTGCAATGTAATGTTGACAAATCTAAGAACGTATTTAAGTACGACTCCCAGTAAAAAAATGTTGAGTAATATTTATAATCAAAGTCCGTGATAATACGTTCTCATCTCTCTTCCCGTGTACTCTCCCTCTCTCAATAATGTAATATAAATCCGTGGACACCGAGATAATTTTGGACGGGCGCTGTCTGTAAGAAAAAAAAGTCTGTAAAATTAGTCAAACCGTTCACGCCGAATTAATTATTAGGCTACTTAATTAACGCTCCTGACTGCTTATAAAATATATATCTATGAACTTTGTAATCGTCGACTTTTAAACTTGACAGTCCTAAAGTCACAGAACAATATACGAATAATCCAACATATTGTTTATCAAATATTGGAAGGTGAATACATGTGTATTGTGTTTGAATATTTCCCTTGTATGTTCCTTTTTCATTTTCACATATCTAGATATTTGTATACATCGATACATGAAAAGCACACCTCTCACTTTTTTGGCATGACGGGCCTAGAAATATTTTCCGAGATTTGTGTATCATTTGATGTAAATAAGGATCAATCATCAATGACATATGAAAAGTACCAGATCATTCTTTCATCCCGTTTTTCCATAACAATCATTTTTATTGTGTAAAATGTTCGAAAAATGAAAAGTGCTGCTCACTATAGTCCGGCTAAAAACCGCCCAAAATAAAATCGATAAAAATCGATTTTAAATTTAATCCTGTATATTTTTTTTATCATCATGTTTCTTTCCATTTGGGCTATATATAATCGTAAGATATTCAAATTTTATGATGTGAGGCTCCTTGAATATATAACTATTTACATGTAGCTTAATTATTTCATAATATACATCATTATCATTATCGTCATTGTCGTTATCATCATCATCTTCTTCACAGACACCATCACAAACACCACCACCATCATCATCATTATTATCATTATTTTCGTTATCATCATCATCATCATCTTCACCGACACCATCACAAACACACACCCACCACCATCATCATCACCATCATCATTATTATCATCATTATCATCATCTTCACCGACACCATCACAAACACACCCCCCCCGATCATCTCCCATCAATCTTTATCCCCCAAAACCATCACAACAAAACCCCCCAGCATCTCATCAGTACACATGCTTTTCTCATTTTTTTTCCCCGAACCCATCAAAAACATACCCCTACAAATCACCTTTTTTCATAAATTGTTTTTTTATCATGATCATTATCTTCACCGACACCCATCACAAACTCCACCACAATCGTTATCATTATCGTTATCGTTATAAAGTTTTACATTAAGAGTACTGTAGAGATATGGTATCATGGCAGTGTCCAAGATGTCATTTGAAGAGTTAGAAATGATGTTCGTGTGTCATCCGGGGACATTATCGGAGGTTTCAGTGTCAACATCTAACAAGTCTCAATATGGCAAGAGGGCATGGACATTTTCTCCGGATAAAGATGTCCAGAACTAAACATGATTTAAAAAATAAATCCGACCTGCCCTACCTGTTCCTGGAGAACATGTTATCCTAACAACACATTTTATAGGCCTTGTCCGGGATTTTTTCTCATACCTGAGTAGCTCATATCGTATTTAACAATTAAAGATAGACATTGCTCTGGCTGTTGTTGGTTGTACGTCGCACCAACACAGTGCTGGTCATAAAATTATGGCGACTTTCCAGCTCTACTGGTGGAGGAAGACCTCAGGTTCCTCTTCGGTACATAAGTTCAGGACCGAACGAACACCTGAGTAGCCGTAATCTAGCTGGATAGCTTCCTCACATGACAGAATTCAAAGTCCTTGTCGAGATTCGAACCCAAAGAGACGTTAGCAACTCCTGAAGAATGTGAACCAAAAGTGAAAAACTAATTCAATAAGTCAATATTGATCTGACTAGGCTCAAAATATTTAACGAAATTCAATAAATCATATTGTCGTCTGACTATATTAATCGTACAACAAAAGTACAATGTAAGGTCAATGTGCTCCCAACGATTTGGATGACAAATTTGAAGGACAAATTTGAAGGACAAACATACCGGCTGTTGCTTGCCGTACAACATGTACTGGCTGCTGTATACGACATCAAATATAAAACTGATAACCCATCTGTTACAAAACGTTTTCCCATTTATTTATTTTGCGGTGAAAATATACTACAACAAGAACGGATCGATATTTATAAATAATATGACATTGATCGACCTTGGCCGGGATTGATTTTTTTCACTTTCATTCACGTATCAAGGATATATGATTAGGGGTTTCGGGAAAATACTCACATTGTTTTTGACAATCTTTTCGACCATTTTTACGTGCATCATGTGCGATGCCGTCCATAAAATTCATAGCCCAGGAATTCTGAATTCTGGCTTCACTGTAAGTCATTGCTTTGTACTGGTTGGTTCCATGAACGGATTCGAGAATGTTTCAATAAGCTTAATATAGCTTCCAACACAATCGAATTAAAATAGATATGTATAAACTAAACTGTACGTTAGTCAAACGGCATTTTATTTGCGATGTACATGTCTTTTTCGCTTTTCTTAGCGTTGATTATTAAAACAAGACCGAAATACAGTACATATATCATATGGTATCCGTTCTGTGCATTGTTACTATGATGTCCGAATTTTGACGGAAAGAGTCAAAAAGTTACGGTTGTGATATTCGGTACAGTGTATCAGTAATGAAAATATGTGAAAAATGAAAATTTACGCCGCCAAATGAGTTACTAATATGATCAATGTTTTGTATATGTAGCAAGTACAATACCTAGCATAATTATGCAAGTATATAACTATAGCTTATATATAGGCCAATTTATCATTTATTTGATATAGAAAACTTGCACAAATCTTAGACTTTCCCTTACACAAAGTAGAGTTAATTAATATTGCATTAAAAACGTGTTATTTCTTTTAAGGTTTTGTTCTTAGCCGGGTTGCTTCAGTGACATGCATAGCAACAAACCATCTTAATTCCCTTCGAAATATAGAGTAAATTTAAGCTGAATTCTTTAAGAACGTTTAAAAACGGCAGTTAAATGTTGCAGGCTTGGTTAGATTGAACCTGTTAATGGACGGTACTGCTCTACCGTCCACCCACCCCCGTCACCGACTTAAGCATCATAACCGCAGTATGAACACATCTGCGAATGTTTCTTAATCTCACCATGTTGGCGTATAACTTAAGCCGGTGCTTGGGGTGTGGACGGTAATATTTTATTACATAATTTTGTAAGCTTGACATATTTATAAACACAATTTTAGAAATTTTTAAAACATTTATTTAAGCATTTTATATTTACAATACACATTCACATGGGTTGAAGCAACATTATCTAGGGTCCTCCTTTAAAAGTCTATAATTAACATAATTAAGTAAACTTGTTTGGATTCTTAATTTATAAATTTAGTGATATCAGTTTTATATAGCCTCTATATAGCCTCTGGATTACGTACATACACATATGTTATTAAATGTACAGTGTAAAGTAAAGGGTTTTTTTTTATCACATATCCCTGGCGCTTTTGCGACTCCGTATTTTATGTGCATATATTTTGAAGTAACGTCATTTTAGACGCGCTCAATGTTAACTAGTTAGCGTTACACTATAAGCGCGTCCTTTTTACAATTAACAAATTTTCTTATTTTGTATATTAGGTGATAAATAGAATATTATATTCATGTAGCTTCATTACTAAATTTATTGAACACGTTTTTACATTCTACACTCATTACAAATATATATCCACTATTTCCGTATTAAGTACCAAATTAGCACGTGCACATACTAACTTCTTAATCGTGTTCGATTCCCGCGCTTCGAAACGGTACCTTTAATGTTTATATTATATTTTGCAAGGGAATTCAACTGAACAAAAATTTGAATATATGCTATCATTGAAGTAAGAAAATACCCACATTGGCTGCTTGCAATTTTCTCGCATCTATGGATGATAACAATAAATAGGCCTATAACATAAATTTATCAACCTTATAAAAGATATTTTATCATTGTTAAAAATGTTTTTTATCGATAAATATAGCATGTCCAGCAGATTCAGCCTAACTTTATCATTTCATGAGTGGTACGTCACCACGATGACGTTAATATTAAACTGTAAGACATTCACTCGATTTATTTGGACCGTGTTACCATAAATAGTTGTTTACTTCTTTCGGCTCATATTTTTCCCTAGACACTCGCTTGTACATAACGGCCAATTTGATTGGCTTACATTATTGACCCATATACGACAAACAGGTAATTTTCGGTGCATATATCGGAATAAAAACATTTTGAACCTTTTTCTTATTCCAAAATGAATAACAAAATAATTTTAAGATATCAAATAAACCTTATATCTTAAAGACTGAATACACAAACAACTTTTCAACAGCCAATCAAATCGTCCGTTTTATCCCTGAAAAGTGGGTCAGTCGCGTCTGATAAATAGGTCAGTCTGTCAACGAAAGTTCAACACGGTGTGGTAAAGGAGATTAACAAATGGATACACATATTATTTGATTTTCTGACACACATTTTAAATATTTCACCAGAATAAAATGATTATTTGAAAGAAATAGGTACGGAGCATACGCCAGGTAAGAAATTTTTGATATGGAACGTGCAATATTGACTTATTTATAGTAATTGGAACTTAATTGGTGAGAAAAACATGAACCGGTGTTTTCTTGGCGTGGGTAAACAACTAAGTAAGAATTAGGGCAGTTGGAAATACGACTACAACGGCAGATATATGTATCTTTAACCATTTTTAGTGAATTAACAATGTTTACTATATATATTTTTGAAGGTTTGGAATGGTTTTTATAGAGACTGTTGCTGTAAACAACACAGAGGCCCTTTTGACATTTTACCAAGTTCAAGGTCGTTTTAAAGAGGTTCACAACGGGGAGCTGTAGATTACCTGTCAACTTTTGACGTGCTGTCTGGCAGGTCATGTCTGTAATAATGGGCAAGGAAGCTAGCCTAGATGGTTTAGGTAATATATTTAAAGTTTCTGTTGAATTGTTTTAAGGTGCAAAAATGATACATACACGTATCTTTCTTTAGATGAGGACAGATTGTTTATGTAAGTTTCTATTCTTAGTCAGAAAAGAAGGAGAATGTAATCTCCCTGATTTAGTGATTAGTCACTGAGAGTACTTAAAGAAGGAAAATGTATATATATGTGTCGACTCATTTCATATATATATATTCCATAGAGTCTAATAAAAATAACTTATATTAGATCAGATTCAATATCATCATGGACTTTAATTGATTGTAATATAAATCCGTTATCGTATACAGCATATTTGTATTTGCAAGTAAATTGGAAGACATTCATGAATGTGGACTCGTATTCCTTTAAGTTTAATGTAGGTATTTACTATATTACCCTTTTTTACACACACCTTAAACCAATATTAGGATATAATCATAATTGATAATTGTGGAGCCAGTGAAATTTAATTTTTCCTTAAATCGGTTATAAACTGAAGGCTAAAATGAATATTTTAAAGGTATAACCATTAGACAGATCTATATGGTCTTTGAGTGCATTAATGATTACACGATTATTTTGTCCATATGTGCATGGCATAAAAGAAAGGATGCTTACACTTCATTATCTCGTATAACATTAGATGTGACATCGATAAACCAAATTTTGTCAGAAAAATTACTTCTCAGCTGAATGTTGTTTGAATCATATTTGCACGGTGCCCTTTAAGGCTTTTTCAATTAGCATGTTAGAATGGATATATATAAATAATTTTACTTGCGCTGTAGTAAAAATTGTTCAATGCACAGTTAAGCGTTCAATGCTCTCAGTTCAATCATAAAGGCCTCCCAGGCTTAACTTAATTATATTCCCAATTTGTGCTGCACTGATTATTCAAAACAACACACTCAAAACTGATATTTAATAATATAATATTAAAAGGTTATTTGACTTTAAACTGTACAATAGGGGAATATATTTGGTCTAAAAACACAGCTGGCCAGTGGGATCTTGTAAATCCCTGGGTCACATGGTACAATTTAAAAGCAGTGATGGAATGTTAATAATTGATATTATATTAATAAGTTACATTAATATGCTGTAAGAGTATTGTTGAAATGATAACATTAGTAACCTAGATAAAAAATTTCAAACTTGTCAAAACTTCTCAGAGAAAATGAGAGATGTTCTATATTATAAACCTCTGTGTTTGCCACAAAGGGTCATTGATATATGCCTTATATAGGGCTTAAAATATTCAACAGTTTTTGTTGTAAACAATATTAGTATCTTAGTTTGGGGACCTTTCTGTTAAAAATGTGTCTGAATACACAATGCTCAGTGCATTAACTGGATGAATAGCAATTTATACATTGCTTTGTGGAAACGGTCTAAAAAATGTGTGGTTCCATACTTTATGTTACGTAGACAACTGCTTATCAGAAATGTATGCTTATTTGGATTTTAGTGTCTTTTATAAGTGAATAAGAAGCTCAAAGTGATTGGTCGTAACTGCAACATGTACAATACATGTCCTTTGGAGTTTGCCACTACATAACTTACATTACAAATCTTTTGCCACTATTTAACAAACTACAATCATTACAGTCATCCTTTGCCACTATTTAACATGTCCATCGCCACTATATAATATATTATATGTCCTTGCTTCGCCACTATGTTACATGTCCTTCGCGACTATTTTACATGTTCTTTGCCACTATGTTACATGTCCTTTGCCACTATGTTACATGTCCTAGTGGCCACTATTTTACATGCCCTTTGCCACTATGTTACATGTCCTAGTGGCCACTATTTTACATGCCCTTTGCCACTATTTTTCATGTCCTTTGCCACTATTTAACATATCCTTTACCACTATTTACATGTCCTTTGCCACTATGTTACATGTCCTTCACGACTATTTTATATGTCCTTTACCACTATGTTAAATGTCCTTTGCCACTATTTTACATGTCCTTTGCCACTATTTTATATGTCCTAGTGGCCACTATTTTACATGTCCTTTGCCACTATTTTACATGTCCTAGTGGCCACTATTTTACATGTCCTTTGCCACTATTTTACATATCCTAGTGGCCACTATTTTACATGTCCTTTGCCAATATGATACTTGTCCTTTACTACTATGTTACATGTCCTTAACCAACTACTCCCAATATTTACACCGCCTGAAACCCACCGTTGATAAAAAGTTAATGTTTCCACTGTGTGGTATCCTATGATGCAATATGAAGTAATTAATGCCTGCTTATTTACCTATGCGTTGAATGTATTTGTTTGGATCTAATTATGATAATAAATTTATGCAAGAAAGGTTTATCTTGTTACCATATGTATAGTAACCACTCCTGTAAAATATGACGGGGAAACAGTAAAAGCTTGTTTCAAAGGTGCTAATATTTTACCTAGTACTTTCTAAGCTAGAGATGGTTAGTTTCTTGAAGGAGATAAATAAAAGGTTATTCTGTATTGTATTCTTCATGAAGCTGGATTGTCGTCTGAATTTGCGACTTGAGTTTTATTCGCTTTTAACTTAATATCTAAATTTTTACCATGCAGAGAGACTATTTGGGTTCCCAATTAATTTACTTGTCAACAGACAGTGAGTGATAGAAAAGTTTAATAAAGACTAATTTGTGTTTTTATTTTTATTTAAATGTTAAAATAAAAGGATTTTTTTTTCTCAAAATTTTTAAGATACAAGAAAATTAATATTTGATTAAAAAAATATTAGTACACACAGACTAAAAATCAAATGATGTCAGAGATTTAATGCAAAAAAATTTGACTATTATAACTGAAATTATGGAGATCTTGAAAAGAAAAAATTTAGTTGAATGTATTGTTTTGGGACAGTTGGAAGGATATAAGTTGCCGTGGTATTTTGCATCAAGACAGCACTATGATACGCCTGTCCTTGGTAAGATATTATGGAAATAACTTCTTTTTTTCGTTATGTTAAAATTGAGATGTTTTGTAACATTACATTTTTTTTCATTGAAAGCTGTGCATAAAGTGGTGTGCCAGATTTGTGCCATTCATTTAATCATAAAAAGATACAGTTAACTTATATCAAGCTTTTTATTCACTGGCAGTTCAAAAGATACAGTTAACTTATATCAAGCTTTTTATTCACCACTTCAAAAGATACAGTTAACTTATATCAAGCTTTTTATTCACCACTTCAAAAGATACAGTTAACTTATATCAAGCTTATTATTCACCAGTTCAAAAGATACAGTTAACTTATATCAAGATTTTTATTCACCAGTTCAAAAGATACAGTTAACTTATATCAAGATTTTTATTCACCAGTTCAAAAGATACAGTTAATTTATATCAAGCTTTTTCACCAGTTCATAAAAGACACTAAAATGCAAATAATCATACATGTCTGAAAAGCAGTTTCCTTGTGGCAAGATATAACCTTGTTGCACGCAACATGATTACAAAGATCTCTAATTAAGCAGTAACTATTTTCTGTAAGAACAGTTCCCCTTTCTTATCATAGGAAAATAAGATCACAAAGCAACGCAGTTTATAAAAACATGTTTCGCTTTTGGGTTCATCAGTTGATATGATGAATTACAAAGGTAACGATTTAATGGTAAAACACAGGTTATATTTAAAATCAGTCTTTAAACTTTACCTAGGTTGATACTGGTTATAAATTAAAATTGTTTAATTGGTTTTTGGCTAAATTCCAACCGAACCTGTTTAAATGGATAAATGTGACACCACTATTATGAGGTGTTTTCTTATTATTTTTCTACATTAAAAAATATTAAATAATTTTTCATTTTTTAAAAATTGATTTTCTGAGTTCTATTTTAGAATCATTGATTACACTAATGATAAGTATTCTTGGAATGAAGAGGTTACTAGTAAACATTTTCACAGTGATTTTTCACCTAATAAAACAGATGCTTAGAAAAGGCCTCTTCCTAATTGAAATTTTCTTTAAAGTCATGCAGTTTTCCCAAAAATCTGAAAAGTCTATAAAGAAGTCTTAAATCAGTTTTAAAATGTAAAAAAAACAGCAACAGAAATTGTAGGTCTTAAAAGAGTTCCTGAGTCTAAGGTCCAAAAACCTCACAAAACAAAATTTGAAGATCTGTCTGAACTTAACGTCACATGCCGGTAGATCACAACTGGGACACTTAAACCGAAAAATAACTGTCAGCATATTATACATGTACATGCAATTTTACAGTGTATTTTATGTTGAATTGATATAGGGGCGTCCATGGCCGAGTGGTTAAGGTCGTTGACTTCAAACCACTTGCCCCTCACCGCAGTGGGTTTGAATCCCGACAGGGACTTTGGATTCTTTTATGCGAGGAAGCTATCCAGCTAGCTTATGGAACGTCGGTGGTTCTACTCGGGCGCCTGTTCGTGCCTGAAATAATGCACGGAGGGGCACCTGAGGTCTTCCTCCACCAGTAAAGCTGGAACGTCACGATATGACCTATACTGTGTTGATGTGACGTAAAACCCAAAACAAAACAAAATCTACCTTTGAAGCTACATCATTTATTTAATTAGTTGACTTTTACTCAATAAAGTATAGTTAAATACTGCAGTACAGCTGCAAAAAAAACAACATTTTATATATTTATAAAAAATTCCTTGTTTCAGATGAATCCATATTTATCGTTCAGGCTAAGTAAGTTTTAGAATTGAATGGAATTATGGCAAAATGTAAAATTATTGTCTCTCCCTATATATCCTTGGATGGACATAAATCACTTTTGACTGCGCATTGTTACAATAAAAGCAAGTACCTATGCATGAAAACATAGAAATGGCTCATTTATGTTATTCTGTATTTATTTTATTTTGCAGAATTTGATGGTGATACAGTATTGTGTAGGGTTTGTGGTGATAAGGCCAGTGGTTTTCACTATGGTGTGCATGCTTGTGAGGGATGTAAGGTGAGTTTTTGACCGGGCAAATCAAAGTACTAAAAGGTGGTACTGACGATAGGAGATTTTTTGAACTTTTCAAGATTATTTATTAGTGCTTTTAAGTTTTCTCTCATAGAATCATTTCTGTGGTCAAAAAAGGAGTAATTGTTATTGCAGTGATTTCTTGAAAGTATGTTTATATCCTGATTAAATGACTTTGTTTAAATTCAATTGTTTGGTCAGAATTAAATGATGCAGATATTAAAATTGCCAGATGGCTCGCAAATTATTCATACTACAATCTTCTTGCAACACTTTTGAAATTGACGTTGCTTTATACGTCGTGACAATTTGACCCTTTCACCCTCGCCCCTTCCTGTCTGTGATCTTGTATTTGCCGTCTTTGAAACGCTTGCGCCACGTGAAATTAAGACACATGCTGGCTTATTCATTGCACTTCTTTAATTTAACCATCCCATATTAAGCTGAAGGAGTATCCACAATTTGATGAAAAAATTAACCGATAGTAGGAATTTCTAGTTTTTAAATGGGCCTCATATTTCAATTCTAAAAAAAAATTCCAGGGATTTTTCCGGAGAAGCATTCAACAGAAGATACAGTATAGACCATGCTTGAAGAATCAACAATGTAATATAATGAGAGTGAATCGGAACCGATGTCAGTACTGTAGACTGAAGAAATGTATCGCTGTCGGAATGTCAAGAGATGGTATGACTAATATTTCTTCATTTGAGCCGCGTCACGACAAAACAATCGTAATACGTTTGCGACCAGCATGGATCCAGACCAGCCTGCGCTACTTGTAATAGAGTTTGACACTGAACAGCATGGATCCTGATCAGACTGTGCGGATGCGCAGGCTGGTCTGGATCCATGCTGGTCGCAAAGGCACTATGTTGGTTTTGTCGTGGCGTGGCTCATTTTTTTGTTGCCTTTACAAAGTAGTGGCAACATTATAGGGATCTGTCTGTCTGTCCGTCACAAAACTTGTTGGGACTACACCTCAGAAACTACTGGTGTAATTTCATCTAAACAGGAATCATCAGTACCAATTCTACTTGTGCATATTGTCAGCATTTTATATTTCAATGATTTTTGTTTAGAGTTATGGCCCTTTAATGATTATTTTTTAAAGTTTTGTTCGAACTACTTTTCTTATACTACTTATGCATAAAATGAAACATTACAGGATTAATAGGTACCTCAAGCACTTGCATATATTGAACAGGTTTTCTGGTTGAATAATGTTTGACTGGGTTAAAGCCCTTGAATAAAAATGTGTTTTGCCATGTTAATGATTTTTTGTGTTTCCTGCTACACAGTACAACATGCAAATGGCTATCATGAGGCTGCAAGGATCACTGATCACTCTTGTTTTTCTGTATCAACAATGCGAGGCTGATACCGCTTATATTTAGAGCGACGTAGCAATGCTCTTTCATGCAATAAATGTATTTGCTCACTGTAAAATTATTTTCTTTTAAATATATTGATGCTATTCTGTCCATAGGGCACAAATTTTTACAGTTTCATAATAGTCCCTCCTGGAGTAAAAATCTTTCCAGTTGGTCAAAATGTTTATTTTGGAGACTTGTTATTTAAACACTATTTAGAAAAATCGTGTTTCAAACGACATTCTTTTAACGTCATCTTTGTTTGTTTGGAATATTGTTAATTTTATTGACCACCTCCTGTGGTGCAGCACTGTTTTAATGTCATCTTTGTTTGTTTGGAATACTGCTAATTTCATTAACCACCTCCTGTGGCGCAGCTTTACAATAGAGGGCATGATTTTGTTGTTTGTCGACCTTTAAGCTTGACCGATGGATGAAGATCTTTGGTGCGTAAAAGGTTCAGTCCATTGTTTCCTGAAATAATGATATTAAGGGTCTTCTTTTCCTAACAACAGCTGAAAATCCACTATTTTGGACCATAACTCTAGCATGTAGTTTGACCGAATTGTACAGTTTTGTTCATTCCTAGTAAAGGTCTTCATGCCAGTTCTGTCTTTATAACCAGGGAGTGTACAGTTAACTCCGCGTTTAAGGATATTCAGGGGACCGCCAAATTTATATTGTTAAATCTGGATATTAGGATATCCGGGAGGCAACCGATTTGAAAACAAGTAGTTGCCATGGCAACAGCATTGTTATAAGCACTATATCATTATAAGTGGAGTTTACTGTATTATTATTCATTTGACATTTGACCTTATTATTCATTTGACATTTGACCTAAAGGTCATAATTGTAGATGACTGGTCAAAACCCATGACTGGTCGTTGTTGTTGCAGTTATTGTTGTATGGTAGTAAAGTGGTATTTGTACCTAAAAATATAAGACTATTTATTTTAAAGTGCTACCTTCTAAAATAAAAAAAAATAAGATGAAATGTCCTTATTCCTTTTAAATATTGTTTAAAATATTTATATTAAGAAAAAATCTGGTATGCAAGTTTTATGCAAATTGGCTGACTGGTTATGTAATTGCTACACTGGGATTAGATATAGTCATTGGTTGACCTCGTTCACAAAAAGAACACAATCATGTTTGACCTAGCATTGAATACAAGGTGGGGCTAAAAATTTTTACAGCTAAAATCAGTCAGGTTCATACTTATCATGTATATAATTATGTACAACCTATTTCTTTGCCTTGTTATGCCACCATTAAGCCATGACCTATACCTTTATTATAATTCTAAAAAAAACCTATGTTTTGGATTAAGGGTGGATTTAACTCAATAAAATCATTCTATATTACAACACTTTGTAAATAGGATTGAAATGCTACAACATTTTATTGCTTATTGTTGTTCTGTGTTACACCATTGGTAGCTATTTTGATATTTACATAGCCATAGCCTTAAGAGGTCAATTATTATGGTGGAAAGGTACATGAAATTTAAATGCTTTGTGAAACATTGATTTACCCGGTTGTGATCTATTTTAAAGATCCGGTCACACAATTTATTTAAGGTTTTATATCATAAATATGATGCTGAAATTAAAATTTATCAATTTTGTAAGCTCCAAAAAGCATTATTTATAACGATAATACTGAATTTAACATTTCATGTAAATATAGGGAGGTAATTAGAAATTTATTTTCTGTAAAGTCTAAGTCAGAGTACTTGAGTGTTGTAAAAAGTGTTGTAACAACCTCAATTACCACATACAGGATCTTTAATTGGTTGTTGTTAGTTAAAAAGATATATAATTAACAGACCTATTAAAAAATAAGACATGACTATTTAAGTATATACATGTAATTAAATTCATTATTTGATCTTCAAGAACAAATGATTGATGTTTAATAAAGAATTATTTAGAGATACAGTATAACTTTTACGTAACGTTGGTGGTTCTACTCAGGTACCCATTCGTGCCTGAAATAATGCACAGATGGGCACCTGAGGTCTTCCTCCACCAGTAAAGCTGTAACATCGCCATATGACCTATACTGAGTCGGTGTGAGGTAAAACCCAATAAAAACGGACAAACAGTATAGCCTCTGCAGATCCACATCCTGTGGGAGGCAAACATGTTAGTTGTTACAAAGAGGTTTTGCTCTACAGAGGTAAAACATAGCGGAAATCTCTACTTTACAAAAAAAATATAAAAATCCCATCGCCCAAACAAATTAACAAAAATATGTTGAGGCTGATAAATGTACTAAATGGTAATGAAATATATCTGTTTTTATTTACAGCTGTACGTTTTGGTCGGGTACCGAAGAAGGAAAAGGCCCGGATCATCGAGCAGATGCAGAAAAGTAATCTTCAGTTAGCAGCAACGGCACTGTCGTCTGCTATCAGTACACAAGATATGGTACAATCTGTGATTGTCGCTCACCATCAGACGAGCGAATATGGTCCGGAGAAAGCTAAAGTGATGAGGGAAATAGCTCTGTTACAGAATGACTACGTTGATTGCCCGGCACACATGGTAAATTTATCGCCAATATCACTTTAACTGTTAACCTGCTGAATTAGTGTTTTGGACTTGATCAATTGGCTTGCGAGTAACAGATTCTACCCATGCCACCAGTGCCGTCTGATCATTGTCTGGGCTGTTTGTTATTCAGTCAATGAATATCTTGAAAATTACCCTAATTTTGATGAATGATTTTGTCCATCTTGATAAACGGACAAGTCCACTTAAGATATTTAGCAAGAAATCATAAACATAGTTATTATAACAACTGTTGACGAGCATCAAACAATAATATAAGGAATTCTTGAACATATGACAAATTATGTATGAACTTGTCAAAAGCATTTAGTATTAAAATACACATTTTACAGGCATTTGTAAGGCGTGTTTTTCTTTCTGTATAATTTTTATGAAAAAGAAAAAGAAAAATTTTGCATCAGCCATGTATATGTCATTATATCGTCCAATAAAAATTCTTGTAATGAGAATTATTACACTCATTTTATAAGCATTTCCTGGTTAGCTAAATAAGGAGACCATCGGATTAATAATCCAGGCATCGCTGGTAGTCCAGGCATTGCTGGGCGAGGCCAAATTTCTCTGTAACAATTGATCGCAGACATTGAGTTTTATGGTCATTTGTTTCTCACTGCTGATTCACTAACCACATGAGAGTGGTAACTAGGGGTGAAATGGGTGGTTACTGGTTTGTTATTTTGTTATCCAGAGAAGTGGGCTAGGTGGATTGACTGCTGTCATTTGCTTTATACAAACATAGCATGAAGATGCGCTTCTGTTTGTATTATACTATAGGAGTGCCAGTAACAGAGGGAAAGGATTATTTTCACTGTAAACGGTTCTTATGTTGGATATGTGATAAATAGACACCAATTAATTTTTTGAATTCGGCATAAAAATCAGAAAAATAAACTAAAAAAATCATATTTCTTTCGTAGGCATGTCCTCTGAACTCGTATGCTGGGAGTGACAATACAGATAATCAGGATTGGACCGACTTCTCAGAGTTCTTTGCCCCTGCTATAAAGTCGGTGGTGGACTTCGCAAAACTTATCCCAGGATTCCTTTTATTCAATCAGGATGATCAAGTAACTTTATTAAAGGTATGTGTTGCTATATAACCATTTTATAATGACATGTTGCTAAAATATATGTCCCCTTCTGTCTGAGATAATATTTCAGGGTAAATTTATAGGAGAATCTTGATTTGGCATCGGTAGCCTAGTAGATAAGATCGTTGTCTTCAAACTACTTGCCTCTCGCAGCTGTAGGTTCAAGCCACGAAAGCTTCGTCAGATAATACATGTGTCAAAGCTATCCAGCAAGTTTACGGAATGTCAGTGGTTCTAATCGGGTGCCCATTTGTGACTGAAATAATTTGCAGAGGGTCACTGAGGACCAACAGTATAGCACCTGGTCACCCTTTACTAGTTGCATAAGGCCAAGCACTTTCCGGTCAAAAGGTTAATGGTATGGAAATGTGAGAAAAATTTATTAACATTTTAGAAGATGGTACTCTATGTTAGTGTACCTCATGCAGAGTTTAGGTCTGTGTGTGATCTACATGTCACACGGCAATAATTGTATTGATTTTTTTTTCAAATGCCAAGTTACTTGTTTATCAAAAGCAGGTAAATATATTGCAGACTTATTGTTACTTTCCTTATATAATATATAGCCTTGCTTATATAACCAAAATTCTGTTTGAATGGTGTTTATCATAGACAATAAAACTAATGGAGACAAAAAAGGTTTTCAGTAACATATTAAGTATATGTATCTGACATGTTCATTTATTAAATGAGCAAACTACATTACATATAATTTTTAGCTTCGACTATTTGAAGAATAGAGAGAGCTATTGTACTCAACCAGGCGTCTGTGCCACACTTTGGTTAAATTTGTGCGTGCAAATTGCTATCTCCAGAACTAATAAAGGGAATAAGTTGAAACTTCACACATTTATTTGAAAGTATAATACCAGTTTTATGTCCCTTTTGGTGCTTAAATTTTGTAACACCTGAGGTTAGCCAAATTACCTTTCTGGTTAAGGCGTCATAATATTATGAAAAAAAAGTTTTATAATTTTGCATAAGCCATGTACATGCTAATATATGGTATAATACCAGTTTTATGTCCCTTTTGGTGCTTAAATTTTGTAACACCTGAGGTTAGCCAAATTACCTTTCTGGTTTAGGCGTCATAATATTATGAAAAAAAAGTTTTATAATTTTGCATAAGCCATGTACATGCTAATATATGGTATAATACCAGTTTTATGTCCCTTTTGGTGCTAAAATTTTGTAACACCTGAGGTTAGCCAAATGACCTTTCTGGTTTAGGCGTCATATGACCTTAATTGTGTTTATGCATGATAAAACCGAACAAAAACAAAAAAACAAAAGCACAGATGTGCATACTGGCCTGGCTCTGTACTGGTGGCAAAAACTTTATCACTTTGGTGAAATCCTTTTAATATAGCAGGTTCCTATAGTAATTGTTAATTTCTTACAAAAACAGCTTTCAAAAAGAAAACACTATCCTTTTCTTTCAGTTATGAATTGGTTTGGATTTCTGCTAGATTCAATGTTTGATTTATGGGAGTGTTCTACTTCACAATTTTTTTTTCTGAATTTTGACGACAAAGATCACTTGTGCTTTGTTTGTAATAATATGACATTAGTATATGATATTCTTTTCTTTTTTCAGGCAGCAACATTTGAAGTGCTTTTAATTAGAATGGCATGCTTGTTTGACAATGAATCTAACACTATGATGTTTGCACACGGGAAGTTATTTCGCCGTCAAACAACAGGGGTAGACTATTATTTGTTAAATTTGATTTTTGAAACAATATCATAATTTCAAGCGGACTGATATGAATAAATGGTTCACAGTCACTCTCTGATCACATTTTATCACATAAACCTCTGCGCAAGAGTGTAATAAAAGCGAAAGCCAATGAATAGAAAATGATATTACATTAGTGTAATAACAATTTAACATTACCTCATTTGTATTACAGGCAAACATAGCGTCAAAGTTTGCTTATGTTAGATTTACACTTTAGGCATATCAAAAAAACAACAACTGTAAACTGTTCTTTCTTTGGATATGTGATTAATAGAATATTATATTATGTAGATTCAAACTTAATATTGAACTAGATAAAATGAATGGTCTGGTTTGCCTGACTATATACCAGTGGCAAAGACTTGTACACTTCCAGTTACAACAGGTTAATTGTAAATTCTAGACAGAAACAACATTCAGGAAGAAAATAATTTGTTCTTCCCTTTCAGTTATCAACTAGTGTTGGATTTCTGCTAGACTCAATGTTCGATTTTGCTGAGCGGTTTAACAAATTGAATTTGAACGATGATGAACTGGCCTTATTTTGTGCAGTTGTACTTTTATCTCCAGGTGAGAGCAAATTCTTATATTGTCACCTGTAATGTTCCTTATAGACCCTTTTAATTAAGATTGGATTCAAGTTGCTGCCTTTTGATGATGTCATTTGGGGATACAGGGGAATTTCCGATACGACTATTACTGAGTGTATTAATGAGATGTAAAATTCCTTACTCTCAAAAGAGGGGCATATTTAAATTGTGCCAAACTTTTAAGCTATTGAATAAGAAATTACATAAAAGGATGGTCATAACATGATAACCGGAACATTATGTTTCAGTGCTTGATCATGGCTAAGCAAGTGATACTTAAATGTTACCCAGATCAGGGTCTTTTAATTTCTGCCCAGATCATTGTTACCATTTTCTATAAAACCACATGAGGGTTCAACATGTGTAAATAAGAAAAAAGTGACATAAAGAAAAAAATTAACAGATTATTAATTATAGAGTTCTTAAATTAATATGTACAGTTGTGTATAAATTAATTCTTCCTCGGCCCCATTTTATGATCGAGACTCAGTTATATGAATAATTGAATTCTTGTGTGTAACTATGATGAGGAAAATTTTTAATTAAGCCTAATTATAATAGTTTGCCATTTTGGATTTCATGCCGATTTCAAAAAACAATTTTAATTATAGATTTCTATAAAACAATATGTACAGTTGTATATAAATTAAGTCTTCCTAGGCCTCATTTTATGATTGAGGCTCAATAATAATATTATGTATAGTTGTGAATAATTGAATTTTCATGTGTTTTTTACCCCCATGTCGTGTAGATCGACCAGGATTACGACAGGTGGATCAGGTGGAGAAGGTACAAAGTAAATTAACAGAGAGTCTACAGAATATGATCAACACTAATCACAAGGAGGACAATACTCTATTTGCTAAATTACTCATGAAAACAACAGATTTACGTACCTTGAATGCCCTACATTCGGAAAAAACTGTCGGTATGTTACAAGATGTTTCGGTATTTTACATGAGTAGCACATTGTGCTTTAGGGTTTGACAAGTTAGTCGGAAGCAGCTTTTGCAAAATTTGTTGATTTAAATATCAGGCGCCTTTGTTGTTTTGCGGTTAAGATCGATTTGCTGTGAGTTGAAATTCTGTCCTTTCATGTGAAGAGGCTATCCATCTAGCTTATCGAAGGTCTGTGGTTCTAGTCTGGTGCCCACTCAAGCCAGGAATAATTCTTGAAAGGAACCTAACGTCTTCCTCCAACAATAAAGCTGAAGAGTTGCAGTATGACCTTTATAGGGTCACTCAAAGGCCAATTATGCCCTAATACTAAAGAGTCATCTAATTATCGAGAAAACTAGAAAGAAAGTGTGTTTTTTTTTCAATTTGTTTATTTGCAAAACAAATCTGCTCATTTTGAAATTTGACTGTGTGATTTCATTGCACATGTTGCTTACAATTTCAGGGTCAGCTGATAGGAATGAGGATGGTACTGTTGAAATGCAAGATTCCCTGTCTGATAATAGGTGAGTTTGTTTATACAGAATTCATTCGAAGTTTGATCGTGTAGGAAGCTATAAACCTATCAATACACTCTCAAAACTGTTCCTAGACAGTTGAAACTGAATATTTAAGCTTGCCAATGAGTCTTCGTAAATTTCAGACTTGGCAAAATATCATATTTAACGATAACCAAGATTATTAAGCACTTTTAATTGTCAGTGGTCATAAAATACAGGCCTAAACCGGCAGTAAAGAGTAAGACCAAACTTTATATTGTTTGTTTCTTCTAGAAGTACACAGGGCCCACAGTCCTGTTTTACTCCATGTATAATACAAACAATTTAGATAATTTTTTCTTTTTAAAAGTACAAATAGAATATCAAAATATTACATATTTAGCTCAGATTAAGTTAACCTTTAAACTGGAAAACAAAGATAATAAGAATAAATTGTAAACAAAGTTGCTACGCTTAAAGGTTAGGAGTCTTTGTTAGGAAACATTTTAATGTTTGCAAAGGACCCTCGGTGCTATACTGTATGATTCAAGCACACTTCTAAAAGGTCATGTTATTGCACTTTTATCAGAGATTTCAATTTTTAAAAAACAACTGAGTCATGTTGTTATTCTAGATACGAAACTTCATGACTGGTCAATTAGCAACTACTGTTTATTATAGTAGAACCAGATTGTTGGCCAATGTGTTTATAGAAAGAACAAACATTAACTCGGTTCAAACAAGCATTGACCAAGTTGTCGATCCTTTTAAGGCTTTATCTTGGTTTAGGCTAGCATTGACTAAGTTGTGAATCCATTAAGGCTTTAACATGGTTCAAACTAGCACTGACCAAGTTGTCAATCCCTTTAGGCTTTATCTTGGTTCAGGCAAGTATTGAACAAGTTGTCAATCCTATTAAGGCTTTATCTTGGTTTAAAGATGCATTGAACAAGTTGTCAGTCCTTTAAGGCTTTATCTTGGTTTAGGCTAGCATTGACCAGGTTGTCAATCCTTTTAGGCTCTATCTTGTTTCAAACTAGCATTGACCAAGTTGTCAATCCATTAAGACTTCATCTTGGTTTAGGCTAGGATTGACCAAGTTGTGAATCCATTAAGGCTTTAACTCAATTCAAACAAGCATTGAACAAGTTGTCAATCCTATTAAGGCTTTATCTTGGTTTAAAGATGCATTGAACAAGTTGTCAGTCCTTTAAGGCTTTATCTTGGTTTAGGCTAGCATTGACCAGGTTGTCAATCCTTTTAGGCTTTATCTTTTTAGCTCACCTTGCACAAAGTGCAGGTGAGCTTTTAGGATGGCCAACCAAATGGCGTCCGTCGTCCGTCCACATTTTAAATATTCTAAGGACATCTTCTATGATACCGCAAGGCTCAATGTTAATGAAACTTGCAGGAATACTCTTTGTATGAAGCTCTATCAAGATTGTTCAAAGAATTTCATTTCATTGCAGAACTCTGGTTGCCATGGCAACCGAAAGAAAAATCTTTAAATATCTTCTTTTAAAAACCGTAAGAGCTAGAGCTTAGATATTTGGTATGAAAAACATCTTTCTAATGAGTTGTCTACCAAGTTTGTTTCAAATAAAAGCCCTAGGGTCAAAAATTGGCCCGCCCCAGGGGGTCATTGATTTTCCCTATATGCATACAGTAAAAACTTAAAAAACCTTCTTTTAAAGAACCCAAAGAGCTAGAGCTAAGATATTTTGGCATGAACATCTTCTAGTGAGTGTCTACCAAGTTTGTTCAAATAAAAGCCCTGGGGTCAAAATTGGCCCCGGCCCAGGGGGTCCATTGATTTTCCCTATATGCATATAGTAAAAAACTTAAAAATCTTCTTTTATAGAACTGTAAAAGCTAGAGCTTAGATATTTGGCATGAAACATCTTCTAGTGAATGTCTACCAAGTTTGTTCAAATAAAAGCCCTGGGGTCAAAATTGCGCCCGCCCCAGGGGGGTCATTGATTTTCCCTATATGCATATAGTAAAAAAAACTTAAAAAAATCTTCTTTTTTAAAGAACCCAAAGAGCTAGAGCTAAGATATTTAGCATGAAACATCTTCTAATGAGTGTCTACCAAGTTTGTTCAAATAAAAGCACTGAGGTCAAAATTGGCCCTGCCCAGGGGGTCATAGATTTTCCCTATATGCATATAGTAAAAACTTAAAAATATTTCTTTTTAAAGAAACCCAAGAGCTTAGAGCTTAGATATTTGACATGAATAATCTTCTAGTGTGAGTGTCTACCAAGTTTTGTTCAAATAAAAAGCCGCTGGGGTCAAAATTGGCCCCGCCCGGGGGTCTATTGATTTCCCTATATGCAGCATATACATAAACTTAAAAGAATCTTCTTTTTAAAGAACCGTAAGAGCTAGAGCTTAGATAATTTGGCATGAAACATCTTCTAGTGAGTGTCTACCAAGTTTGTTCAATATAAAAGCCCTGGGGTCAAAATTGGGCCCCGTCCGCAGGGGGTCATAGATTTTTTCACCTATATGCATATAGTAAAAACTTTAAAAATCTTCCTTTTAAAAGAAACCCAAAGAGCTTTAGAGCAAGATATTTTAGCATGAAACATCTTCTAATGAGTGTCTACCAAGTTTTGTTCAAAATAAAAGCTGGGGCAAAATTGCCCCGCCGCTCAGGGGGTCATTGATTTTTCCCTATATGCATATAGTAAAAACTTAAAAATCCTTCTTTTAAAGAACTCAAAGAGCTAGAGCTAAGATATTTAGCATGAAACATGTTCTAATGGGTGTGGTTCTACGGCAAGTATGTTCAAATAAAGCCCTGGGGTCAAAACTGGCCCCTGCCCCGGGGGGTCATTGATTTTCCTTATATGTGTATTTAGCAAAAACTTAAAAATCTTCTTTGAAAAAACCAAATAGCTTGAGTTTAGATATTATTACATGAAACATCTTTAAGTAAATATCTACAAAGTTTTTGTGTTCAAATAAAAGCGCCGGGGGTCAAAACTGGCCCTGCCCCAGGGGTGTCATTGGTTTTTAACTATATGTGTATAGTAAAAACTTAAAAAAAATCTTCTTTTTAAAAAACCCAATGAGCTAGAACTTAGATGTTTAGCATGAAACATCTTTCTTATGGGTGTCTACCAAGTCTGTTACAAATAAAAGCCCTTCTTGTAAAAATTGGCCGGGGGGGGGGGCTATATACAGGTCAGCGACCTCAGGGCCATCATGGCCCTCTTGTTTCAAACTAGCATTGACCAAGTTGTCAATCCATTAAGACTTCATCTTGGTTTAGGCTAGGATTGACCAAGTTTTCAATCCATTAAGGCTTTAACTCAATTCAAACAAGCATTGAACAAGTTGTTAATCCATTAAGGCTTTATCTTGGTTTAAAGATGAATTGAACAAGTTGTCAGTCCTTTAAGGCTTTATCTTGGTTTTAGGCTAGCATTGACCAGGTTGTCAATTCCTTTTAGGCCCTTTATCTGTTTCAAACTAGCAATTGACCAAAGTTGTCAATCCATTAAGAACTTCAATCTTGGTTTAGGTAGTAATTGACCTAAGTTGTGAATCCATTAAGGCTTTAACCTCAATTCAAACAAGCATTGAGCAAGTTTGTTAATCCATTAAGGCTTTATCTTGGTTTAAGATGAATTGAAAGCAAGTTGGGTCAGTCCTTTAAGACTTTATCTTTGGTTTAGGCTAGCATTGACCAAGGTTGTCAATTCCTTTTTAGGCTCTATCTTGTTTCAAACTAGCATTGACCAAGTTGTCAATTTTCCATTTAAGACTTTAACAAAGAATTTGGTTTAGGGCTAGGATTGACGCAAGTTGTGAATCCATTTAAGGCTTTATCTTGATTTAGGCATGCATTAAACAAGTTGTCAATCCATTAAAGTTTTATCTTGGATTAGGCTAGCATTGACCAAGTTGTCAATCCATTAAGGCTTTAACTCGCTTCAAACAAGCATTGACCAAGTTGTTGATCCTTTTAAGGCTTTATCTTGGTTTAGGCTAGCATAGACCAAGATGTGAATCCATAAAGGCTTTCACATGGTACAAACTGGCACTGACCAAGTTGTCAATCCTTTTAGACTTTAACTTGGTTTAAATTAGCATTGAACAAGTCGTTAATCCATTTAGCTTTTAACTTGGTTCCGACTGGCATTGAACTACTTGTTAATTCTTTTAGGCTTAATCTTGGTTTAGGCTAACAAGTTGTCAACCATTTGAGCTGTATCTTGGTTCATACTATCATTGGCTAAGTTGTTAGTCCATTAAGGCTTTCTCTTGGTTTAAAGCTGCATTGAACAAGTTGTCAGTCCTTTAATGCTTTTTCTTGGTTTAGGCTAGCATTGACTAAGTTGTCAATCCATTAACCCATTATGTTATATACACACCTTTTAACGCCTTTTTCACCCAGCCCCCTTTTTGTTGTCTCAAATGGTGAAAAATGCCTTATTTAGGCCCCCAACACTTGTTTTTGTTTGAGAAATGTTGTTAAAAAAAGTGACCTCTTTTTCGGCGCGGCTCCCTAACCAAAAGATACATCAGGGGGTTGCCAGAAGGGGGACATGCCCCCTTCTGTTTGGGGGGTTTGAAGGGGGGCGGAGTCCCCCTCATCGCCAAGAAAATTTTGGACTTGTGAGAGGCTATAAATGACCCAGATTGATCATAAGGTAACATGTAAGCAACGCTGAAAAGCATTTGACTCTATCTCAATCCATTGAGAAGTTGCAGCACTTTGAAATCAATTTTGATGGAAAAAATCAACGCAAAATAGTGATTTTTTGGCAATTTTGAGATGTCCCCTTGTTGCCATGGTAACAGTAAATTTAAGCCTGAGCATGTTGTTGCAAGTGCAATGGTCCAGTCAACATTTGTGCCGAGTTTGATTAGTGTTGAAGCAGTTTTTGTAGTATTATAGCAATTTGAACTTGTAACGGGAGACTTTTCAATGAAAACAGCCATTTTTCACAAAATGCTCATGAAATAATGGGTTAAGGCTTCATCTTCATTAGGCTAGTATTGAACAATTTGTCAATCTTTAAAGGATTAATCTAGGTTCAGGATAGCTTAGACCAAGTTGTCAATGGCTGAAAGATAATCTTACTTTATACATGCATTAATAGTGAGAGAGATTTACTTGTTTGACAGTTTTGCCCCACAGTAACACTTGTGTAATTTAGGTATTTTCCTCCTACTTCTCTATTGTCACATTGACACTTCTGTTCAGCTTTTTAGGATCGCTCATCTACTGGATAACCGTCTGAAGTTAATTTTTTTTCTTCAAAACACATTTCCTGTGATATCACTTGGCTAATGTTGATAAAAAGTTTATAACAGAAATTTCTCAACATGAACGTTATAGGGAAAATTTATCAAAATATATCTGTTATGATACCACTTTGCTAATTTTAAGATAAAATGTTTATCACAAAAATCTCTTAAAGTTAAGGATAATATAAATGTTACAATAATCATGGGGCTGAAAATCTTATTGTCAATTACTTTTCAACATTCATGTAGACAATGAAAAATCATAAATGATTGACCAGTGACACTCTTTTGCAGAATTTTTATGCTAATGAATGCATATAATTTAATTTTGATTTTACTGACTGATTTGTTTACTCATTTTTCAGATCTGAAGACTTGACCCCGTCCGACTCAATGTCATCCATCAACACCATAACATCATCATCCACTATGGACACTGCTAGTTCAATGTATGATAGTAACGGTTCATTAATTCATCAACAAAACAGATTCTCCGGTGAGAGCCCAAACTAAAGCGGGAAAGTTTTTTGCTAAAAAATTTCCTTAGGGAAAACCAATTCTATCGCAAAAGAAAAGGGTACTTTTGGAAATGGTTCCAGAGCAGCCGCGACGAAGGTGTCACACACTGGATCGAGACTCGCAGATTTCACGTCCGAGACTGCACACCATCGAGGAAGGTTCTCGTCGACGTTACACAATGGATAGAGAGTATATAACAAAGATGGTGGGAAAGTTAAGTGATAGGCTCGAGAAACGAGCACACGTTAATAGTATGCCTGGATCTGTTAACAGCTCAGCGTGCTCATCACCTGTACCTATACTTGAAGAACAATACAGTCAGTATATGAACAGAAATCGTGACTTCATTCCAATTTCAACGCCAGACTCCAGTGCATGCAGCTCTCGTACGAGTCCCTCATTTCATAAAGACACGCTTCAGCCATTTGCTTCGTCCCCAAATTCACCAAGACCCAGGTCGGGCTCAATTGGCACTGACGACTTCGGTCCAATGCAGAGGCCACGTTGCGCAAGTTTTCATGTCAACTCAGAAGGTCATGCTGCTCAAGGTCGTTCATACATGGACGGTGATTACTTGACAGCTGACGGCCAGCAATATAGAATGTCGGCTGAGATGCGACGTGGGAGCGTTGGTGCATCATACAATCTTCATGCTAAGAAGAAGTCCCTTTTAGTTGACAGACATCCAGCGTACTTGTCTCAGAATCTCACGCATGAGTCTATTTTTAGAAAGTCAGAAAAACAGAGGTCACCTCTTGCCCTTGATGATTCTAATAAGGTAAAAAATATTGATAATACTTTAACTTTATTGTATAATGCCAAGAGATATATTCTTATATTACGAGAGCTTGGTGCAAAAGGGTTGTAACTCATATTTAATATAGAAAGAGTTACGACCCTTTCACACCAAGCTGTTTTATAAGTTTTGAATAAGGTTCAAATAGATTATACAAGAATGGAAATGAAAAAATAAAAATAAATCTTTTAAAAAAGAAAAAAAAATGTTTTTAAAAAAAAAATAGATATTAATATTTGCTTGTATTTGCGTATTGCAGGAGACCCTTGATAATATCCTAGTTTAACACATAAGCTATGCGCAGGAGTGCAGCCAATAAAATAAAAACGATAATATACTAATGTAAAAACACGGATTTGACATCATTTGCTTAAAATATATAAATAGTGTTAAAGTGTGCTAATATTAGTGCATCAATGAAAAATGACTCTACATAACTGTTGAAAATGTGATAAATAGAATATTATATTTGTATAGATTCAAAACTAAATTTATTGAACTAGTGTAATGAAATAATATTATGCTCGCCAGATAAATAAATAGTATTAAATCTTTACTCATTTAATATCCTCTATAAATTATCAAAATAAGTATTGCCACTTTTGTTAATATGCTTGTGTAGCAAAAATTCCCCTTCAAAGGAAAACAATGTGATTAATCCCACTTGAACAGGGAGTGTTCCCCAAAAACACAGAGAATATTACATGTACATATTTTTACAAAGTGATATACTGAAATTTGAATAATTTGACACTTTATGCTAAGATATCAATGCTTTGGCAATTTAATGCTGATACAAATTTTTAAGCTTAAATTTAGGTATTTAGGATTATATTTATACTGAATTTTTAATTATTTAGGTAATTTTTATAAATAGTTTATGATAATTTGGATTTTGGTGCTTTAATTTTAATTTTTAGGCACTTACATTCTGTACCATTTCAATGTTTAGGTAGTTGTCTGTTAAATTCAAAATTTAGACAATTTATATGCAGTAGATTGTAGCACTTGACAGTGATACAATTTATGATTGACTGACTAGGAAAGCTTTATAGAATATGAAAGTTTACTTTATTTTGCACCCGATTTCAGAGAGGTCACATTGGTAGTGGATCAAGTGCTTTTGAGCAAGTTACCCATCTTAGCATACCACCATCATGGGGTACGAACCTTGTTGGTCGTCAAGAGCAACCAGATCCTCCCAAGGTGTCGGTAACAATTGAGGACTTCTCTACAACACAGCAGCATGGAGGAGGGGATAAATTCAATGCAGAGTTGAAAAGAGTAATCTCCCCTAATAACTCTTCAAGAAACTCTCCTGAAATGGAGACAAAAAAGTCAGACGAGGTTTATCACAAGAAGTTTGACAAGATCAGAAAACATCCATTAGGTACTAGCGAAGAAACTCGGCAAATGGAGAATTTAACTATTAGTGATTTAGAACAAATGGAAAGTGATGACATTTGTGTTGACGATAAGGTATCTAATTCAGAGACAGTAAAACAAGAGAAAAGTAAGAAATCTGCATGTGATACCCATCCGCAATTACTTGCCCAATTAAATTCTGGTCCGCAATTTACACCGAACATTCATCCAGCATTTCAGCCAGCGGCTGGTCCGCAGCTTTTAAGTCTGTATCATATCCAACAACAACAACAACAGCAGCAAAATGCTGGCAATCCGAATAGTAATCATGGTAGCACATCACCAAATAATGTCGTTCTCTCAGTTCCAAAGGCCCCATTCATGAATCATAACTCACTTAGTTCTTCTCCCCCATCCACAATGACATCATCGCCAAGAAATGACTCTCCGTGTTTACAAAACATTCTGAATCGACGTGATAACAGTGCTTTTCTTAATAAAGCCGAGAAAATTCAGAAACAGGAGCCGTCACCACAGGAGATCCAGCATTATCGTAACAGTCAGACGTCGCAGCAGCCAATGCAGCAGCCTATGTTCGCAGGTTTTACAGCTCACCCTGGTCAACAGCAGGCCATGATGCAGAATCCGTACATGTTGTATCAGCAGCTGTTAATGCAGCAACAAGGAATGAGAGCTCCGGCATATAATGAACACCTTGCCGGTATGCAGCAGATGGTCTATGGAGGAAATACACAGCAGTTAAGAAGGTATATTATTTTATAATAACCCTTTCCAATACCAGGGATAATTATTCCGTAACATTTGACCTTGAACATTGAGTGAACTTGAGTCTGATGGTTACTTTTCTTTCACTGGTGATTCAGAAATCTTGCATGATAAGTCTTGGGTTACTTGCAGAGAAATTGGATATAACTGGTTGGTAACCCAGGAAAGAGCATTTGGTGACAGCGAGATATAGGTGGGCCGCAAGATATTACCAAAAATGTAAAGATGGGTGTAAAAACATATTAACAAACAAATTAAACTTGGGCAATTTGTGTAATGAGTTTGCCTTGCTTTTATTTTAAGATGCTGATTCAAAGTAAAGTATATGGAATTTCAATATAAAAATACACATAAAAAATACAGAGAGAACCTTGCACTATACTATTAGCAAAGGCTACTCCACTTTAGTTCTAGCAGATTAAAGGTCAAATATTATCACATTGAGGTCAATTGTGAAGAAAACTTGTAGCTTATTTGAACTCATTTTTTGTGGGTGTGACCCAAGTAAGGTTTTAACCAGTGATCCCTTGATTGAGAGGAAGAAATATTAACTTAATTGCTCCTGTTAAGAACTGAAAGTTTTTTTTTTACAAAGGAGAGATTCATTTACTAAGTGGATCATGCTGGTGTTAAAAATGTTTTTTTAAGTCCCTAGTTTTAAAAAGAAGTGTTTCCCACAATTAAATTATATGAAGGTCATAGGGGAAAAAGGTTACTCTGCATAAGTCACATGACGTAATTACATGACCTTTCTTTCCCCATTTGCTTGTTTTACATACAGACTGACAATTGTCTTAAGTTTGTGAAAGATTAGCATAATTATGTATTTTATGTCAAGATTTTATTCCATAATTGCAGGTGTAGTGGAGGAGATATACCTTTGAATTTGGTCCAGCCAAATGGACTGGCCCAGTCCCATTCCCAGTCCTCGGATGCCGTGGATGCCTCTGGAAGCGAGTTGATTCAAAACATCAAAGAAGAAGTGATTTCCTAACACACACATGTAAATTATGTTTCACTACATTTGGAGGACAGTTTTTGCTTTATCATTATTATCCATCTATTGTGACTGTTCAACATGGAGGAATAGCTTATTTTTCTCAGAACGTTGTTTTCCTTTGTGAAGAGTACTCTGAAAAGTGGGTTTCTATCACAGAATTACTTCCCTTTGTGACTCTTCAAAGATAGAGGAAAAATCCTCAGCACAGGAAGTTAACATTCTTTGTCTTCTGCTATAACAGCTGGGAGAAGACAAGATTTTTCATTCTCATCAGATGATTTCCTTGCTGTTAAAACATTCACTGAAACGGGAGGAGATATTTTATATGAAAATGACATGATGGTTGTTGGAATTTAACTGTATATTTAATTTATGAGAAACAGAATATTTTTTTCTGCTTGTGTGATATACATGTACTTCATTTCATTAACTCAAAATTAGGCAGCATTTATTGCTTTACTAAATATTAGGTTCAAACATTCGTATAATAATTTTTTTTAAAGCCATTTAAATATGTATCAGTTGTTCACTAGGAAAAAGTGTTTTTGGGAATGACTGCGGTACTGAATTTTACCTGTAGTAAAGATAGGCTTCATATTTTCTGTTTTACCATTTCAAGTGCTCACCAAAGTTTTCCTTCCTTCCTTCCTTTCTTCCTTCTTTTCTTCATGAACCACTACCAACTAGATCAAGGTCAAGGACACTTAGACTGAAACAGTGAAATGTGGGGGCATCCATTTCAAATGGAAACATTTCTAGTTTTAACACTTGTTAAGAAGCAGACCTGGGGATGATTACATTGATCAGTAATTGATTTAATTACAATTACTTTCAGATTTTATTGTAATTGATTACAATTGATTACTCAGACTTGCCTCTGTAATCAATTAAATTACAATTACTTTGAGAAAGTAATTGATTGATAATTGATTACATTCCATGTATAACTATAAACAAAAGTTTCTTAATGCTATTTAATATATACATTATATACATTATATACACAAAGGATTTCCAGCTCATCAACAGTCATCATTTTAACACACTTTTAGTTACTGTCACATCACTTTATCATATTTAAGCATTGCACTTTAGCATCATAAGTTCATGAAACCGTCTATCAGTCAGACTGCATCTATCAGGACGGAAAATTTTGCCCGCAACACTAAACAAATGCTCTACAGGGGCCAATGATGCAGGGATGGTCCTCAGTCTTCTTGGTGTAGGTTTCATAATGAACTCTCTGCAACAGAAATTTTTAAAAGTGTCAATTGTACAGTATACTGTATACCGGTGTTAAAACAGGTGTGAAAACAATAAATTTTTATATGGGAATTCAAAGAGACAATAGACTTTACAAAGAAATTATCAGTTTTTTTACAAACACTTCAATGGTACAACAGTATCCATTATGATATAGACACATTGTCTATCACCTTACAAAATAACTGTTGCATATAATTAAAATATGGTAATATGCATCTGACATAAACTCTAGAATATACAAAGTAAAGAAGTTATCTACATTGTTTGAAACTTTTTTAAAACATGGTTTAACCAAAAATATGTGAAAGCAAAAATTTAAGATACCTTTATGTGGGTAATGAAATTTGAATGTGACTTAGTGTTTCCATTTATTTCTTAGGGCACAATTTGCACTGTGGTGTCACATTACCAGATGTTTCTTTAGGAAATTCAAAGACATCATAAATCCAATGATTTGACATTTTGGTTAGAATACCAGCCAAACAATGATGTCTAATCTTTCAGTTAGAATTCCAGGTTAACTGTATGGATTAAAACTTATTTCTTCATTGTGAGTGATGTCTTGAAACATCTCACTTGATGTTTTACTACCTTAGTTAAACTGTAACATGTGAAATAAATCATTTGAATTTCAATAGTTTCATGTAAAATCTGAAAGTAATCAATATCAATCAAATTGTAATCATAATTACAGACTGAATTTAAGCTGTAATTGATTAATTACAATTAATGTAATCAATTTTGAGCAAGGTAATCAATTACATGATGATTACACTGTAATCATGTAATCAATTAAAAAATCGATGATTACGATTAATGATTACCCCAGGTCTGTTAAGAAGACACCAGAGACAAGGTGGAATCATCCAGCAGTTGTTTATTGTTACCTAGGTAACAAGCAGGCTCAGTCTGTTGTTGTTATTTTATTATATTTATTAAGCAGCATAGTTGATTAGCTATACAGATAGAATTACTTTTTATAATACTGCATGTTTGTAACGTCACTTTTCATTTGACATTTGTGATGTTTACATGTTGTATCTCTTTTTTCTCTAAAAAGGAAGTGTGCTTTATTTATAATTTGTAACAAAGACTCCTGACAGGTTATATGGCAAGTTATATATGACCATATATTCAAGGCTGTTTACAATATAACCCTTGCCTACCAATTTGGGTTATATATACAAACAACCATTTATATAGGCCATATAACCTGCCAAGAATATATATAACTAATAATGTAGCATTTGCAACCCAGCTAGGTTATATTCATAGACAGGTTAAATATTTATGTAAAGAAATGTTTCCATAGTTTCTGACTTGAAAAATTTGCAAGAAATACAGGCCATATCCTACTTTTCATAAGTATAACAAATTTCGGTGTTGTATTTGTTTAATTAAGTATATCTATTTGAATTTCAGGGCTCATTTTATCAATCACTTCTGAAAATATATATACACAGTGGTTAATCTTATTATAACATGGGTTTGCATATAAGGGATAGTTAAAGGAAACATTTTGTTAAGGGCTTTTATTATGCGTGAAAGAACCTAGGTCATATCTTAGATTAGGCCGGTTTTAATTACTAATCACACACAAATGTAAAAGGTTGCAGAAAGTATATGGGTAGCCAATGATTATTTTGTTATGGATTTTACCCCGGCAGCTGTATCATGTATGAAACCCTTGTATAATTACGCATTTTCAGTTTGGATATAATGTAAATTCAGGAAAATGGTTACAATCGGTAACAATGGTTCTAGTGATAATTGAAAGCCCTGGAATGAAAATAATTTACTAGCTTTATATGTGATAGTTAACTTTCAATTGAAAGGTTTTAGCCTAGAAGTGCTGTTTAAGAGAATATAATATATACTAGGAAGCCTTAGAATAAGGTACTGAATAAGTCAATGATCATTTACATTCAATACCTTATTCTAAGGCTTCCTAGTATATAAAACTTGAGAAATTGGAACCAGTCAATCCCTGGATTGTGATTGGTTGAAGTGATCAGGAAACCAGTCACAACTTCTTGGTTTTGTTTAGTTTACTTGTATGTAAATTAGGAACCAGTTACTTTGTCCAGTGATAGATTGGTTGAAGTATTCTGGGAACCTGTCACCATGACAAGGTTAAGGACTGAAATAAGCCATTGAGAAATGTTCAATTTTAAAACTAGATTCCAGTCTTAGGTCTTATACTTTGGTCTTTGTACATACATTGTATAAGAAAAACAACAAGAAAGGATTGGTTTGCATAGGTCTATGTACATGAAGTTTTTACTTTTAATTCTGAATTGTAGCTGCTAGATTGCTTTAACAGAGACATTTTTCATTCATTTTCTTGTTCTTAGAAACTTGTGTAAAAGGTTGCAATTAATTGTAAATTGATATTATTTTTTAAGATGTTTATGGCCATTCATTATTGTAGTTCTTGTTATTAGTTAATTTGCGATGAAAGTCGGAACTTTTCACATGAAAATCTGCTGTCTGTTTCATTTAAGCACATTTATAAAGATCTCAAAGAGTCTTTGTAATAAAAGCCTAACTCGATCACATGTTTAAGTTAATACTTAGTGCAATATGTTATTTTATTCTTTATCAATTGTTTGCATCAAGTCGCTGCTTTTGAACTATTGTTAACTTTCTGATAAAATTGGCCTATGTAAATTGGCAAAAGAAATGTTAGCACTTTAAAGGGTGTATTGAACTAAAGCACTCAAATTTATGGAGTATTTCACAATCTTTTTAGTGTTATAAGTCTTAGAGCTTTACAATTAGTGCTAATTTATGATTTTTTTTTATGTAAAGTCATTTGTGGTATTCTGAACTAACTTGATCCTCCCTTTCACTATGTACAATACAAATCGAATCATTAATATTTTTTAGGTCATGTTTATCATGATTTTGGTTTGTGGCTGAAATTTAAACTTATCTTTATCAATTTTTTTGCCTTAAAAGATATGTTTTATATATTCTATTTATGTCAAGTGTAAAATATGCAACCATGTTTGATAGTAAATTCCTGAAATTCTTAGAAATATCCAAGGCAAATTACAGCTCTGGCAATAGAAGGGAGAAGTTGATAAAAAAATTCTAAATGCTGTACATTAGTAGATGGGTTTTTTATATTAAGATGTTGATTTATTTCTGAAACATTGTTTGGGGATATGTTCTTTATGATCTTGCCCCCCTGCCTCTATAACTAAAAAGTCCCCATATATCACACATGATAAGAAAAGAGAGCTGAAGTCAGTCAATCAGCAACAATAATAAATGGAATTTTATTCTTCATTTTCTTCCACATCGTTATGTAACTTATTACACACTAAACAAAAAGGTTGTATGGATTTATTTATGTAAATAAGTTACATTAATTAATTGTGAGATTAGTGTAAGAAAAATACTGCAAATAGTGCATGTAACATTTTACGAAAATAAGGCATTTTAATAGGGTAAATACTGTACTAGGAGGTTATTTTATATAAAATTATGTTGAACACACAGAAAGGTGAATATTTTAACTAATAAGCTGTTGAAATAGTGCAGTATGTTTGCCAAGCTTTTAGATCAGAAAAGGATGTCTGTGGCTAAATGGTTTAAGTTGTTGACTGCAACCCATTTGCTTCTCATCGCTGTGGGTTTGAATCCCTCCAGGGTTTTTGAATTTGGTCATGTGAAAAAGCTGTCCAGCTATCTTATTGAATGTTGGTGTGGTTCCTCTCGTGTGTCGTAAGAGGCGACTAAATGGGCTTGAATTACTGGAATCTCTTAGCTCCAGCAGGTGAAGTGGTTTTGTCGACTTGTGTTACTTTAAATTTGTAACACCCGACGTTAGCCAAAATTATCTTTTCCTGTTTTGGCACCATATAACCTAAAGCATGTTGGTGCGTTGTAAACCCAACCAAAGCAAACAAAATCATGTGCTCTATTTTGCTTGAAACAGGGTTTTTAGGGGCATGTCAATTCTTCTGCTAACTGTAGAGACAGAAACTCACAGATGTAAATCACAACAAACTTATATTCTAAAAGATATTCACCTTTTTGTTGTGAACGATTGAATCATTTGCATTGAAAATAAGCAGTGCCGTTCACCTCTAATTGGACGGAATGACTTGATAGAACAAGTCACGAGTGTTACTGTCGAATGTTCAACGTGAACGTTTGATGCACGGCATGTATAATAGTTGTTAATATGAAGTTTGGACTGAATGTTTATCATAGCATTGGACATTTTATTATTTTAGTTTCTGTATACATTTTAGTTTTAATTTAAAGTTGTTGTTTCGTTTAGTTGTTTTTTTTATTTGTTCGTTTACTGTATCATGTGTGAATTTATTTACTGTATTTAAGAAAATATTTTGTTAATGTTGTTTTGTGTCATATATATATAAATATATACATATACATGTATATCATTCTATGATAATAATATATATTTGTTAATAGTTTTTGCTTTATGTTAAGATATAGATATGTACATTAATACCTTTAAATCCTTATCTTT